GTTTTTCTCTTAAGTTGTGCCCATAAATCATTATTCATACTTCAGTTTGCATCTTGATCCACATCCATTTCAATTGTCATACCATGAGAGCATTTTTAGGCTTCAGTATGCTAAATCTTGACGTGTCCAGAAGAACGTTACGCAAGAGTAATGCTTCAAATATAAAATCACGCATAGAGGTATTTATGTTAATCATATTTTTGTAAATAAATTCATGTACAGTAATTGTGTAATAATGCGAAATAATTTATCATAACAAGTAATATGGGATAAGACCTTTTCATGTAAATTTTGAACATTATTTCAGCAAACATATTCCTACTGTTCTGAATGCATGATCCATAATAGAAAATCTGTAGATGGTGATAATTGCAATGTGATGTTATATGTAAACAGGTTAAATCTTGTAGCTTTATGTCTGAGATATTCTAGTGAACATTTTCATTTCGATGGAAATAGGGACTAGCTCCAATACTTACGTCTGAGGGAAGCATGTGCCCTCACTCCTCTTATCCTCCTCGTGCGCGATGCCTAGTCACATGTCAACACATCAACACATCTCCCCATTCCACGCTCAAAATACAAGGCTACAAAAATCAAGTCACCATAATTTACTGATTGGGTAGGGAAATGATTTCACAGTCTTCACTCCCCTTAGATCTTCCCTCTTATTCTCATCTGCGCCCAAGGCGAATGAATATTCGAGGCAGATGAAGATTGTGGTGATTACTGCGGTAAGAATCTATAATTCTGCGACAATCGCAGATGAGTCTATGTAAAAATAATATTTTTTCAAGTATAATTTGAGTATTTTAAGTGAGTGAAGAAAACATTAACAGATGCTCATATTCTCAACTGACATGGCTCACACAACTAGTCGAATCTCTCAGGTTTGGTTTGAGAAAAAACTGACAAACCTAGCATGTGATACTTATCATCATCTACTGCTGAGCATGAATGATTTTTTTAATAAGAACACGTTTGTAGCCGTCAGTGCTTACATGACTTATCTATCACATATCCATTATTCCCTAGGTAGGTTGTTCCATGACAAATTTTGCATGTTTGACAAACTTTGCTTGATATCACAAGGTCACGTAACTCTGCAGATACCCGAGATTTTTATTCCGATTATATGATCACAAAGCCCACGACGTCAACTTAGCCTTGGTTTTGTAGAAAGTGCATACTTTGATGCTAGGTTATGGAACGGACCAAAGAGAGAGAAACTGCGAAGGGTCTCCATAATCGGGTCCTTCGTTGGCTGTGATCATATTAATTTAAGATACTTTGAGATGAAAATGTTTTCTCCAGCCACATGCATATGGTATTTCCGGCTTAAAACTCTAGGCCTAGGGATGTTGGAAGATCCTTTTCTTGTGAGCGTAACGGATCGCCTGCTGTTCGATCAAAGGTCTTTAAAGCTATTCTGTTTCTAGTTTGCTTACGTTAAGAGGGGTGACAGATGGGATGCAGTTTTATGAGTCATTTCGTTCAAGTGGCCGCTCGTGAACAGGTGAGAGGAATCTTTATCCCCAAAGGAAAAGGGCTGAAGATAAACATAATAAAAATAAAAATCTTCTTCGACTACATATCATTAACAGCAATATCGACCATATGCTTAAAACGCTCCTTTTCTTCACTCCGATGTTTGCATGAGGAGGAGAGATCTTTTCGTTTAGTTTACCTTCTGATGCGATGTATGCTGAGGGAAGAAAAACTGAATCCCAAACTGAGGACTACGTTTTGCACAATCCAACCCAATCTGTTGGTCTTAAGGTCTTTTTGTCCAACCACTTTCGGTCCCATGTATTGCAAGACTTGCATGGACGGATACAGTAGTTCACAGAGTCTGTGGTCAACATTTTGTGTCGTCTTCCAGGTCTGACTTCGTTGAGAAAAGAATGAATTGGACTCGTGGATTGCCCATGTGAAAGTTTTGGGTACTTTATTATTTTATTTGCCTTGCTCCTGATCTTGAGGTGGAATGTTTGTCTTTTGGTATGCCGAGTATCTCATTGGCCTCTGAAGTTTTCTCACACTCTCTTACGCGGAAATGGAGCTCCCCTGGAAAGAAGTTCATTGACATAAACTCAATTACCTGCTCTTTTATTGTCAGTTCAAAGATGAAGTTGTCATCTTTACAAGACGCACGTCGGAGATAAGGTGTATTTTCTGTCACCCATGGTTCAACATATTGCACACAGCTTCTGCTGCCGCTGCTGTGGATAAGTTGCGGTGCATTTAATATCTAGATATGATGTGTTCTGATTAGATCCTTGTGTGACGGTATTAAACAACATGATGTGTACACGAGATATCTAGATTTTGCCAAATCTGATTTACTTTTCTTCCTCTCGTCTGACTCTCTTACATCGCCACATGTTGCCTTCTTTCCCTCGTCTAAGCCAAAACACTTACTTCCATACTGTACTCACGTGTATTCATATTGTGGAGAAATAGAGGTGAGAATAATCTCTGCCCTGGCAAAGGCTGGTGGCAATCGGAAGGAATTTGGCAGGTTAAGAAAGGCAGCCGACAAAGGGAAATAAGATCCGAGCAGGATGTATTTCGTTGAACTATATAGGAATCAATGAAGAACAGGTTATGGTTGTGGATGTGCGAGCAAGAGGTGGTGTATTCGATCAAGGGAGCGAAAGCCAGGTGAGACGAAATAGTCGGCCAAACAGTGCGAAGCTTTTTATATGCTTGTCAAAATCAGGCCCGCCCAGCCCAGCTCTTGTTCTGGCCCTAATCTACTCGGCGAGCTTTTGTAGTGGCTATCTTAGTAGGTGTGCTTTGCACGGCAATCAAAAGAGATATCATGGCGAGGTTTTTTTTTATTGTTGATTGGGAAGGATCTTCGTACATATTTTCTAAGAAGTCTTTCATACTTTGATGAGTGATGGCAAACTAATCAGTGATGACATGCGCATGGATCGAGAGGAGGTTAATGATGGATGAATAGGTTAGAGCATCATTCTGGTATGTGGTGACATCCAACTTTTGTAACTTAGACTTTGTTTTGCACAAGATAATTTTTCTTTAACAATCAAACTTTTTATTTTTTTTATTTATCCATTCATATCATATTTTTTATTTTTTATTGTCTTCATGAATTAAGAATAACTTTTATCATATGTTTATGTTTTGACCAAGACATCTGTCTCAATTAAAAGTGAGTGAAACGAGTAAAAATTTAAAACTTATTGATATTTGTTAAAAATAAATAATGCACTGATCTAAAATTTGAAATATAGAAAATAGGTAACGTCACTGTATATATATTGTGAATGATTGTAACAAACATTGGTTAATCAAACTTATTGTATAAAATATTACGTAATCTTATTCTTTTGCCTTATAGGGAGCATTTGATGAGATGATGATCCAAGGGCGAGAAAGGTAGGTGCTAATAGGTGCTAATAATTCAAGTGTCCATGTTATTTATAGGATTTTTGGAACTATTAGCTGCAATAGACCTATTTGTATTGTAACGCTATGGGGGCTAGGCCCCAATAGCATGCATTCCTAGCTCCATGCTTCTCGTGGCTGTCATCGCAGAAGAACTGGATTGGTGATTATGTTATTCTCTTGTGTATTGCACTCGCGCTTCCCACTGCTTCAATCTTGAATTCTGATAGTGATAAACGCTTGCATGAGTTAACTTTGGATATAGAGTCCAAGGACGAGACATTCAGGTCAAGACTAAAGGTTGCTTACTTTTGATTAAGAGCCGGCGAGCGGCGAATGATTGAGACACCTACAGCAGTTTGTTGATCATTGGGGGCAGACATTCTACAATCACAGTGGGCGAGAGCCTCGCGTTCTGTCCAGGAGAGCATCTATTATTACAGTCTGAGTGTAATACGCCAGTGTTCGGTATGCTCGCAACCGTTTTGCCTGGATAATTATTCTGGATGGGAATTGTTACTTCGAAGATTCGAGCCTTCGTTTCCACATACGCTTTATCAGACAAGATGCCGACCGATATAGTGTTCAGCTTCATGGATTGCAATTTTGGATCTTGCGGGGTGCTGCGTGAGTCGCTAGAGATGGAGAGGAGACTCCACACAATGTGTGGAGACGAAGAGGCGAACGAAGTGATAGGGCCTAGGGTTATAGAGAATAGTCTGATAGAACTGGGACGTGCCTTTGGCTTACTGTTGACGGAAGGTAACCGTTCTTTTCATCGTGGAGTGGGCAAGCGCATTTACTTCGTCAAAACCTGGTGTTCATGAAGCAGCGGCAGTTGCCAAAGAAGGCGAGAGCAGTGCTCGGCCTCGTAGGCCAATGCACTCCAGTCGTCACCGGGTCTCTGGTCTACGTCTTCCGCGACCTATTGCCTTGTAAACTGTGAAAGCGTTGCAAGTACGAAACTCGTTGGAGATACCCAGGCAGGCAGGCAGGCAGAAGGCCTGGATAAACAGTTACACACGACATGCGTTCTGGCCCGCCCCATCGACTGGTCAAATAGTTCCCTCGGCAGAGAGTTCTCTATCCTCTCTCCTGCAGTGAAAGGGCACTCTGGCAGAATCGCTCACGGCCTTCGGGAGCTTCCTCCACTCGGCTTCGAGGTCAATACCCTCCTCTTTCGTCGAGGGAACGGGGAGTGTAGTAGTTGCGGTTCGGTATGGAGCCGGTGAGCTGGGTTCCAGCCGCGCTGCTTTCCGAGCTAGCTGCGCAATCGAGTTGTGGCATGTGCGCTAGACTCAGATGTCGAAAGCAATCATGGCCAGGGCAGAGGCTCTAATGAACTCGTCGCCAGTTGCGATCTAATGCCAAGCGAACATGTAGAACCAATCATGAGACGAGTTATGAGCAGCAACAGCAGAGAGGAGGATCTGCGGGAGGGTAACTAACAGCCGATTGCGGCTCTAATGGAAAACCGGTGCAGTGCGACGGGGCTGAAAAGGGCCCTCGAGGCTTTCGAGCGTGTCAGGGCAAGACCAGACAGATGTGAGCGAGCGATTCCCCGCACGTACGGACAAACATGGTGCACAAAAGTTGAAGCCGCTTTACATGGAATTTGAAACAAAAGTGGAGCCGCTTTACAAAGAATTTGCTTTCTTCTATAGTCTGGGTCTTAGAGTGGCTGGTGACGACTGTACTAATATTGCAAGCATATAGAGGCGACTAGAATACAAGGCTAAGGCTAAGGCTAAGGCTGGCTATGGGAGCAGGAGCAGGAGCAGGAGGGTCCTCTAAACGCTCTGCTGGAGGTACATTTGCGAGGCCTTCTCCTCGTTCTGCAGCAGCCCGGCCTCCTCGTCTTCGTCCAGCATGGCTGCGGCAGCCGAGCCCGCGGCCGCAACGGCTGCCGTCTTGCCCGAGCTCGGCTCATACATCTCGACGAGTTTGAAGAGGTCGGCCCCACCGGTGAGCTGGCGGGCGCGCAGGGCCTCGTAAGCCCAGTCCGTTCGGAGCACGACGAAGAGAACCGAAATGGCGCAGGCTGTCTGCGCGCACAGCAGGCCATACCAGAGGCCCTCGAACCCGATTCCCCACCAGAAGGCCATCGCCACGGCCACGGGCGTGCCGACGAAGTAGAACGAGCCGAGGTTGATCCGGGCGCCTGTCGCGGGCCTGGCGCTGCCTCGCAGCACTCCGCACCCTGTGGTCTGCGGGCAATTGCCCAGCTCGCACAGCCCCATGAGCGGCATTGCGGCCGCTGTCAAGGACAGAACGTGTTGATCGGTCGTGAACAGCCGGCCCCATTTGTGACGGAATATGGTGGTCCAAATGACGTTGATGAACGCGATCAGAAACGCGCAGGCCAGCGTGACGAACACCGCAATTCGAGCGCGGCCGGGCCGATTCGCGCCCAGCTCGTTGCCCACGCGCGTCGAGACCGACGAGCTCAAGGCCAGGGGAAAGCAGTACATGAGCGACGTGGTCTGAATGAGAATTGCCGTCGTCGCCACTGCCACTTCGGGCTTCGGCAGATATCCCGCCAAAAGCGTCATGATTTCGTACCACCACCATTCCAGGCACACGGCGAAGCAGCTGGGTAGCGCCAGGCTCAGCAGCGAGCACCACTCCTGCAGGCAGGCCGACGACCACGGCACCCACGTCCGTCTGTAAACCCCCGAGAACCACATGTAGCTCACGAGGAAGAACACCATGTTGAAATTCGTCCACACCGCCGCGATGGCCACGCCGGGCACCCCCATGTTCAGCACGAACACCAGCACAATGTTCAAGGGCACGTGAATCAACACGGCCAGCGCCGAGCACCACATCATCGGCGTGGTGATGCCTTGCGACCGCAGGTACACTCTGAGAGGTTGCAGGATGCTGTTCGCGAGCAAATCCGGCAGCGAGAAGAGGCAGAACGTGCCCGCCACCGAGGTGATGGACTTATCCTGGCCCAGCGTCAGCAGCAGCGTCTCCAAATTTATCCACAGCATGCTGATGGGAATGCAGGCCGCCAGCAGAATGAGAATTGTGCGCTGCAGAGTCAGGCCTATGAGGGTCCAATTCTTGGACCCGAACGCCTGCCCGCACACGGGATCCATCCCGGACGCGAGCCCGAACAGCACGGAGTATCCAGTGATGTTTGTAAATCCTAAGGACAGCGCTCCTCCGGCTAGTTGTAGGCCTCCCAATCGCCCCAGGCACAGGACTGACACCATAGACCTCAAGTACACCACAAAATTCATCGTTGCAACCGGCCCGGCGATCTTGCCCAGCTCCTTGATCTCGTCCAGCAGCTGCACACAATCGGAACAAACGGAAGCACCAATGTCAGCCGCACAGGGAAATTTCAGGCCGCACCCAACTCGTTCACCGAAGTCGAAGCGCGCAATTATCGACCTCGGTGACTGGGGTGACTGACTGACCAGCACAATCAAAGTCGGGCCGCTGAGTTCAGGCATGCGGATGCCCACGAAACCTTAACACTCGCTCGCATTAACCATGAGGCCCAGTGTCTCACACATCTGACACCTGCTCAGGGAGTCCACACAGCGGTGCTACCAGTCGGGCTAGCCTCGGGTACAATTGCATGTCACGAAATGTGGGCGGCTGGTATTTAGCCATCTAGGAGGCTGCCAGAGGTGGAATTCGAGGGCGTTTCGGCGAGGCTCGCACCCCGTCATGCACACGCTCGTGGCGCAGCAAAGTCAGAAGAAGGAGCGGTTCGAGCACGACACAGAGTCGTACTGAGGCGCGCACAGTATGAATATCACTCGATGAGTCGCAAGCGCCTCCGACGTGAAATTTTGAGCTCGAGTGCACGGGAGCGAATCTGCTCACAAGAGTCGGCGGTTGCAGGATGGGACTACCTGGAAAACAGTCGGCCATTTTTTGAGGCCCGCGATGTCTTCAATTTCGTCGTCGTCCTTCGATGCCGCAGCTTCTGTGTGGGGTAATTTACGATGTTCAGTACTCATGCTTGCGAGCTAAACGAGCTGGGAGTGTAGCGGAGCTCGAGGTAATACTAGTCTCTTAAGCGGTGGGCAGGTTGGACTGGTCAGAGTTCGCAAGGTAGAACAAACTCGGAGTGCGAACAAACCACAGCCCGGGACTGACCGGCATAGGGAAGCAGGAGCAGAGCTAGAGAGAATGAGTGGATGAAGTGGACGCAAGGGCAGGCGAAAAGGGGCGGGACCATCGGGGATCGAGGATGCGAGCGGGCGGGCGAGCGAGCGGCAAGGTCAGGTAAGGCGAAGCGGACTAGATGAGGACGGCAAAGTCAAAAGGCCATGCGGAGTGCCAAACACCGAGTTCGAAAAGCGTCGCGTTTGGTCGTAGGGAAGTTGATGGCCAAGCCGGAGCAAATGTAGACGCCAGCATCAGCAACTTTTCGAGGGAAGCCCAGAACGGCTTGGGACTCGAGGTTTATGGGGGGTGCCAGGGACAACGAGCCGAGCGCGACAACCAGATGGCGAGTGGTCACAGGTGGTGACTGGTGCGAGCCTAACGGACCGAGAGAAGAAGAGCCGCATCTGCAGATGATCGTAGAGTAGCAGTACGGATGGGAGGCGGTAGACTACTGTCCTGGTGGGGTTTGATGTACCACCTGATCAGATCATCTCGGACCAGAGCAGCAGCAGGAGAGAGAGAGAGAGAGAGCCAGCCAGCCAGCCAGCCAGCCAGCGGGGAGGTAGGCGCTGCAGCCGCAAGCATCGGCAGCAGCAGCAGCCGAGCAGAGTAGAGAGACTCCGAGAGTAGGCTCCGAGACTGATGTCGAGCTCAGGTAATTTGAGGTCGACGGAGGAGGTGAGACTGATGTCGAGCTCAGGTAATTTGAGGTCGACGGAGGAGGTGAGGCGCGTAATTATACTACCGCCGCTCTCGATTGAATTTAGCCATACCTCATCAATTCCTACATTTATTCTCTCCTCGCACGCTGGCCGCCTGCTCCCTTTGTCAAATCTTCTCTCGAAGACCAACAAACATTTATTTCGCTTTATGTAAAAGTTTGTAAACTACTGCAAGTACATTCATTCATTCGTCGACAGACAGACAGCAGTATGGCGTAGGGTATGTCAAAGTGTTTTGATCCTGGCAAACTCATGCCGTTACTCGATCCGCCTGTACGGGTATGATATTTTTGTTCAAGGCACGCAGTACCAAAGACAGTCCAGTCCAGTCCAGTCTCTCGCTTTGTTCGTCAGCCGCTGCCGCTGCTTCTGCTTCTTGTTCTATACACGTAATTGTATGGCTGTGCGGTAAATGATCCCATCTCAGTGAGAGAAAGAGAAGGGGCGAGCGACATTGTGGGGCCCTGCGCAGGGGGTGGCCGACGAATAGGTATCAAGTGACACGGCGAGGTGACGGTGGAACCTGACGTCAGCCGCTGCGCTGACCACTAACAGATCTGTAACAGATATATGCACGACTTTGGTTTTATGAATGGGCCCCCATCACTACTTCACAAGCTGCTGCTGCTGGAGACAAATTTCATGTCAAGTGAATTTGGACGAGGTACATTTTCCGGGGTAAAAGTGAAATTTACGTGTTGCTATCTGGCGTCGGAATTAACTCCAGCAGTTTGATTGCACATGTGCGAGATGATGGAAGAGGCACTAGGTTCCAGACGAAATCCCAGTGATGACAACAAAATGACATAAAGATCCATAGAACCACATGGAGCGATGTAAATTTCGCTCTCAGGTTAATCACGTATGATCACCTCTGCAGCTCCAATACGTACATGAATCCGTCCGAGAAAGATTGCCGAAGTAAAACTCAAAAGGTATGAAGTGGGCTGCCCACCAACCGAAAAGCTGTTCAAAAGCAATCTCCGGCTCGTCCCAGAAGATTGCGCCATAAGTTGGATTACGCGGTTGATGCCCTCCTTTGTATCCGAGCGAGTCTGGGGAATTGTCAGGCAGCCCATTCTAAGGAGAACAAAAGTGGGAAGCAGTTGAAGAAACCGGGGGGAATCATTTCGGTACTACACACGCAGGCGAGGTTTCCGTCAGGCGAGCAGCAATCGAATTTATAGCGAAACAGGGCCGTTTCTTCGCCATTGGCAAGGGAAAGGGCAAAAGGCGCTGCCCTGTGGGACAGACGAGCTCCAGCCGCGACATACACCCCATCGTTTCTTCTTCTCCTCTCCGGCATTGAGGCGCTCAGATTCCCCTTTCATCTTTTGCATTGGCTTATTCCCGTTCATTCTCAATCCTTGATTTCGGGTTTCTTTCTCGCCTTCTTTCTCGCCCTCGCTCGCTCGGTCGTTCGTGCTGGAGTGAATCGAATTGATTTCATGAATGCGTGCCCGGGAAGCTCATCACTGCGCCGCTTATGATTACGCCCTTGAAGCTCCCCCAGCCGCCAGCTTTTTCCTCGTCTCGCTCTGTCCTTTCATGAATCTCGGGCCTGGAGCGCTCCGTCCTCTGAAGAGCGGAGCAAGAGAACCCAATATCACGGGGATCGCATCCATTCATTTATGCGGTTTTGTTATGCTTTACCTACTGATCCCATTCATTTGCTTTCGTGCTTGCCCTGCCCCCTGCGACCTCCCCCATCCCCGACCGACGCTCTTCAACTGCCCCGTTCCATCCCTTCCCATCATCATGTCTCATTCTCCCCCATGTGGGTACGTTGTCATGTTTTTGCGTTCTTCTCCACCCCTTCCTTCCACGGGTCTGACCGAGTCCGAGACCTCGCAAGCTTCGCTTTAAAGCCTCGTCCTCACTCTTCGATGTGCCGAAAATCAAATCCTCATCGATCAGCTTGCGAGTGTCCTATCTACGAGGGCGTGCAGTCAGAGTCTCGCAGATGACATCCTGGACGAATGAAACCTGGATTTCGAGAGCTCATTACAAGCCTAGAGTGTCGCGAGCCGCAACTGAAACTCAAACGCAATTTCATGCAGTTCAAGCTCTATGAATATACGCACTCTAAACTCTTCCAGCGGCTCGAGAACTCTGGAGGTAATCATCTGCGTTTCAATAGTGTCTTCAGGAAAAATCTCCAAAATAGTATCCTAGCGAGGGGTCCCAACAGCTGCAGAAATTGTTCGAAGATATGTTTCTAGAAATAGTGCAAGAATGATCAAGTGTTATATTAAGTAATTTCGCTTCGTGATCCTACTCATGAATACAACGATTTTATACCATGGTACTTGGACCCAACGGTCGGTCTCACTTCATGCGTAGTGTTCCGATTTCGCTGCCATTCTGGTCTCTCTGTCCACACTGATGTCATCAGAAAAACAATACTCTCATGCAGAGGACATAATGATGACTTTCAAGAATTATTGAATAATATCGCACACACCAATTTGAGCACTGGACGTCCTCTATCAAGAGCCTATCGACTTCCGAGTAGCGATTGGTGTAAGTATAAAGTGAATAAGCCATGATGTGCTCGGAAAAAGATCACTCATGAATATTGGACATCTATGATTTAAACTCCATGTGTATGCTTGGCAAAAGTGTATGTGCTTGACAGCAGTTATGAGACACAACCCATCTCTTAATATTGTCTAGTAATCTTAATTCAATAAATTGAATAAAAATCTCTGTTTCAAAAAAAATATAACTATGAACCTCAATTCAAATTTCAGATTGTTCAAAATTTTTAGATCAGATGTGTTGGTTTTTAATTCAATGTCAACAGATCTAATAAACCAATTATCTGAACGTTTGTTGTTGAAAAGAGATGATATTAATAAAGAGGCTTTCATTCCAATCGAAATATTTATTTAATATTTAGAAAGTCTACGTTAACACACGTTTATATCCTTTTGTTAAAAAGGCACCTGGAGTCTTGTATATAAGGCATGTCAGCTGGTCTAGCTCAGTAGGTGAGATTATGATTTAAAAACTAGTGTAATATTTGTTTGGTTCCTGAAACAGTGAAATAGAGTTAAACCCAAAGGAAGGATATTCTAGTGCATCTAAAAAGTATTCTCTCGCAAGCAAAAGTTACAAACTTTTTCGTATAATTGAAAAAGATCACCACAGCTTTATGCTTCCAGCAAATCAAATAGAACTCTTCAGGCGGTTCTATTTGGTGTCTTCCCATCTTTTTGCTATATTACTATTTGGTGTCTCCCCATCATTTTGCTATTATATTCTGCTTTTTCTTGCCACCTGTTTGATGTGACAAATTTTACACACCTGTATCGAGAACCTTGAACCAGGTGACATCTTTAGATACCATGCAAACATAATGTAAGTACGTGGACGAGCAGTTTCCTTATGCACATAGTACCAACACATACATAATTTATATTCTTAGCGATATTTATTTCACCCGGTCGACGACCTCCTTATATCATGATTGTCTTTTCGTCACGGAATTTCATGGTGGCAGATCTTGGACAACAATTTTTGTAAGTGTAAGTTTTTACAGTTTAAATACATTCTAGTTCCACTTCGTTTGGAGAGATCAAATTTCAAAAAAAAATTACGGAGTTTGATTGCACTCTTCACCATCTTTATCTTTGAACTTGTGTTGTCCCCTTGTAGGTTAAGATGGAGGACACCCTTGAGCTTCTCAATAGATAAACTCAGCCTGTTAAAGTTCGTAAAGTTCCTCGTTATGCAAGGCTGTCTTACCACCAAGGAGGAGGGGAGTGTAGATTGAAGACATCATTATAAGACGTGAAGAGTCACACAGGCAAAAGGGAACAACATGACTTCATTATACGAACCGAGACCGCCCAGCTTTCCATCAACCAGACTTTGTACTGCTGTACTCAGAAAAAATGCCAACGAGTACAGCCAGGATCCGTTCAGAATTGCTGAATGTGCATAGACCCGTGGCGTATAAGCTCCAAGACGCATCAATGGTTACAACTTTTGGGAAATATTTTTGCGGTCAACTAGGCCTAGGCATGCCTAGCTCTAGTTGGTGTTTATTAGGTTATCTTCCCAACAACGTTGTTACATGACTCACACTTTCTCATAGATGGAGAGGTGAGCGGAAAGGGACAATGTAATCTTTAGAAAAGGATATCCGGAGAGGCCATCTTCGTTGGTTCCGGAGTTGGCGATAGCTTATGACTTCTATGTGGCATGGGATATTACTCCTTTCAGTGTACAGTATAAAGACTTTTAAAACAAAGACGTTTTCTTGTAAATGCTAGTTGATGTCATGTGTAGAAAATCAATCGCGCTGTAGTTAGCGTTTCTCTAGATGCTGTAGACGTTGCATTATGACATATTTCCCCATGAGATGTATTGGGGCCAACCCGTCATGTTTCTTTGGTTTCATCCATAGATTTTGCTGCAAAGTTCTCGGTGGGACTTGTTTGACAGTTGGTATCGTAGGAAGGCCTGGAGTTTGACCAGACGCCAGAAGACAGCAAACCAGACGGTCGGCAGCATTGCCGGTATGCCCCAAACCTCTCCCCACCATCGCGGTCTGAAACTCGGGGTCCGACTCCTTCCCTTCCTCGCTCCCTGTCTTTCACCCACTTCGACCCGTAGTCGGAGTGTACATACTGCTGACCTGTCTGTACAAACCTGTCTTGCAACCGCAGATCTCGCGCCCGGAATGGACGGTTCAAGTATGAGGTCCGGTCCGTCTCGTTCGTCTGTATGTCGAAAGCACAGCACCGAAATACCGTATCGGTGTCGGTCTGCCAACTTCGAGAAAATCGGTGCCCCGGCCCTGAGGATAGACGGGGAGGGATCGGCGATCGACGCGCAGAGAACCGAGGTCGGGCGATGGGATCCGCGCCGAGACTTGAGTGAGGAGACTGAGAGAGATGGAGAGAGAGAGAGAGGTGGGGGGCAGGGAGGGGGGTGGAAAATGTCACAGCTCGGTCGACTGATGGAATCGCCGAAGATATTTCTAATGCTTGGTGAGGACCATCACTTCGTCTTTCGGCTGCGAAGTGGGCTAATTCTCACAGTACGACAAACGGATGCTCGTTTCAACTGATCGTGTGGCGACACGAATGTCACCGACGCGCACGCAAGCTGGACGTGTGCACTTCGAACACCGATTGTAGCATTTTGACGCTCTTCCTGAAGAACCATGTTCGGAAAGACTCGGTACCAGTGTGAGTGATACACGTATTTGCTCTCGTCACGAGAATGATATCTTGCGATACTCGATCTAAGGCTTTTGGTTTTAGATGTAGTGAGGTTGTTCACGATTCTCCTATTTCAACCTCCCTATGACCGAGCGGTTGTGGCATTTGACGTGGACACTAATCTGTGATTATACCGACATGCTGGCCAATCATCTCCAGTGTACTTTAAGACTTTGTGAGAGCTTCTTGAATATATTATTATCGGACCAAGAGCCGTTTGGAATGTTCGGACTGGTTGGGGCTCGCTTCTCTGAATGTTGATGGACAGCGTGTCGAATCAGCAGTTCCTGCTACCCGACCAGGTGTTCTGGAGTGTAATGTCCACAGCGCGAGACCCTTCAACGATAAATCCTTACATTTGCTAAAAGTCCAACGTCAGTAAGACTCTAACTTGTCCGTGCGTGGGGGAGATAAAGTCTATATGATTCCGCCTCCAACTCACCCTCAACTCAAGTTTCTCCGATGAAGTCCATCAGGGAGAATCATCCTTCCCTCAGTCCGCCTTGTTATGCCAACTCACTTGCCCTCCTGTCCTCAAAGGTGTCCTGCTGATCTGAATAGCTTCTCGGTGAAAATATGACTCTCGAAGAAGGCGACAGATAAATTTCAATTATGGGCTCATCCCCGGCACGACCAATGCTGCAAAAGATAATGAACTTACTGAAGCCGTAGCGGCCATGATTGTGTGAACCTTGTATACGGATGACATTACGAAATGTGTTATCTGGCCAAAAAATATGTGATCAAATAAAAACTTAAGATTTGCTAAACAGGAACACTATCAAATTCATGACTATGTGACTGTCATGGCCTGACGTCCACAGACAATTTCACTGACTGCTTGGAGAGCAGCCTGGCTCGTAGTACACCCAACACAAACTGGTCCCTATGTACGTTTTGAAAACCTTTTTAAAACGTGAAGCCGTGAAAGGATACATTGCCTACCCTGGGACTTGTGGCGAGAAAGCTTGCATCTGAAAATCAACTAAGAACGTAGTCAAGTCATCCGTCATCCAGTCATCGGAGATGACTCTTGGTGAACTAGTGTGTTGACAGCTAAGCTTCCACCACCAGTCCTAGTACTGTGAAGGCCACCAGTAGTCTGAGACTGGTTCTGCGTTTCGGATAGTTCATGTTCGAAGAGTCTTTCAGAGGTTTCAACGCTACGTCTGATGTTATAACTATCAAGAACGGAACGCTTCGAGATATTCGAAAGTTTTGTTCTTCAAACCTTTTGAGTATCTCCAAAGTAGCCTAATCAGATGCCACGAAGGAGATCGGATCGACGTGAGCACTCACGAGAAGCTCCGAGAGAAATTCCTCTTTCAAAATAGTTCTAGTTGTCGTGCAATTTACGAAAACAAACCTAGAAACATATACCAGACGAGCAGGTAATGCACAGCAGGTGACGGATCATAACGTACCTAAAACAAACCAACTCGACCTACCAGTCTCAAGCAATGGTAGCAATCTATGATGGCCGCTGTCTATCATCTGCAGTATTGACAGAACTTCTCACGAGTGGCTCGCCTCTGTTACTGTCATCTACTCTCTGGCTTATCCAAGTTTGCCTTCGTGAATTCCTACATCCTGTTCTAAGAAGAGGTGAAATCGCTTTATATTCTCAAGCTCTACTGCTGGGATCTTTTCCGTTCATCATCGAGATCTCCACTCTGGCAGCTTCTGTTTCAAATTAGTTGTCGAGAACCTGGAGTTACCAAAATCACTTGGAGTCATAAAAGTTCCTCGACGTAGAAGTCAACATTGTTCAACCTGAACCATCAGGTACCCAGCCTGAATATAGAAAACAAACTCCTGAGTATTGACAATACACAACTATAATGTAGAATAAAATCTTTCGTTCGACAGGCAAACCATACATCTGATTCATCAACTTCACCCATACTGTAAGTAACGCACCTTTCATCGAGCCCAGAAGATCCTGCGAGTCACTACAGAATGCAAAGAACCTGCAATTGTAAACTGAGCGAGTGGTTATCTTCTAAACTCTCACAAGTGGGCCTCTAGCCTCCATGTAGTCCGGGCCACACTTCACTGGCCATCTCTGTCCAAGAATGTGGACTTCGAGGCTTTGTGACCGAGAAAACAAATTTCAGCGATATATGAATGAAGTGGAGTCAGCTTCCCATGACTGGAGATGACATAATCTTTCTAAAAGCCTCTAGATACTCCATCGAGACTTGCAAGAGGCTTTATCACGGAATCTAGTCAAAGTTTAGCCGCATTATGCGGGGAAACTTTGAGATTAAATGCGGCCTAAAGTACAGTCAACGAAGACTGTACTGTAAATACATGAAAGTGCAGTGAAAGTTTTCACACTCTATATCAATGTATGCAACAGTTGCTTAACATAGGTGGAAACGCCCATCTAGAACAGGGCTTTTTAGAGCTTGGATCAGTGCGATACCTACTTCTGTTGAGTGCCCTGTAAAGCATCCAACAAATAGCCGAGTTTACGAGGAAAATGTGCGCGGTAGACTTTGCCAGTCAATTTCTCTCTCCTCTTTCAAAAGATCAGGTGTTGCTCTAGAAACCGGAGGATTCTACACCAGGTAACAAGAGACCTAGAGCAGTAAGATCAAAGTATATCCCATTCTAGATAAACTGCTTAAGAATATCTGGAATTACTTTTGTCTCCGCCTGCAACGCCGATGTAATATTTAAAAGTAAGATAATTACTTCCCGTGACGCCGGTCGACAATCTATTGGCAATGACAAGTTGAGAAGATGAAAACGAGGCAGAAATTAGAATCGGTAAGAAGGCAATGCAGAGTGGCCTGCGCACTACGCGTGACCGCATCCACATGGCAGCTAAAAGCAAGGAACTTATCGAACGTGATCAACTTCAATTGTTTCATTACGGAGTAGACCATACCATAATCATTCCTGTCCTCATATATACTGAATTGCTTGCCTCGTCGGCTTCATCACTATTGACAAGTGACCACCGACCTACACAGCGTACCAGGTCAACAGCTGTACTGATATCAACCAATATTTAACAAGTAATATCATAGTCTAAAAGTTTATCGATGACATCACCAGGAACAACAACGGTCAAGGCATTCGGAGATTTATGATCCTGCATAGGACGTCAGGGCCTAGACTGCGAACTAAGATTCTGTCCTCGATGCTCACATCCCAGTCCCGGACACACAAGATCACCAGAACCCCTACCATACTTGACTTCCAGTCTTCCGACATCCGTCCTGCCTCACATAAACACAGGGCACTCCTGGTTTCTATACTGCTCAATAACAGAAGGCTGTAATGATTTCCAATTACGTAGGACAGTGTACGCAAGTAAAAGTAACATCGCTCAGTTAGTTCAGATCACTGAGAAGTAGCAACCGAGTTATAAAGCTCGTGAACGCTGGAAAGGCATATAATATCCAAAGCAATATGCGATTTCAGACAGCAGCAGAACCTGAAGAAATTCAATGTTTCCGCTTGGAGACTACGATTGAGATTAGTTAGCTAACAGAAACTACTATACGATTTGTGGAGGCAATATTCGTGTGCACATATGAGGAAAACGAACCATTCCTTCAAAAGAATAGCTTCTTCATTTACACTGTTCCATTCTCGATCCGGATTGTTATGAATAGCAACCACGAAATACGAGACGAACTCCAACTATCAGGGTTCACTGAGCGCATTGGAAAAACACTGTTGATGTACGGATAGTCCGGACTCCATATGCAGAGTGAGAACACCTTCGAGGCAGAGGAAAAAACAGGGATCGACAAACCAAATTGTGATCCGAAAAGAATCTGCTGACAGACTTGTGAATGAATAACAAGTTTTTCCAGTTCACTCAAACTTGACCGACAATGTTGCGATGCTCTCTGTGTAGATATTCAACAAAGGTTCAATGTGGTATACTGACGGAACAACTTTTACCAAGAAAATGCTCATCAAGTAGAACACGGAAAGTTCTCATAAGACGGTGGGGCATGCTCTTTGATATGAAATACCCCGTTAGCAACAACCGCTGATACTTAGTACCTATAACACGACTTTAAGGGACAAGGGAACGGGTGGCACTTAATATCGTGATTCATTGGAAGACCCTCTTCCGATTTCTTCGATAAATCATGAATTGCAAATCATTTCAGCTTCAGTAGATTCACCGCATATTCGCACGATTTCGCTACAGGGGCTTTTGCATTGCATGAGACGTGACAGGAGCTCAAAGTTGGCCAACAACGTATACAATTTCTCTGAGATTTGGCCGGATGAGCTAAATATGACTCGGATTTCAAAACACTAGTGCCTTCGGCGACGTCCAGGTCCGAATGCAGCTGAACCGCCCTTGGCTTCCATTGCGTCACGATATAACCCCGAATGCATGAAGTCCTTAGACAGACGAGTGCCGTGAGACTCAATTCTGCCCAACCCGTGTAGAAACTGCAACAAGGCACAGGTCCTGTGACTCGACACGACACCACTCTCAAAGAATCTTGCCCTCTGCCTTCTCACCGGGTAAGCAATCACACTCTTCCTCGTCTCGCCATTCGAATGGCAATTGTCCGATTTGCTCGTATACCAACTGACTCACAATTCATCTCCAAAAAATTCATGACCCTCGTTCTTGACTTTACGATACTCCCTTCCTGGCCCTTATGTACTTCTTACGTCAGCTTAGTGACGGATTTCAGTATGAAATGACTCCGACCCGAAATGGGGTGGATGATTCAAGTCCGCTGGCACTCCTACATTAGCGTCAAGTACGTAATGAATTTCGGTACTAAAGTAGTGAAACTGTGTGAATGAAATATGGACATTACAGTTTGACTCCAATACCTGATGATTGAGACTAGAACACTTCAGTGATCTCTGTATAGTATTCTTTTTCTGCTGCTGCTTCTTCACGGAATAGTTCAATTGTCATAGGAGTCTACAAAGTGAAACAATAAAAAAAGGCGGGAATATTCTGTACTATCAAAAATGAAACCAAACGGTTACCATGGGGCTAACATCCCAAAATCCTCGCAAGAGCAATATGTGTACTCTTGCACAAAAAGTATCACGTTATTCATGTAAACAGTCTACATATAACATCTGTCTCTACATGATATTATCTCATGTAAAGACTTCTCTTTTGTATTGATCTTGGTTTAGTTCTCTTGTAAGAATATGAATGTTTGTTGATTACAATTGGGAATAGTATAAGCTACAGAGATAGCATATATCTTCTAATATATTTTAGTAATCTATCTCATAACCATGTTAACTTTTATGTTCATAAACTTTGAAAATAGAGGATCCAATGGAACTTATCTTTATAACCATTTGATTGAATTTGGAAAATTTTGTTTTTTGGCTCTTATTTTGTCATTTATATTCAAGGTTGAGTAATCAATTTCAAAAAAACAAGATATTGAACATTAACTAATACTCTCTAACACAGTAAGAGTATATATATATATATTTATTTATTTTAGCCACATGTTTATTTCTAAAACATCTTGTGCATTGCAAAATATTCTATTCCATCACGTGGAACTTTATTATTGAACTGATCAACATATGGTATTAACATATATCCAATATAACATGTCATGTATAATACTTTTTTAATCATCCATTTCAATAGCAATATAGCGTGGATATATATTGTTGTACAAAGACATGAATAAATGTATATATAATTATTTCAGAGTCTTTTGTGTTTGTTTGTTTCTTTCATTTCACTTGTCATCAAAATTACTTCTTATCAATATGGAAGTATAATGACACATCTAGACTTCAACCGGTGATCATTTCATATTTGAGATAATCATATCAATACTTGTAAACATTGTTATGTTGTCACACTCTAATTTCAAAAAAGTTGTTAGTAGTTCGTTGATACAATGATATCATGTTGAAGATGATAAGCGTTGGGTTTTTATATTCAAAATTAATTACTTTTTGTTCAATATTGAAAATATATGGGATAATAATGCTAAGAAAAAGTGTATTTAGAGTATTATTTTGCTTCAAGTATGGTATAGAGCTAAAAGATCATATGATTGAAAAAACATTTACATAAAAATACAGATAATGATCATAATAGTATTAATAGTCATAGATTCCATTAGCAATTTCGCTTATAATCAGCAATCAATTATTTCATTTTGATTTATTGCCAAACAAAACACATACACAAAATATATCATAGAAAAAATAGATAGAGAACTTTAAATTATTCATCACTTTGTGCTATATCCACAAAAACACATGCTTTGTTTGCACAAAGCTCTAAGATTCTATCACTACTATCTTGGCAAACTTTCTTATATATTGACAAACTAATTATCTTAATTACCCATACTTAATCTAATATGAGTTAAGTAAAAATTAAATACATTTTAAAATTTTTTCCTCTTGATTCATGTCCATAATTTCTTTAAAAATTTACGTCATAAAAAAAATATAGTAAGATATCTAGCATTTTTTTTTCTTTAAAACAGATTTGAGCTATAATCAAAACATTATAGAGATTTATTATATTTATAATATTAAAATTGCTAGAAAACTTTACTTGTGCTACATATGCAAAGTATCATGATGTATTTTAAATCTCTTCAAATTAATAATTGTAATTAATAAATCAATAAAATTGAATATTTTATCAATCTGGATTACCTCAACTTTCTTATGAAAGATTATATTGCTTATATATTGATACATGATGAATTTCGATATGCTTTGCTCTTTTATGTGTCTTTTTATTTTATACTAGATATAACGCACCTTGAATATCACAATAAAAATTGACAAAAAACTATATCTATTTCATCTTGATAATATACTTATTCACTCAAAGAACATACTTTTTGACTTTTGCTGTTACTATTTGCTTAGCTTATATAATTGATGAAGTTACGCAATTTTGCAAGATAGATCTTCAAAAATTCATTCATTCTCAAATATAAATACAAATCATATTGTAGGTTTTCTATTGTCCAAATCTTGTTTATAGATACTATAAACGGAAGATAAAAAATATTTAGTGTGATATCTTGCCAAAACAATTAGATAATATACTTGTTCAAAAAAAAACCTTATCTTTAATTTTTTGTATACTCGAAATTTCTTTCCATGATATTTTAATTGAACATCTTTAGATTTGACATGTAATTTTTCACCTTTTCCAAATCAATATTTACTGATTATCAAAAAAATATGAAATTATGCTTTTTTTAAATAAAAAATATATGACATTTTCTTTTCAAGAACATCCATTAGACACTAAACTCTAGATTACTTAAAATAACAATCAAAATTTCTTTGAAATCTACCATCTAAGCTTTAAGCAAAACCTGGATCTATTTGCATAAATAAATATTTTTCTTCAAATTTCTATTAACATTAGTGTATTTTATTTTTAATATCTTATTCATCTTCTTCAAATTAATTGAAATATACATTCAAGATTAAATTTCATTCAAATTGATTTATTATTTAATGACATTGGATTGATTTTTTTATAAAATAAACATATTATTCACACAAGATAGTTGATTATTATAATTTAATATTTCACTATCTACATACTTTATGTTTCATAAATACTAGGAATTAAAGAATGAACTCACTTAAGGAAAAAACATAAATTTTGAAGATAAAAAGTATTCAAATAATATATAATATTTTTTAATATAATAATATAAATAAATGATAAAATATAATTATCACTGATATAACAAATATACATCAAAAACACACAGAGTGTTGATGTGTTACTCTCAATTAACATATAAATTAGATTTTTTAATCTTTATCTAACCATTGTACATATTATTGATTTGTTATTTTCAACTAACACACTAAATAATATATACAATTTTTTTCTAACAAGAGTATGAATTATTTTCGTATTGTTAATGAGTAATGCATTTACTTTTCATATATCTAACAACAAATTGTTGAAGTGTTATTATTGAATAGCAGTTCTATTTTTATGTATGAAACATACAATTTGTTGCCATGATGATAAAGATTGTCCACAATAATATAAATCTGTATCCATCTTGAATAAAATTTACTTTAATTCTCAGTATTTTAGATCATTAAAAACCTTTTTTTTATATATATATTCAGAATCTTGCATTAAATATGTTGCATCAAAGGTTCACATTCAAAGTATTCAAGATGCATTAGATATATTTATAGTTCATTCTCGAATTGATTCATATGATGAAGAAAATTCTTATTGATACAAATAATAGATTTTGAAATATTTATGTAAATAATTATTTTTTAATATAATATTTATTTCAAATTTCTCATGATTTTCTATCAAGATTGGAATAGGAGATAGTGTGAATACATTGATGAATTATTTTGATACATGTTTTAACAATTTGAGCAAATAATACATGATGTATTGTCATGTATGAATTTTTTAAAAACTTTTTATGACACTTCATTCATGACACTTTCAATATAATAATAAATATGACCTAAATTTTGATTTTTTTATAACAATATCAAAAATTAAGTTATCAATAAGATTTTAAAAACAATCAAACATGAATATTTACATATTACATCTATAATATCATCATCCTTGGAATTAAGCATATTCTGCGTATGTTCCTCCAAGAACCACCTGTGGGGACTATGAAAAATCAAATTTTTACTTCTTTTATGTTCAATGATCGGATCTAAGAACACTTGCAGCAGACGAAACCACTCAACACGTCTGAAATGATGATATTTATTCTAACAAAAGGATGAAAGAAAAGATGAGGTCCAAAATGTTAGAAGTAACTCACATGATACGGTTCCATACAACCAGCAAATTGTCTGAGGGCGACATAGTCAGCCACAATGATATAGCCATTCAAATATTTTGTTCCCAGAGACAGACGAGATGTACCGTTGAAATGGCTCGACCTCTCTAGAACTATACTCAGCAGGCACATCTTCGATATATTCCAGCCAAAGCTCTCGGAATCCTGACATGTCGTTCCCAACTTGACATCGAGAACTGCGAGAGTTGGAGCAATGGTTAATCGGCTTCACACTAAAGTCAATAAATGTGGGTGGATTGAAGTTTACATCAACCTGCCGCGCAGCATTGATTTATGAATCCTCATTATGAATTGGATTATCTCGATAGTAAAGCCCTCAAGGGTAGGGGTATTTTCTACTTCCCTACTGATTGTCCATAAGATTTCCAACTTACAGCTGTTTTGCCGGTTTGCCTCACTCTAACATTCGACTTACTCTCAGCAGGGTTATATCGCATTGACCGTGGCTATCAGCGGGCAAATCAATAGGTGACCTGATCAGAAGACAGATCATAACTGGAAAAGAAAATTCACGTCCAACTATTACGTGATTTGAATTTGTTCCTGGCATGCACCACATCTGCATGAAATGTGGCAAGCTGCAGGCGTGATCCGGAAGCATCAATTGCCATCACCGCGTCCGAAATGGATTTCGAGCCTTCAAGAAATCGCTCGTTCTCAGGGTCGTTCCACGTTAAAATTAGATTCATTTCTAAAAATGCATCACAGGACAAGTGTATCTTGTCTGCTGCCCAATGACCCTCATCCAGCATGGAATCGAAAATAAAAAGCCATGTTGTGAATTTGCGGAGTCAAAGGAAATGTCTGAGCTCTATGTCTTCGTAGTGCGGATAGCCCACAAGCTCAGCAAGTCCGGAGGCCAGAAACGATTGCCACACGCTTGTATTCGCCTTCTTATCCAAGCCGAAAGAAATCAACCAGTCAAAAGAAATGTCCGTGTACTCGGCAGTCAAGGGGTTTAGTTGGTCCTTGGGAAAGCGGTGCTGGAAGTCTGGGGCTCTGTAATCGTTCTCAAAACTGATGCGGTTGTCATTTCTGTACAGCTCGCTCTTCAGCTGCCTTTGAACTCGCCCTTGTCTGAAGTCAGATCTGATGCTCAAGACGGTAGAATCCGAGTCTAAAGTTAGGGCCATCCCAGTGATGTTCCTGAATGTGAAACTTTTCGGAACAACAAGCTGGCTGGAAGTACTGTACGTATAGGAAAATCTCACTGATCTGATATCGAACTCAAACAGCGTCCATTTATACAAGAACTTCATACCTCAGTTCACTCAATTCATCGTCACAACGGTATTACGAAAGTGTGCAGGGTCCAAGAATCTGATGACTTTGAAGATTACGAGCTTCGTATGGGGACTCTACCAACCAGACTATCACACCTACACTGAAATTCACGTTTACGTGGAACTGTGTTTGCACACGACTCACTCGTACACCAACAAACAACCACACGATCATTGATATAAGACCAGTAGTAAAATCAAAACCCCAGGAATAGCACCCTCCTGTAAGGCTGAGGTTTGAGGTCTAGCTGATCGCAACGACTTACCACCCGTGCAGCAAGTCCTCTTTGGCATCTCAGCTAAAAAAAGGTATCCTTTCTACATTGTGTGTCTAGGATCCCATAAGGATGAAATCAATCAAAACATGTACATTAATGTACACATATAAGATTTGTTCTCTAGTCATATTTTTACTGGATGAATTGGATTGCCTTCTTCAAGTATACTCCACGGCACATAACCTCCGAGATTGCTCCCTGCAGTGTGACCAGCGGGAGAGAAGAATTAGAGATCAATTCGAGGCAGGGAAATAATCTTATAATGTGCTGCCATGAGAATTGGGATTTATTGGCAACGAAGAGTAATTTTAACTCGTCCAGTTCAAAAGTGAACCGTAAGCGGTTTGAGTTGAAGTCATTATCGGCCAAAAACGGGGTATTTTTAACATAGTGATGATCCGAAGATACTTGGTCCCAATTTTTTCCTCGCGTTACGAGCCTAGCCAAAACGCGATGTTATTACTCTGTAAAGAGTGAAATTGACATGATCAACTCTTTATTACATCACGCATTTGCCTGCAGTTCGTGAGGAAAAAGCACTATGGACATGAAACAAGAAAGAGATGTCGTGATCTCCATCTAAGATTCTTTTTGTGTCGTTTGAAAGCAAATCAACACTGAGTGACTCTGGCGGTCCGAAATCTTGAACTTTTCAACATCAAGTATGATGAACTAAGGTTAGCTTGGCTGCTGTTGCACGAATCAATCTTGACTCTAAATTCTCGACCATATACAATCCACAAATATCGCGAAGCCACCTAACTTTAAATTGTCTGCCATCTTTACAAATTACATCTTGATAGTCATGAGTGTTTAGGTTGTGAACATTTAATCATGCATTTTGAATTCTTCCAGTATCATATTATCTTTACCATTCCACCAAAACCACAAATACTTGTCATTTAGAACTTTACATCACATGATATCAAACTTAATTTAATAGCTTTTTGAATTCACTAGTTTTCATAGTACATTTGTAACAAAATTTGCTCTTTTTACTCAAGTTTGTGACCTATTATAGGTAAATGCAAAAAATGGATATAAATAATAAACCAACATTGATATTTTTAAAACATTGAACGATATTTTGTTGCATGCATTAAACTCAAATAACATGATTCCAATCGATCTTTCAAGTTCATTATTATGAATGAGATATGAACATTGGATGACATATTACAACAAGATTATAAATATGTATATCATAAATTATTTATCAAAATTTGATGATTACAAAACAAAATTAACATAAATCGAACTGTGATTAACTAGTTGTTGTATTAACAACAAAACCCTAGACTAATTTTTGAATATTTATAAGTTTGTGATATATACCTATCACAAATCATTGATTTATCTATAAATTCAAATATTAATCTAAATAATAAATTTGATCAGTAAGATAATATCATCATTTCAACATGAAGATTTTATATGTGGAGTGAAAGACAGAAGTTACGCATGCTTTCACAAGCATGTTATGTTATTAAATCAAAAATTTAAACCAATTGATGGAGCAAAATGACTCTTGTTACAAAATAGAATGAAAAAATCATTAAAATTTAAGAAAGCTAATAATTTCCTAGATCTTGAAATTCAAAAATATTGTATAAATATTTTGCAAAATAAAGAATTAGATACCTTGATTTTATCATAAAATCATAATACAATCATTGCAGATCATGTGGAAATGAAAAATACTTTGAATATCATACAAGTATAAGACTACTGGTACAAAATACAAAAAGATGTGGAGGTTTATGTTCAAGCTTGGTAAAACAAAACTTTGATAATGTCCATAAACTATCACTTTCAAACTAACATGGTTAACAAAGAGTATTAATAGTGTTTGTGGTTTTCAATTGTTTTGTGTTTTTCAGCCTTTTGACTGGTTCCCCGCTCTTGGTCTATTACCATTTACCATCACGATCAATACAATACATCAATCAACTAGCATAACCAATTTTTTCAACCTTGATAGGTGATATGGGAAATTTAAGCAAGAGAAAATTTTCAAGAAATTGTTTTGAGATTATAAACATATGAAATAAAAAATTTGATTTAAAAAATATGATATAATCAACTTGAAATCAACTAAATTTTTAAATAATGTACCTTTGAAAAAATTAGAATAGAAACGTATATGCAATAAAGACGTTACATTTTAGAAATATGAATGTTTGTTGGCATTTTTATCTGATTAGAAGTAAAATAAAGATCATTCAAGATGAACATATAACTGTATTAAGTAAAGTACCCACATTTGTTAATGATAATCCGATCCGATTACTTTATAAAATAATCCGCCATATCATCAATCTAGGTAAAATCAAATAGATGGTGTGGGTGAGATCTTATTTTATGAAATTATTTCATTATTTTCAATTCATGTAATTCAATGTTAAATTGAGAAAAAAACAAGCTTGAAATAATTAATCTTCATCTAATATATGTATATATTTTATATATTGAATTAGTTGATGATACAAAATAAAACATGCAAAATTATAGCAATATTTAAACCTTATTGAATTCATTGAAGATTAGAGATTTTAAATACCATTTAATGACAAGATTTGAAAATCAAAGTCCAAGATTTCAAATTTATAAAAAATTTATATCGTTAGAGTAAATTCTACTTTTAAAGATGAAATCTTATATTGAGAAATTTAATTTATTTTTCAAATAAAATAAATCATTTTTTGTATCAATGATTTTATATGATTTTTCTTTAACAATTAAACATGTTTGTAAAAATCCAATGTTTTTCTAATAAAAGAAAACATCCTTAATACATATACGGTTGATTGAGTACAATGACATACAGTTCTTATTAGGTATAGTAAAACATATTCGAAATTTGTCAAACATTTCTACCTAGGATGAAAATGACATGAAGCTTAATGATAAAATAACAAAGAAGAATGTGAGATATCGACATGATTGGTATTCGCTATTGCAATAATACGGTAATTTTACTCACAAGCATGTAAGAGTTATTATTCTCAGCTTCAACTCAGTCGGCATACAACTCTCTATTTATGTAGCAACAATAATTTGGTATGAATAAAAACCCCACATCTTTGGTTTGCAGCTCCACAAGCGGCACATGAAACATGATGAGTGATCAATCATTATGACACAATGCAATGTGTAATATTGTTAATGTGAATATCTTACACATTAACTCCGAACTAAATCCTATCTGTAATCATGTCTACCGACAACTATTTCAGTGAGTAGTATTTGTTGATAAGAAAAAAAGGAGATTTTATAGTGAGATACCAACCTTCTATGAAATACAAATTTCAAGGTTAGAATTCCCCATAAGAATGACTGGAAGTATCTATAGTAAAGCAGACTATTAAATAGTCCAGTGAGAATATACAGATGTAAAGCACAAACATTTGCTAGCCAGCTTGAGCATGTCATACTAGATAATCTCTGTCACGGGCACAAGAAAGATATAACCGGCTCACCATTTGATCGCAAATGTAATTGTTGTATCTTAAGCCGGAAGTAGAATCTCCTGAATCGAGAGACTGTCAAATAACCATTACCTGGCGAAATTCTTTGACCAAACCCTAAACCCTAAGTGAAACTTGAATCTTTGTCTTGAATCTTAAACCCTGGCACTGCATTTCCTGCCTGGAGGAAGTGAACATGAACATCGACACTGAGTCGTGATATCAGTACCTGTGGACTGGACAAGTGAATGAACGAGGACAGAAGAGGCTTGTCAAGTTCAAACTTTCTCTAGTTTCCACGGCTACCTTTCAATTTTATCGGCCGTGTATGAATCTGAACAGTTCCCAATTTTCCTCTGCCTTCCAATATTTGGAATTTTGAATGAATTGAGCCCAGGGATCGACAAAGTAGAGCGATTGAGCTAATAAAATCGAGTTGTCGTTAGACGGAAGCATGATCAAGTTCCAACGAAGAAAACTTCTCTTCTCACTGGGGTGTAGAACTGGACCATTCGGAAAAACTTAAGTTGCGGGAACAACAAGAGTACTATTGAGCTGAACATCTCAATGATGATGATAGTCTCAAATTCCCGATATCGATGAATTAAGAATGAACTGATTTTGCCGAATTCAGTCAAATTCATCCAACTGCTTCTCTGCAGGACCGCCTGGTCGTATAAGCAGTCAGCACATTTTAGCGTCAGTAATATGCAAGAAGCCAGGAATTTGGATTGGAGGGCTGCTCTGGATAGGCTGGTCGCCCGCCAGCCTAACATCACCAATGATTCACTCGTGAGAAGGATTTTGCACGAGGTAATGACTGTCAACCCCGTTCAATTTTGAGAAGAGTAGCATTATTGCGTCTTACACGCGTAAATTCTATTTTGCTTGCTAGCATCCTTTCTTGAGACTGACATTCTGACTTTTATCAGGGATGTGACGAGGAAGGCGACGTGTTTGCAGCAGCTCAGCAGTTGCTCTTGAGACCGCAGCTGACCGTAGCAACAGCGGGATGTTTTAGGCCATTGCTCTCGCGTTTAATTGACAGTCTTGTCCAGTCACTGCGGCAACTTTGGTTGCAGGGCCGGTCGTCGCCGGCAGTGAAGATGTCATCGACCACTTCCCAAGCAACTGAGAATTCTCCATTTAGTACCTGGAGTCTTAGTGTACATGAGCATGCTGTGATGGCCTTGAGTCGCATCCTAGAACTGGCACCATATACTTTGAGGTAGCTTCGAGGCCCATTGATATGAGCGTTGTTTGCCCGTATTCATTTATCAAAATTTTTGGCAATTGTGCATATGCTGTTGAATGTGCCGTGATTAAAGTTTGAATTAATCCATGATCTTTTAACTTATATTGAATTTTACGGTGAAATCAAGTCACCTCTGTATCTCATCATGCGGAACATCAGTCTTACGATCTTATTACAGATTTTGAGTTTTCTGTTTTTTCTGAAACTTTTACAAAATCCGATATCCTCTGTCTTTCGTCAGCAGGGATTTCCGAGTTCTACTTCCTACCTTCTGGTTTTGATTCCCGTCGTATTCTCAGCATGTTGTTGCAGTACTTCGCATTCGCACCCCCACCTTTTGAGCGGCTCCTCCAAGGCACGACTTCTTTGGCAGAGGTCGGTACTTCGTTTTGTTTCTAGATGTTGATCACAAGGTTAATAACTATCTTCACCAGAAACTGCTTCGAAATACACAACTTTGTTCTCAAATAAGGGCTGTGCTTTTAAAGTTCATAATTTTTTTTCAGCCATAGTATGGTCTCCACGGGGACATGCAAAGTTTATCCCTTCCCTCAACGTAGGTATTCACTTAGTGATCCCTGATCCAACTATCTATGTCAAAGTCGTATTGAGCTTCTTTCTTGTTGCTCAATGACGTAGCTTGTTCCTTCAGTCGTTTCTTGCTCTGTTGGCTGAAGAAATTATTCTCCTCTCATTACGTCTTGCGAATGCAGGATGTTCCCCCTTTGTTGGACGTTGTGCGAGCATGCTACCGCTTCTTACAGTTGGAACCCAAAGTATTTAGAGACTTGTGGGACTGGAGCCCGTTTCTTGATCTACTCCAATGGGCTGGCACAGATGCATCAGAAGGACCATCCAAACAAATGTGCCTCGATATTCGATGGTGTGCTGCTCAAATTTTGTCCATTGTGTTGAGAATGAGCGATGGAGCTACTAGATTGATGACTCTGAAAGTTTCAGGTCTCACAGAAGAAGATTGCTTTGCCTGCCTCTTGAGGTAATACCAAGAGCTTCCGAAGTTTGAAATGTAGATGAATTACCTCCTACTGCTGTACTCTTTTCAAACTTTATCCGCAATGTCCCAGTTCTGCTGCTGTAAACCATTGCTTCAAGCTGCTATCAATTGTCAGTTAATGTGATTGGTAAATGTCTAAAGCAAAGCAAATGCTCAAACTTGCAGATGGGAAGCCTTTGGTCACGAAATAGCCGTGGAGAAAGCAGGGATGTATCTAGAACAGTATGTCAAGTCAGACATTTCGTTGAGTGAAGGATCTCAGAATGAAGAAGTCAAGAAGAGGAATGGTTTAGCTCTCATGGATGAATTTCAGTCGGTTGTAAAGAGGACATCCGAAGTAGGTGCATCTTTCGTTGAAATATGTGGCATCGAACTGCCTGTTAGACTGGATTCAAGCAGCTCAAGGTTGGCACTTCTGCTTCAACAATGGTTTTTGAGGCTCAAAGTTAAATTGGATTATTGAAGGAGATCAATTGCAAAGCTTGCTGTCGCTGATTATATGTGAAATTAACTTTGCGTTTACATGCTTACAGTGTTGCACACATATAGTTGTGTTCAGTATAAATGAGACTAGAAATGAGCTTTACATATTTTGTTTGCATCTTCTCTTTTGTACCAGGAAATAATTAATGAGTAAGGTTCACTTTTATTCCTTTAAGAACGTAAAATCTAGTAAATTTTCTCATGGTCGGTGATTCGAATTACGTTGTCAATTGAAACTTTCTTGGATATCGTTTTTGAAGAAATGATGTTTTCTTGGCTTGGTCTACAGTTCAGCTTGTCCTTCCACGAGTTCGTTTGTGCTCACCTCAACCGTGAAGAAGAATTTGGAGTCTGTAGTACTGGCTTTGAGCCAGAGACAACCTATTCTTTTGGAAGGGCCCATAGGAGCTGGAAAAACATTGCTTATACAAGAACTTGCTGACCTTACTGGGAACTCAGGTACTTATGACACTTACCCTACGTATTCTTAGGTTCAGTTTAGTTTCACTACCTGAATAGTGCACTACTCGTGGGACAATAATATGTTTTTTCTGATCGTTATGAATGTTTTATCAGATGTTGTCTTCGTACATCTGGATGATCAGATGGATAGTAAGACTCTGCTTGGCAATTATGTCTGCACGGAGATTCCTGGGGAGTTCAAGTGGCAACCAGGTGCTCTTACGCAGGTAGATGAGTAATCTTTTCCTTTCAAATTCTGTTTCCTGAGGGTTTTGAGATCGTGGGATTTGATCCGTTGAGTTACAGTCTCCTATACGTGGGTTGATTGCTATGTTGCACTCACGAGATGATTACAGGCTGTACTTCGGGGTTTGTGGGTGGTCTTCGAAGACATTGATCGCGCTCCTCTGGAGATACTATCTGCTCTAGTTCCTCTCTTGGAAGATCGGAAACTATACTTAGCCGGTCGCGGGGAAGTAAGTTTTATGACTCTTTTATCATACCTTGGACTTTCTAACGAACAGATGTTATGTGCATATCTTGTTTACCTTTATACCTCTGTTATTTTAGGAGTGGCCACCACAGCAGTCAAATTTCTCTTCGGTACTCCTTGTCACACGATTCTGGCTGTCCTGTACTTCTAGCATCACTGAACAACATCACGTTACGACTATTTGTTCAGGTTATAAATGCCGCGGAGAACTTTTGCTTATTTTCGACGGTAACGCGGACTAAGTTCGGTTCGGCTTCGGTTGGCGGTATGTCCTGCTGGAGCTCTCAATTTTCTGAGAATTTTAGGAAGGAGTCTCTCTGTAGGATCAAAGTCTTGCTCACGATTCACATCTAGCTTTTGGTATATAGGCACTGGGGTGAGAAAGGAAGAGCGCATATATCCTAGGCATGCCCTGTTTATGGTCGATTCTGTTCTACTGTCTGCAAAAAGTTTACACTAACCTTGTTTAGAATATATTTGCTCGCACGTCGTCAAGTGCTCCATTACTTCTTCGATTTGAGAATCACAAGCTTGCGTCTGCTGTGTGTCCAACTTTTTCCAAAATATCTATACATTACGCCAGTATGTCTGCAGAAATATCATATCATTACCGCATTGTTATTTTTCAGGTCTGTAGTCACGGTTACGTGGGCAGTGTTTATGATGCTGTTATATTATCTTGACTACAGTTTGTTTGATTTCTTAACAGGGAAGGATATGCTAACCAACCTTTGGAGGAAGGTGGTCATCGATTCTCCAAGTGATGACGAGCTTGCGGTCATTATAGAAGCTCGCTTTCCTATGATTTCAGTTCTTATACCCAAACTTATCGGTAAGGATGCTTTATTGTAGAAGCATGGTCAAATGCTTGTTGTTTATTATGTCCTCCAATTAAAAGGCTAGAGAAGCGTATGCTTGACATATGTTCTGACTCTTCCAAGAAGAACCATTTGGTAAGTTCTATTTTCATTGTTGATGCTGAGCTTTTGTGATGTAAAATGTCTTTCATAAGTCTTTCTTCTGCCAACGACATCACTAATTATGATGCATTTCCATGGTATTTTCTTGAAGAGAGAACAGTGGTATACATGCGAAGTTGTGATATTGTTATGTGAAGTTTTAACTCGGGTTTTTGTCTCAACAGGAACGTTGAACATGGTAAGAGAGATGACATCTCAGTCATCTGTATTGACAGATGGCCTAGGGGCCATTTCTGTACATATTGGGAGGCAGTTCTCTACCAGGTAAATTTGATTTTGGAACGTTATTTGCCACACAACGAAGAGTCTGGGTCACCTTTTCTTCGTCAACTGTCTACTCATGCTGTGTACAATTTGATAAATAACACTTTCATTTTCTTAGCGTGTAATGGAAAGTGAAAATTGTTTCTGTTGCAGAGATCTTGTAAAGTGGTGTCAAAGAATAGTGATTATTGGCTCACAACATTTCGAAGGACAGTTTCTTTCCACCTACGCACGAGAGCGGATATTTGTCGAGGTTTCTGCTTTCCTTGTATTTTACTTCGAAGCTGAGTATTTTTTTGGAGTTCCAGTAAAACAATAGATTTTCAGCGTGATTCACCCGTATTTTTTGGTGGCACGGATTTTTCTGTTCTCCCTTCCGCTGTCTTCGAGTTCTCGTACTTGGGGTTGATCTCCCTGATGCTAATTATGAGCATTTTCTTCTTCTTCATCACAAAGATCTGAATCATATAATTTACTTCGAGACTGCAGGCTATCGACTGTTTCGCCGGATCTATCTCAAGCATTGCAGATCGACAGTTGGTTATGAGGGCGATTGCAGAGCACTGGGAAGTTCCACTGGAAAGAGTCAATTTTTTCAGCACATTGAACAAGCCCTCATTACAGGTAAAGCTGATTCTATTAGCTGTAATATTTACCCGAGTAGCCATGTTCTTATCTGCATCCTACGAGCTCAAAAAGTACTATTTACTAAATTCTGTAAGGAATTTTTTTTTTTCATATCTCTTTTTAACCTGTCAGAGCCGTTTCAGTAACCAATAAATGCATCTGTTCAGGTATCTCGATCTGCTGTTCAACTTGGCCGAGCAACTATCACATCATCAACTCACAAGGTTCTTTACTAATTGAAGCCGTGAAATCTTAGATCAATGTTGTCACCGCATTTTTCTCGTCAATGATGCTTTGTCGCCCTTTCGAACGACTCGGATACCTGGTCCGCCCTCGTTGTATACCGAGTATACACACTTGTCTTTATACAAGGTGGCAGAGAAACAGCAAACAACAAGAAGGAATGCACATGATGATGAAATTATCTCCTCCTCAAGACTAAGTCAAGTGCTTAGATGTTAGTAAAATGCCACGGTGTTTGCAGCAGAACGATGTTTCTGTTCGCCATTACCTTATCTTATAATTCCTTTGTACAGCTGAAAATATCTGGTGTTGCATTTTCATGATGCAATATATAAGTCGGTTTTACAGTCGTTTAAGTCAACTGTGGGGTGAATATCTGATTTGTCATGCTTAATAACTGTAATGCTCGTATATTGCATTTAAAATAAAATTGGGTATCTAATATTTTATTTGCCCCTTTTATAGGGCAAGAGTCAGGGAGGTCGACCTTTTGCTCATACTGGGCAAGCCATGCGTACTTTAGAAAGTATAGGCGCTTGTGTACAACAGAAGGAACCCGTATTACTTGTTGGAGAGACTGGGACGGGAAAAACAACCATTGTTCAGTACTTGGCAAGACAGATCTCGATGCCTTTGGTTGTTCTGGTAAGTTATAATTTCAATGAAAACGCTCTCTTTTGTTGTGCTGGAAGTGACTTGCTCATATGCAAAAATTGTGCAAAAATTGTGATTTTTATGTATGGTATATGACTTTTCCACTCGTGGACATGGCAGAATCTGAGCCAACAAAGTGATAGCGTAGATCTTTTGGGCGGCTACAAACCTTTGGAAGCACAAAACGTGTGCATTCCTCTGTTTGAATCTTTCAACATCCTATTTCGAGAAACTTTTCCCATGAAGGTAAGGGGTCCTTGTCTTTGCTTTCTACATGTCTTCTCTGGAGACATGTAGTGCTCCTCTAAGACAGTTTTTCAAATGTTGAATACATTTAGAGCACTCCAAGGAAAACATGCACTATTTGAATGAAATTTTAATTCATAAAATATCTGCGGTATTTCAGAAAAATGCTGATCTTTTGGAGCAAGTGGGTCGCTTGGCTGAAAGAAAGAGATGGGAGAAGTTATTGAAAGCTTTCCGAACTACCGTTGGTACAGTGTCGAAGCTTGCTGGATTGTCGTTTCCTGCGCCGGACGATGACCTCCGATGTACATCTGCGATTGTATCGGAAGACTCTTCTGATGTGGTGGATATGGAGCAGCTTCCAAAGAGGAAGAGACCACTCAAGGACAGAATACTCAATGGATGGCGTAAATTTTCAGCTCAACTTTATAAAGCTGAACGCCAAGTTGAGTCGGCGAAAACCGCTTTTGCGTTTTCTTTTGTTGAAGGAGCACTTGTGAGAGCTCTGAAAGAAGGTCATTGGATATTATTAGATGAGATCAACTTGGCCCCAACAGAAACTCTGGAGAGACTGACGGGTGTTCTAGAAGGAGAAAAAGGTTCATTGTGTCTTACAGAACGTGGCGACGTGGAGAGCATCATGTGGCACCCGGATTTCAGAATTTTTGCTTGTATGAACCCTGCAACTGATGTAGGAAAACGCGACTTACCTCTCTCTTTGAAAAATCGCCTTACAGAGTTTTTTGTTGACGAGCTCACCAATAAGGAGGATTTACATACCTTTGTTTATCAGTATCTTGAGACGGCCCTGCCAAATCCTCCTGTGGAGGATATTGTCAACTTCTACCTGCTGGCTCGTCAAGAAGCAGAATCAAGGCTTCTTGACGGGGCAAATCAGAAGCCTCAGTACAGTCTACGTTCATTGGCACGTGCTTTGGAATATACTAAGGCAGCAATGTCCATATACGGGTTCCATAGATCTATGTATGATGGCCTTTGCATGTCATTCCTCACGCTCCTCGATCGTCCTAGTGCCTTAATCATGGACCAGCTTATACTACGGTCTGTATTCAAGCAGACAGGGATAGCGGGTGCGAAGTGGTTGAAATCACTTCTCAAAATTCCTGTTCAGCCTAGCTCCCAACATGTGCTATTCGAACAGTTCTGGGTTGAGAAAGGAAACGTCGAACCATCTGAGCTGTCCTTCGAATCCTGTCAGAAATATGTCCTTACTCCTAGTATCCGGGAACATCTGAAGAATCTTGCACGAGCTGTCTTCGTTCGGAAGAATCCTGTTTTGCTTCAAGGACCTACTTCAAGTGGTAAAACCAGCATGATTGAGTACCTGGCTTTGACAACTGGCCATCGATTTGTTCGTATCAACAATCACGAGCATACTGATCTGCAGGAGTACCTGGGGTCGTATGTAACTGACAATTTCGGAAAACTTGTTTTTCAAGAAGGAATTCTTGTTGAGGCTGTACGCAAAGGATACTGGATAGTGCTTGATGAGCTGAATCTTGCACCGTCTGATGTCCTTGAAGCATTGAATCGTTTGTTAGATGACAACCGAGAACTTTTTGTTCCAGAGCTTCAGTTGATGGTCAAGCCACATCCTCACTTTATGTTATTTGCTACGCAAAACCCTCCTGGTATTTATGGAGGACGCAAAATCTTATCACGAGCTTTTCGTAATCGTTTTATTGAGCTGCATGTGGATGACATTCCGGATGACGAGCTTCAAGTGATACTTGAAAAACGATGCCAGATTCCTGGAAGCTATGCTAGCAAAATGGTCGAAGTGATGAAGGATTTGCAACGGCATCGTCAGAGTAGTAGAGTTTTCGCTGGTAAGCATGGTTTCATCACTCCCAGAGATTTGTTTCGGTGGGCAGACCGGCATGCAAACGGTTATCAAGAGCTTGCAAGAGATGGATACATGCTCCTTGCAGAAAGATTGCGTGATCCAGACGAGAAGCTGGTCGTGCAACTGACTTTGGAGAAACACATGCGTGTGAAGATCGAATTAGAAGAGCTCCATGAGGTTTCGTTTCTCACTACTTTCGTTTCCCATATTTTGCTATTCGTTTCGATGTTAGCGTGATGTTTTGTTTTCTCTGGCTAGTGCTAACAAGTCGTTTTCACTGCCGCAGCTCTCTGGGAGCGGACGCCTCAAAGAAGTCAGTGATTATTTAAGTCTACCCGAACATTTTCCTACATTTGGCAAGTACGTATTCTCAAAGAAAGCCATTTCCATTTATATGCGCACTTACAAATGACCACAAGTATTATCTTTGCAAAACTTAGTATTCTTTACATGGTAGCAGTTTTCATTTGGTTCTTTTTTCATTGGATTTGTTTACGTTTGATCGAAGTCGTAGTCTCTTATCCTTGATTCCGTATTTGTACTCAGTCTTGCTATAGCGAAGTTTATATATGTATATATACCATTATGGTTGAAGTCCTGGATACCATAGATATATCACTCAGGTATATTTACTTGTATATGTTCATCGAAAAACTCTGATTCTTTCGTTAGGTCATTAGATCAATACCCTGTGGTATGGATTTGAGTTCTGTTTTCCGCTGCTTTCAATCTGAAGAATAATGAGCGGCACTGACTTGTGTGCTTTACAATAGGATTGTGTGGACAAAGAGTATGAAGAGACTGTTCAACTTAGTGGAGCATTGCATAAGACACAGTGAGCCTATTTTACTTGTGGGTGATACTGGCTGTGGCAAGACGACAGTATGCCAAATGCTGGCTCTGTTTCTGCGTCAGAAGCTTCACATTCTTAACTGTCATCAACATTCTGAGACAGCAGACTTCATAGGGGTGAGATCAACGAAGATGTTGTCGAGCTTGCTGTGTTTCTCCTTTCCGTTTCCTAGTCGTTGTTCAGAGGCTGTTCGTTATAATCGTAAGATGATTTCCTCGTCACACATTTTGATGTTGGTCAACTGTCAAACTGGAACGCTGATCATGAACATGTTTGTCTATACAACATACGTATTGTTGATGACAGGGTTTACGTCCCGTGCGTGAGAGAGACAACCTTGCCGCAAGGTTTCAGGCTGTCCTCCAAAATCTTCGATCTTCAAATTTGTTTCAGAAAGTATACATTGACGAGGTATTACATTTGGCTTGTGATTTCGCATCTTTTGCTCCAAGTTACGTCTTTATCTGTTTAAAGGCTTAGTTGTTTACATATTCTCGCAGTAATGAGCGCTCAGTACATTTTAATAAAAGATTCAAGTTTTTTCTTGATTTGTATGCCACTATAGTGCTTGTGAAGCTGGTCAGCCTTTGGTTTATGAATCTTCTGTCTGATGTGCCGCAGCTGTCATCTAGTATTGAAGATTCAGCCACCACTCTGGGGACAATTAGGAGTATTCTTTTTCAACTCAAGACACCCTCGAATAGTGTGAAAGACCAAAGCAAGTTCATTAATGAAGCCGAGGAGATCGTAGCTCTCGAATCAATGGAAAACGAGCTAACTCGTTTACAAAGAGAATGGCAGTCTCTGTTTTTATGGCATGATGGGCCACTTGTCGAAGCCATGCGAAATGGGGATTTCTTCCTTATTGATGAAATATCTCTTGCGGATGATAGTGTCTTGGAAAGATTAAACAGTGTTTTGGAGCCGAAACGTTTGTTGGTAAGTAAACTTTGAAAGGACTACATTGTAATGGTGACGATGAAATCAATGGGGAGCATTGATGCCTTGCTCCTCACCACTTTCCGTTTTTGAGTGTTCCTGAACGCACAAACTCATTACAAGATTAGTCCCCATCGTACCGGTGTTGCTCGAAAATCATTTGTTGTAAGCTTCATGTTAGAGTTCTTGCTCTTTGCTGTATATTCTATATTCAATGTGACTTGTCTTTTTTAATTTGATCGACGTCGTCAGATTGGTCGTTTTGTGCTGTTGTGTTTCCCAAGTTATCATACTTTAAACTGTCTAGTTTATCACCACGTGTAGGCCAGAGAGAGTGTAAGAGCAGCCTTCGGGCGAACACACAAGATCGCATTATACCATATTGTGTCGGCAAGACCGTACGCTGGGTTCTCATATCAATATTCACTGCAGGTTTTAGCAGAAAAAGGAGGCTCGACTGTGGAAGAAATAGTTGCTCACGCAAAGTTTCGCCTGCTTGCTACGATGAATCCCGGAGGAGATTTCGGCAAGAGAGAGTTGTCACCAGCTCTTCGAAATAGGTTCACCGAAATTTGGGTGCCACCCATATGTGATGTTGAGGACTTGCGAAGTATCGTGACTGACAGGTTAGTTGGTGCACTGGACAGTCACCCATATCAGAATATCTCTTGGACTATACATCTTGATGTATTCTTGTTTTTTAGCTGTATGCTTGTTTTTTAGCTGTATGTTTGATCGAATGATGCCCGTCGGGTAGATGTGCTCGATGAACCTGGATCCCTTTGTCACATCGGATTTGAGTAACCTTACCCCTTTTTTGTCTGTCACTCGTTAGAGCATGACATTTTCTGTCATGTCTCTCAAATGTATCTGTCATTTATGGATTGTCGCTGCCTGCTTCCCTCTTCCTCATTCACTCGCAGGCTTCTGTTCTGAATACTGTATGATCCTTTTCCGGTCGAATCCGTCGCTCTCTCCACCAGGAGGCTAGGCCTTGTTAGCTATGGCTTGTGTGCGGACTGTTCCTTCTTTCTTGACTCTTTCGATGTTTCGGGTTTAATCTTTTTATCTTAGCCCCTTTTGTTGCACCTTCCGGGTCTGTGCTCTTCGGTCTCCTTCCGTGATTAAGTCAGTGCTGTTGTACACCTGTTTCGTTAAATTGTACCAGAAGTAGACATTGACATGAACATATGTTCTTTTGAGTGGTTAGAATATCGTAGGATGCTGAAATCATCTGATTACTTCTGTTACAGGTTTGCACAACCAGAACTACTATCGCTCACTGAGCCTCTTCTTCACTTTTGGCAGGCAAGTAGTGAGAAGTTGTCTGATGTTTAGCAGTTGAAAATTTTCACTCAAGGGTTTGTATGCGCAGAAATACGTTTAATCTTGTTTTCTTCGATATATGTATCTTCAGTTGTTTACAGAAATCCCTCTCATCCGGTTCTGCGAAATTGTTTGTCTTCCAAGGTACTAGATCGGTTCGATTCATGCTAATGTTCTTTCTTCTTACTTATCTGCAGTGGTTCCAAAATCATGGTGACCAAGGAAGAGTTCTCTCCGTAAGAGACCTATTGTCGTGGGTGAGCTTCATAAACTGTACTGCACAAGGTGTCGGATTGAGCGCTGCCTTTGTGCATGGAGCACTTCTTGTACTATTGGACGGGCTGGGTCTGGGTACGTTATTCTGTAGAGTTTTCATATGATCAGCTTCATACATCAGCAAACTTCGTATATGCAGTAGACCACCCTCGATATGCAAGGCATCGTGTACGCAATGTACATCTATTCACGCACTTCAGTAGTCGTTGTGCGGTACTTTGAGTTTTATCAAAATCTGGAAACGTTTGAAGTGCATGTTTATCTTCACATTTTTTCACGTATGTCATGTATTCCCTCTTATCAGTGTAAGTTATTCAAGGAGAAGGATCAGAAACCTCAAAGAGCGGCGTACATTTGTTTTACGTAGTATTTACTGTTTTAATGGCTACAGGTACTGGATTGTCGAGTACTGCAACTGAAAAGCTGAGGGGCAAATGTTTGGACCACTTACTGCAAGAGTTGCCTGATGTAAAGCAATCTACTCCTATTCCTACGTCGTCGCAATTCATTATCAAGTCAGTCAGAACGGAATATCGCAGTGGACTTTTTGAATATGTTGAGAGACCAGTAAATATCCTGCACACTTCAGAACTGAGGTGAGGTTGCGATTACTTGTCGCCGTCTTGCAGAACGAAAGAAGTGCCTTGATAGCATCTTCGCACTTCGAAGGAATCAACTCTAGGTCGGATGTGAGAAGGAGTATTGAGCATGAAGTTCGTCCCATGGAAATTGAGACATCTGCAGACTCTTCTCAGAAAATTAATCTTTTTGGAATACATCCCTTTTTCATACCGAAAGGTATACCTCTAATCTCCAAATTATTGTTCTACGGTCTCATGGAGTTCTCTCTCTTGTGTTTTCACTTCTGTTCTGTTTTCTGATACTAATTAGTCTCTTCATGTTAGCGTAGCTGAAAAAATATGCAGTTAAACTTTTTCTTAGATGGTCTCTATCTTTCAACATTGGAGGCTGCATGATTTCTTCTGAAACTAGGTTGAATTGCAGGAACACAAGGACACCAACACGTGACATTTGAATTGTCTGCGCCAACAACAAGCTGGAATGCTCTTCGAATCTTAAGGGCTATGCAGCTATCTAAACCAGGCAGGGCCGCTGTTTTTACTCGGCTACTTCCTCCCGCGATTGAGTAAAGAATTGAACAAACGGATGACTGTTAACTTACTCGTTTTCCCTTTGGCTTTATCTTTAACCTGTTGTATTAACAAGTTTCTGTGATGTAACGTGCAGTTCTTTTGGAAGGTAGTCCTGGTGTGGGGAAGACAAGCCTGGTCACAGCTTTAGCAAGGAGTTCTGGTCATGCGCTCGTCCGAATAAACTTGTCTGAGCAGGTAAGCACTTTTTTCTGCATTGACGGTGCAAAATATGTATTTTGGATACCATCAGTCCTCGCAGGTCACTAACTTTGTGCTCGCGATGACCCTCGCAGACTGACGTAATGGACCTTTTCGGATCTGACATGCCAGTTGAAGGGGGAAAGAGTGGAGAGTTTGAATGGTCTGATGGCGTTTTCCTGCAGGTCACACATGTCCACATTTTTCCTCTGTTGATATGCGATGTTTTTTCTCATGTAGTTTCCGTTATCGTCATAGTTTAGTTCATAGGTCAAAAAATTGTTGTAATCTTCACCCACCATTCATCGAAAAATTGTCTTGGTCTACAGCTAGACTTCTTTGGCACTCCCTTTGTCTCGGAAGATGTTGGACGTGGTAACTGGTTCTGAAGTTGTAAGTCCCACCTGTGCAGGCATTAAAAGCAGGCCACTGGATTCTGTTGGACGAACTGAATCTCGCATCGCAATCTGTGTTGGAGGTATTGTAGCGTTGTGTATCGGAGGAATTTATATCTTAGAGTTTGATATACAAGCCACTTCTGAAGTAAAGTCCTCGATTCTCTCTTAACACATTCTTTTTTAGTAACCACCTCTTGGTATGTGCAGGGTTTGAACGCTTGTTTAGATCATCGTGGAGAAGTGTTCATACCAGAGCTGGGTCTAGTTTTCAAGTGCCCTCCAAATTTCAGGGTCTTTGCCTGTCAAAATCCAATCTCTCAGGGAGGAGGGCGGAAAGGCCTTCCCAAATCATTCCTTAATCGTTTCACAAAGGTACGATCTTGATGAGGTGAATGGTAAGCTTCAACATAGTCAATGGTTTGTTATAATTACCTCCACAAAAGTACTGTGCTTAACAATAACGATTGCCAAGTGTCGCAGGTTTATGTAGATGCATTACAAGAGAATGATTATCTTTTCATTGCTCGGGCTCTTCATCCCTCCATTCCGGAAGGTTTACTGGAGAAGATGGTTCGATTCAATGGCCGTGTTTATGAGGACACTATGGTTGCCCATGCATACGGGCATTCGGGATCTCCGTGGGAGTTTAACCTTCGTGATATTCTGCGTTGGTGTGAACTGGTTGAAGGTATCCTCCTCAGTAGTAAATTAATTTCAGGATTTGCGCAGTTGTTTGTATTATTCTTCTCTATCAAGACTGCATGTCCCTAACAAAGTCTGTGAAACCGCAGGCATGGATAAAAGATGGTCTCATGAGGCCTTGGTGGAGAGTTTTTTGGACGTTGTGTATCTGCAAAGAATGAGGACCAAGGACGACCGGCATCATGTCTTGAGTGTTTACAAGGATGTATTTGGAGTGTCTGCTTTGATAGACACATACCCGCTTTTTAGAGTAAGTCCCGAGCATCTCCAAGTCGGGAAGGCTGTATTGCCGCGTAAAAGTGATACGCAGATTCAAAAAGATAACTTCAGTCAACTGCGGCTTTTACCAGGCATTGGAAATAGAATTGAAAGCTTGCTGCACTGCGTGAAAAGGGGCTGGATGTGCAATTTGGTCGGGCCTGCGGCTTCTGGTAAAACAAATCTAGTTCGTCTATTGGCCGCTGTCACCGGGAACACTTTGCATGAATTTGCACTGTCTAGCGGGACAGACACAACTGAACTCCTCGGATGCTTTGAGCAATATGATCCATTTCGTCGTTGGCAAGACATTGTCAGAAGAGCGCATCATTCTCTAGAAGCTATTTGTTGCTACTGTCTTACTGTTTCCGAAAACACTCTAAGTGTGGAACGCAAGTTAATGTTGGTGAAAAGTTTGATGAGCTCGTGGGCTGCTTTTCAGAAATGTTTAAGTTCACGGGGCCGTTTACCCGCGTTTACTTTACTGAACGAAGAGAAAGATGTGTTAGATCCTTTGTCTGTAGAGATGCTCCTACAAACATTAGAGCAGTTGATACAGACCTGTAGGGCCTGTAATATACAGTCGTTGAGTGCAGGATTGCAACCGCATCAGCTCGCGGGCAGTCTTAAAGCTGTACAGGAGTGTGTCGGGAAGGTGCAAAAGTTAGGTCGGTTTGAGTGGAATGACGGAGGTTTACTCAAAGCAATTGAAAATGGAAACTGGGTATTATTGGAGAACGCCAATCTTTGCAATCCAACGGTTAGTGGGAACTGTGGAACTCTTTGCCATTCATCCAATTGTTTCTATCGTGTTTCTCGCCTTTCTCCTTCCAGTATTAACACATTTCGGTTACAAGTTGATTTTGTATCTGGCACTGTAAGATATATATCAGAAGTTTTATGAAAACTAATCACGATCTACGATTTCAGGTACTTGACAGGCTGAATCCGCTGCTGGAGCCGGATGGTACTATAATGATCAATGAGAGGGGGCTTGTGAACGGTGAAGCTATGTTAGTTCGGGCACATCCTGATTTCCGGCTGTTTATCACCGTTGATCCAATCTACGGTGAAGTCTCAAGAGCGATGCGCAATCGAGGAGTTGAGATTTTTATGATGGAATCAGATTGGTACTTTCCGGAGCCAAAAGAGCCCTCGTCCCTGTCAAGACTAAATGATCTTGCCAGTGAAAGTGCCTACAAACTTCTCGTGCAATCTGGAATTCCTGGCAATATCTTAATTGAGGGTATGTATAAAGCGCATTTGGATATCAAAATGTACACAAAATCCTTACCAGGAGGAACGCATGTCTCGTTAAGAACACTTTCTCATTGGATATCACTGTTACACCAATTGCTTGAACGAGGAGCAAACTTTACTTGGAGTCTAGCATGTAGCTGGGTGCAGACCTTTGTTCGTCATCTTGAAAATGCACCAGCAAGAGAAGCAGCTCTACACATGTTCCACTCACGCCTTTCGAAGTTGGACTTGGGAGGCAGTCATCAAGAACTTAGTCTTTTTGTTCCTGGAGGCTGGCCAAGTCCCCACAATTTGAGCTTATACTGCATGAGATCCAAAGAGTCTAACGTGAAAGTTGACTCAATGTATGTGGAGCAGCTGATAAGTGAGTACATTTTGATGCAATCGGCAAAGAATGGGAGGTCTAATCTGCAGAGGAGCTCAGGTGGTATATCTTGTTCCTCGATTGCGAGCAAAGTCGACATCTTTACATACCTATCTCCCAGACTTTTATATAGAATCTTGAATCCTTCAACTCGGATGGACGGGGACACAAGGACCAACTTTGATGATCAAAACTTGTTCCGGGATATTGAGGCTAAATTGCATTACGCAAGTCTATGGATGATTGAACACGGAAGTTTGTCTGACATGGGACTCCGTATTCTATGGCTCAATAGCTTTGCAGCCAAGATCGAGGGCTTTGATCGCATTTTTCTTCCTCTTGTCGTAGCTTTGGAGAAAGAATTACAGCACGCTATTGGTAAGGAGCTCCTTCTAGCATGGGAGCGCTTGGAATCTCAAATCGGAGGAGATTTTTTTTATAATGTGATCCCATACACTTCTGGGAGCAAAGCTTTAACTCCTCGTTTCCAAAACGAGGGAAACAGTGAGCTGTCAAAGGATGCAGTGAGTCAGGTGATGTTTTTGGGGAAAAAACTGTTATCTCTTCGCCGTAGTCTTCTCCAGTGGCACATTGAAGATGAAACATACAAGTCTGTGCCAACTCAAGCTTGGGGTTCGCTGCAGAGCCCTATATTGCAGTCTTACTGGCATTCTGTACATGGATCCACAAGAAAGGCTGGAATGGTCTCCAACATTCCGAAGACCATGGTGAAATATCTCTTTCCCTTTTTTACGTCAATGAGGAACTTTGAGAATGAGATTCTTACTAGAAGTGGTTCGGAAGTTTGGTTCTTGAGCGTGGAGTCGCTGGTCTCAAAGCTGCAGGAGTGGCATGAAGATCTTTGGAAGATCTTGATACAGCCTACATTTGTCAGGGAATTATTTCTGTTCTACTGGTTGGAGACGAAGCAAACCTTGATTCAAGTCATTAGACTTGCTGTTGGGATCCCGGATATTGGAAAGGTAGGAAGATATGATCACTTTTCACGGATTGATACTAATGTTATCTTACTTGGAATATATTTAGCACAACTAGTTTGGCGTCCCCTTCCTGTCCTAACTAGGTTGAAGCACACAATAGGCCCACAGGTGTTGTCTGATGTTGGCTATACACGAGTTTTGCTGTCCGTTCGTGTTCATACTTATAACGGGTATCTTTTTTTGTCGAATCAATAAAGAGAGTACCGGAGCGTTTGTGTTGCGAATCTACTCTGAAGACTTCTAACAATAGTGGACATGTTCATGAGTTTCCAGATAGCAGAATCTTTGGAGGACATTGTGCGAAGCTTAGATGAAGGTTTCAGTTTTGGGCCTGGATCAGGGTTCAGACCGCTTCTATGGAAGTACGGGGGTCACCCTCAAATGCTAAGTTCCAAAGAATTGTATGAGCAGGAACGGTCGGTTTTGGCTTTATGTCAAAAGGTTTGGGAATCACCAGAACAAGGTATGTAAACCCTTATATCTGTAAACAAAAATAGTGGTGCTAGGTTTGAGAAGTTGCTCCTGACCTTGAGTTCTTTCTTAATAATGATAAGGAAGTGGACAGCAGCTCGTTATAAATATTTAGTTTCATTCTCAGTCCCTCAACAAGTGACGGGATTGATATTCTAGCATACTCATGGAACGGTTGTGTTAGCTTCTGCAGATGTAAAACTGCCGACTAGTCCTTGTTGTGTCCTTTACGCCTCACGTTTATCACGGTGATAGAACTGTTACATCTTGACAAAGGCTTGGTCATGCAACATGTTATGTGGAGCATATGATGTTTATGTTGAAATCTCCTGAAGGTTTCAAATAGAGAAGCTTCGTCGTTGACGTAAATGCACAACCTGCGTCCGATGCATGGACGAAAGGATCGATTGTTTGTAATACCGAACGAAATCCTGCACTGATGAAACGCTTGTCTTGTTCTCAGGTCATGCCGATTGTACATCAAGTTCCAAAATCGAACTCCGACGTGTGATTATGGAAGGTCAAAAATTGTTTTTATTTCGTTAGACTAGTTCTTCAATTAATAAACCGCTGTACAGATTTCGTCGTGCTTAATCTCCAGATATTGTAACATAAGTGTTTTTCTGGACTTCGAAGATGGTGGTGATCATCATGACTTACTTCATGATGATGCGTTTAGCTCGCCGTGTACAAGATTATCTGATAGTAACTGTGTTTTACAACTTCTCATGTGCGGGGAGAATTTTTTTATTTCTGCTAGTAACTATTCGCCTTGAATACAGGTTTGAGCATGAGTGTGTGGCTAAGACAGAAAAAATTCAACAAGAGAGAAGATCAAGTTGTTGGTAGCATTGGAACACAAACTGCTCTCAATTCGGCTGAGAGGATGCACGAAGCTCGACGAGAATGTGGGCAAATTTTTCAGGTAACATTGTTTATCAGCTTACTTTCCTCTAAAGTTCTATTCGTTCTGGGTGCACGTTCAAGGTTGCTGTATGACCTGCGTCTAACTCGTTTGATTGGTGGTTTAGATGGTTTTGGAAAAAATCAACTCGGAGATTCTCCTCGCAGACAACACTCCTAAGGATGTCATAGTTCCTCTCAACATCACAGCCATCTTTGGACAGGATGCCAGACCGTCCAAATTGTCTTGCTGCAAGTGTGCCAGTGGTCATCGAAGTGATGACACAATGCTTCAAGATCTGATGTATCTGCCATCCGTTCAGTCCATGTGGTTAGAGTTACTTCCATGGCTGGATCATGTCAGCATCCAAATGGATATGGCACTTCTTGGAAACGTGTCAGCTACCAGTCTTGCTGCACTGCTGGACTGCAATCTGCACGAGGCTCTGAAACAAGGGGTAGGTCCTGATGGGATGGCAGTTCACATCTGTTAGTGGAACTACAACAGAGTTGTGGATTGCTATGGCGATAAACACGAGCAACAAATCTTGGATATTAAAGCTGGGTGGAGCATTGACCTTTTGTTTTGTATTGAAGCATTAACCACGCATATCGGTGTGGTTCGGCTTTTGGATCTAAAATTTTTCGTTGGATGCAGGGTCTGGATTCTAAATTTGTACATAGTGTTTTGGAGTTTGCAATCACTTCATCGTCAAGATCACCAGTTGACTTTGTTCCTCATCAGCAAATAATCTGGATTTTAGAAGCACTTGACACAAAATCAACCGGTTCGTCAACGATTGCTCCATGGATTAGATTGCTTTTTTGTTTTTTGTGGCAGTACAAAACCTCAAGTGTTTGTCTGATTTTAGAGCTGTCGATACCGTGACTCCCAGTGTGCTCAGTGTGTACAGTGATATAGAATATGTCTGAACTTGCTTCATACTAACCTAGACATCATTCTTCAGTTTCTTCCCATCCTGCTGTTCCATGTAGTGCATTTCTACCCGTTTTCGTGTACACGTTCAGGTTGGGTGGCTTATGGGGTCTAAACTAGTTCAATTTCTACACTGGACGTTTTTCTAATTTTTACCCCGTACAGATTTGATCGTAAGCTTGCAGTATATTAGCCATGAAATGTGGGTGCGGTGGCATCAGGCTCTGTGGAGGACAAGTTCGAAGCAAATTGTAAGAAATTTTTGATTTGGTTAACTTGTCATGAATTTCCATTCATTGTCTTAAACTTGGTCATTGGCTTCATGGTCATGACCTTTAGGTTTCTTTTCCGTGTCCTGATCAGGATGCCATCCTTGAACATGCAGGGGGAAAGCGGTGAGGAATGGACTTTGACGAGAGGTCCCCCACGAATGTTCCAGGCTGCCCAAAGTGTCCTGTTGTCAAGCAGAATGTATGTTATTGAACTCTATCTTGAAATAATTTTCAGTATTTATTCTATAAATGTTCATGATTCACAGAGAATCCTGCCGCTCTTTGAAGTTAAGATAAGTTCGGTAATTTCAGAATTTTTTCCGAATAACACCGGAAATTTAAGAAGTAGCATCACCTATAAGACAAGTGCCACGAAAGATAGGACCTTTCAGTAGCAAATATTATTCCCTCTTCTCCTAGTTCAACTCATCTTAATCCTCGTACGGCGTCCGTTGTAATCAGCACTGCTTAGCCAGGTCTCGGGGTAGTGGTATAAAATCCTTGGTAGGGAAATAATGACGACTGTAATATAAATGAGTATGATTCTCTTTCCTCAAGAAGCTGTACTTGACCTATGATAAACTTTGGCGAGTATTCAAGTTCCGTAAGGAATACTGTAGGAAAGAGATGTAAATAATGGCAAGATTGAAAATTAATATAGCAGTGAAAAGATATGCAGTGAGCTCTCGTTTGTTGTGGTTCTATTTTTCTGGTAGGGTCGTCATGTGCTTTTAATTTTGCATGTTGCTAAATTTGTCCCTTTGTTCTGATTCTACACAGCTCGATGGTTGACGTTACCTTATACATGATGATTGTATTGCTTGTATCATGCAGAGGGCGCCAGCCAGTACCAGTTCAGGAATATAGGGGAAAGTTGCTCCAACTTCGGAGAGTTATCAGCCACTTATGGAACCTGCAAAAAAAGGAATTACCGGACTCGCGGAACCTCGACCTTTGCAACCTGAGCACTCTTTTCCAACAGGTGATTTTTATAACAACAAATGTTACTCTTTGTTGCTGATCTCATGTTCGTCAATTGTTCTGGGAGACCATCATAACATCTGACGGTCCTCGAACTTTCGATAATCCAGATCTTACTTGTACACAAGAAGTCGTTCGTGCCTAATGATTACGATCAAATGCGGAAGCTACTCACCACTTTCCACGAGCATATATTGAAGGTTTGTATATTTACTTGCGCGAACTGATGTCAACTTGGTGGAGTATGATACGTTTTTGCTGCTCATTTCTTCTCTTGCATCATTGAGAACCCTTTTGGTCTTGCCTTCAATATATCATTCTACGGAAGTGATTGAATGGGCGCACCTGTCCTGATATGATTTGATTGAACTCTAGCGTTTATGGCCAACCTTACCTACTCCGGTAACTGCCCTGCCAGCGCTCGACGTGTTCTTTTTGTTTACTTAACAACATTGTATTAGACAGAGGAAAGCCGATGTCCCTTAATGTCAACATGTTCACTTATGCTGAAAGCGCTTTGGCAGAAGAATCTCGAAGATCATGAGGGTGGGAATAAGCTTCTGGAAGACCTTGAATCAATATTACAACGTTCGAAGCATCAAGGACTTCTCTGCATTACACGTTCTTTAGTTATACCCTGTGCTCAGCTCCTCTATTGTACTTCATGGGCGAATTGTGATGCTAGAGGTAAGTGACGTTTAATCCCTTCGGACTTCACCAGAGGTTGCTAGTTTTCTTTGACTCGAGGGAGGTGATCACTTCGGCCTAGACATGAGAATCCGTTCATTTTGTGTATGAATAAGAAATCTGTCTTACAGACTGTACCCAGTGGTACGCGCCTGTATAGCCTGACGACCTGTAACTAGGTAAGCAGATGATAAAAGCCTTGTACCAGTGGTCTGTCATTTCCATTAAAGTGGTAACCGATACATTCTATCCAAGGTAGCAAAATATGAGCACTAAAATTTACTCTGATTTTTATTTTGCAGAGGTGTTAGTGGAGCATGGTCGTTTGTGGTTGTTGGTGGGATCCATTCGTCTTCGTCTTATTTTACCACTTGACGAGTGTGACCCTGTCACGAAGTATGGTTACAAGTGTGATCATATTCGTAACCAGCTTCACAATTTGAACTTGGAAATTGAGGTACTCAAGCTCGGTGTTACTTAAACTTCGTAGTTATCTGTACATCAGTTGGATCGTGATGAATTTTGAAAGTGTGTTGCCTGTCACAAAGCTACTTATATGTAAATGTTAAGCTATTGACCTTAAGATTCATTATATCGTCTGTAGGTACGGCATAAAAGTGAAGTCTATTCACGAGGTTCAGGGAGAACGCAAGAGATTACGTCGTTGCAGTTGAGGGCTGATGAATTGGCGCAGGAAATGAATAACTTAAGTTTGAAAGTAAGTAGACAATTGAGCACTGAAGTTTCCAGTTCCTATGGTTTACTAAATCCAGAACGCTTTTTGTAGAACATGCTCATAAGTCTCTGATAGCCTGACAGTCGTAAAGGCCGTCCCCAATGTATACATTAAATGGAAATGAGGAGAACCGCCTCGAAGGAGGTAAAAATCGGTTCCTCAAAGAAAAGCAGCAACCATCTTATTCCAGATTGTATGGTTTAGAATCATTGTATGGCTTCATAAATCTTAATTATCTTGCAGATTATATTTAGGCCGCAGCCCTCAAAGTTTAAGGACTTTTGTCAAGAGGTCAAGCGTTTTATAGATCTTTCTGCGGGAACGGAAAGACTGTCAACATTGTGGTCTAAACTCAGCTCTCCCACTTTGGACGGAGCGAGGTGTATACCAGAAGCAGTGGCTTTCCAGGTTAGTCGATGTTCACAAATTTGTACGAACCCATTCTATCATATACATCAAAATTCTCATAAGTCCTCCCTTGCCTTTGTGTCGTCCGTATACGCCTATTGTATTGATACTCACAATATTCATTGTATCAACAGGAGAACTGTGAACGTTTTCTCCACCATCTAGATGGTGACTATCCAGCATATCGAGATTTTGTGCAACCTGTTAAGCAAGCAGTCTATGAACTTGCATTCGGGTTGTCTCTGGGTTTGGCGGCTCATTTACAACGAGAGACCATGATATCCGTTGGTGTCCAGCATGGCGATATAACAATAGCTGTGAGTGATCTTGTGTACTATGTTTAAAGTGTTTTCATTATTTGATGTTTAAAGCAAGGACTTATTGTTGCGAAGTGGTGATGCGAGTGGCGGTATGATGATTTGGATGTTTGTCATATCTGTAGAATTTAATATGCGTACTTCTGGAGTTTCCGAGGCTTAAGAGTCGAAGAAAAGAATCGCCGGACGAATGTTCTACTGCAGTTGAAATTCTTTCTTCATATGATCTAGTGAATTCTGTCACGGAGCAAGTTGTTGACTGGGCAGCTGCAAAACAGAACGTGTCAAGTGTATCTAGAGAGGTGGGTATAGTCTGCTTTAGTTGAAATTTTGGATTGAATAATACTATGTGGCCTTGGTTGGATGGTGACCGATGTTGTTTATAGTGTTGAGATGACAATCTGAGTTTTTTCGACCAAGTAGTTACTATTTTCAAAGGTTGCTACTTCAATGCACCATGCTAGTAAGTAAGAAAGAAGTAGCCAAGAACATGTGGTCATATGTTTCAGGTTGCGAAGATGGAATCAAGAGTAGGAATCTTGCGGATAGCTCTCCTGCGCTTTGGTCATGAGGTCTTGCAGTCAGGCATTACAACAAAGACCGTTCTGGAGGTATGTGCTTGAATAGAAAGTTTACACTGTGGTTTGTTATGAGTTTTGATGAGGACCTTGTTTACTGTACCTTGTTCTTTTTCTCGCATCGGATGCAAGGTCCTATACCGCATAATGATCTGTCTGTGCATCTGCAGACGGTTGTCATCTAACCAGGTTGCATCTCTTGCTTCTTATACGTGGACTTCCCAGACTGCTATTGCTTGCTTCCATTTGTGCAACTTCCCTGCAGGCTTCTGTTATGGATACACTATGATCGTCTGTCCATTGAATCCGTTGATTTCTTTTGTAACAATGTTTAATGTTTTGCCTCTTATACTAGCACTTCATCCCATGTATTGCTGCTGCCAGCTTTCCCGTTTCCGCAATTCACTTGCTGACTTCTGTTCTGGATATTATATGAAAGCCTGGGTTTTGAATCCGTGGATTTGTTTAGGATAAGTCTCTGCCATGTTTCGGACCCGTTCCAAGTTGGTTATACAGTTCCGACGTAACGGATTAGTGCTTCGTATAGCCCCTATGGTTGCATCTCCTGGATCTGTGACCTCTTCAAGCTCCTTGGGTTTCCATCTCTTGTTGATCATGTTTTATTTGATTGATTTCTGAGCTATGGTCATACAAATGAGAAGGTTTCTGTTGTGCAAAAGATAGAAATTTATTTCAGTTTATAACCTAGCTTTTTTATCTTTGACTCTTAACTCTGAAAGTGGTTTACTTTTACAGCGTTTAGAAATGTGCTTCAATGCCTTCTCGTCCCTCTGGCGAGAAATACGTGAGCATCGAATGGAGCGACAACGTCGCGAGGCTCAATTATCGCAGTTTACAACTACTACTTACAACATGGATGTTGAAGAGACTCTTGATGAGGAGTCGTTCAAGACAATGTTCCCCGATTACAAGCCTGAATTTGAATCCTTCAAGGATCTTCAGTTTGCTAGTGCCGAAGATGATGATGTACGTTGATTATTGTTGTATGGTTGAAATGCTTGGCTGTAAAAGGACATGGAGTTGGTGATTGACTCGATAATCCTTGGGTACTTTTTATCCTTGTGAATTTGTTAGGCATCATGCTAACCGTAATTTTGTGGTAGCTTCACATGATTTCACTTGTTACTGACGTTGTTATCGGCTATTCGTCAGAGACGAGCTCAGGAGTCAGTCACGCTGCCTCCGGACGAAGACTGTTCCTACGCAGAGAAATCCTGGACACGCATGGAAGAGGCCCTTGTCAAGGATGTCACACGCATCCATAATCTGCTATTTAATGCTCGCAAAGTCGTGCCTCATGTAAGGATTATAACCCCGAAGGTTAACTGCAATTTGAGCCGTTCAAACTTTGAAAGGAGATAATGATATACGTAACAGGCAACTCATATTACAAGTTTCTTGTCTAGCAAGTTTCACCTGCTAGCATGCATGTCCATACGAATGTCAAAATTTAAGAAGATTAAAGATATCCAGGATTATCGTACAGCCGAAGAGATTGTTTGAAATTTTCAACGTTCACGCCGTCTCATTCAATCTGGGGATTATATACTTAAGGAAACAAGAAAACAGATTGTTTTCTTATATATGTTTTTGTCTATGGCAGGAAGGAAACATGCCCGTGGAGTCTTTCGAAGAAGAAATTGTCCAGAACTTTGTGCTCTCTTACGACACAGGAAAACAGCTTCTTGAAAGTAACGACCATTTAAGTTTTATTTGCTCCTCGTTCATGTAAAATATGAATGCCGTGGTTTCGCTAACAAGTATTCAGGTCCTTGGTTTCCGAATCTCATCAATCGTGAAGGCCGAAACTGCTGTTAGGATGTGGACATTCGTGCTTGTTCAGCTCGGGTGCATTTGTCTTTAATAAACTCGCTATTTCTACGCTTGAGTCATGTGTGTTAACTTGTATGTTTTCAGGTTTCTAGCAGTCTCTCTGGTTGTTCAATCATGTAGGTTCGATTGGGTTCTGTCCGTTGTATGTCATGCCCCTTAGGTTCATCATGTGTACTTGACCACTATAACCAAGATTGTGTGTGGTCAGCTTGAGTTCCGACAACCGAAATGTCTGCTTGATTTTCAGGTCTAGGACATTGCGTTCCAGCCTCAGTGGATAAGCGGCTCTTCTCTTCGCACTTGATGAGATACAATGTGGAATATCATAAGCTTGCGGGTGGACGTGACGGACTCAGACCTACTACCAATAAACTCTCAGTGAGCTCTCAGAGCTTTTCCATATCTTCAATGTTTTATCATTGTATAGTTGTTGTAGGCATCAAAAGTTTCCATCGGAATGTGCACATCAGACTTTCTGACTTAATCTTCATTTTCTGCAGGATACAAATGCATCTGAAATAGCATTGCTGCTGGATCCGGTTGCCAATTATTTACATCGTATTCAGGAGTTGTTAGTAGAGTGGCCTGATCATCCAGTCCTTCTGCAACTTCTCCAGATTGCCAGCACTATACTATCATTCCCTTTGGATACCCCGGTTATGAAGGTTTTGTTTCACTTTGAATCTTATAGGTTGCAGTTTCTTTCACAGTTTTCATCTTGTGTTCACGTGAAGTATGCAAAGCTTTGGCTTGACTTTTAGCCAACCTTAACAGCACTTTTTAAATCTTATGTTGCTTTTCTCGCTTGATCAATGACTAGCCATTAGAAGGTAGATGCACTGTCCATAGCCCGACAATTTGAGCAGTTTGTACCGTTGATTTGCGTTGCGTTCACCAAGATTACGATGTTATTTTTGATAGCTAGGTATTCATTTTAGTTAGCCGTTCACAGGCGTTGACAGGAGTGGAGCTTCTTCTTGCTAAGTCTCAACTTTGGGAAGAGAATGCCGCAAAGCATGTTTCCGTGGCAGGTGAATATCTTTTCCGAGTAGAAGTTACCATAGAAATATCGTCAGGCACCTGTTATCGGAAGTAGAGTTAATTTTTTTATGGTGCTTTCTGAATAAGAAATCTTGTACTCTTAATGTTGATGTATGCAACTATCAGGTCCTAATTGAGAAAGAGTTCATCGTACCAACGACGAACTGTGTTGTGTATGTTATTGTATTGTTCATTGTCGACCTATTGTATTATTCTTGATTGTCTTCAATACTTCTTCTCTTGGAACTTGCAGGTGAATTGAGTGGGCTTTCTCGACTTGTCACACACTGGAGGAAAATGGAACTCGAAGAGTGGTCGTCATTACTTAAGAGTGCCGAAGAAAAGCATATAATTAGTGCGAATAAGGTTTGTCTCTCAAAGTCTTTTCTTGAATTGGTGTTCTTTTTTTTATTGCAGAAACGTAAATGTGCTGAATCTGACTGTGGTCCTGTTGGTGTGAACGTTATCTGCAGCTCTGGTTTTCTTTGTATGGGCTTCTACATCGACCTGTCGGAGACGACATTAATGCCCACCTTGAGGCTACTACCTCAAGGTAAATATTTCGTGTTTTCGTTTGTACTGAATCAGAGTATACGCTTGCATCCCCTACCTGACATCATTTGTTGATACGCAGTATGGAGGAATTCATGCAGAGCGCAACTCTTGGCGAATTTGGAACTCGCTTACAACTTGTTGAAGCATTCCAAGGCCATATCTCTGCACAACTCCTTGCTAGGGCACCTGTAGTTGGCTCCTCAAGGTATCTTCAGCTTAGGTGGATTCCGAAAGTCTGACCTTCCTGAAATAGTTTATTTTCAAATTTAAATGTGTCCGACCTACGCTCAGATATTAATTTCCACTTTCCTTTGTGGTTTCAATGTTTGGATCTCTGACATGAATTTTTCTTGATTTTCGCAGGGTTACTCTCGAGGCTCTATCGAACCTCTTACACAATCTGCTGAAATACTACTCTCAATTTCTCCCAACGTAAGTGGCTTCTCTCTCGTACTGCTGAAAAGGAAAACTGATTGTCGAATTTGTTAAAATAGTGGAGAGTAACTGTTCCGGGTAATTAAACACGAATAGAATTGATCAGGCCATCAAAAATTCCTTGCTCGGTGTGCATGACAGTCAGGAAATAAAAAGCTGACATCTGCCACGTCCTTGTTCAGGCTGAACGAAATTGTCTCATCTGACAAATTGACTATCGAGACTGAGCTGAAGGACTTTGTGCGACTTTCAAAGTGGGATGATCGTAGTTACTACACTTTATCGCTCTCTTCAGAAAAGACACATCGAAAGCTCCACAAACTTGTGAAGAAATACGATGTATGCCATCTCGTGAACTTGCGTTCTTGTTTCATTTCGTCTTTGTCCTGCTGTGTTCATTTCAATTTCTTTTCATATTTTAGAATGTGGATTTAAGAAGTCGTTTTGAAAAAAACTTGTCCTGATAAGACAGACGATCAGCTGTTTATTTCCCCATAATTTTTTTTTGTTATCAGGAAGTTCTTAAACGACCAGCGAGCGAGTTAGTTGCCAAGCAGGCATCACGCATGGGCGCGCAGAATTTGTCTAGTATGAATTCACACGTGAAGAACGATGTTGGTGTTGTTCTTGACATTCCTCATGAAGGAAGTCAAGAAATGAAGACTCTTGTAAAGAAATCGCGGAGAAAGGGGATCAAAAAGAAAAGCGAGTCGATAGCTATTGGGTAAGTTATTGGCCGTTGTAGACCCTACGTAGCCACTTGTAATTACCAGTGCCAGATTGAATATATTTTTGTATGTAGTGTTCTGCATACATCTCATTTGATTTCAGCCCTTTTCAAGTTTCCTAGTCTTTGGTCCCATAGAACTTATGTTTGCACAAATATTAACGATGATGGTTTATATCTTCTTTTGTGAGTTCTTGTTTGTCAAATCGAATCTGTCGTCTCCTTTTGTACAGATTAACGAGTACTTGGATTTTAAGATGATTGCCAAATGTTTTTTGCTTTAGTTTATCTGCCGATGAATGGCGGAAGCGATGTGAAACGAAATTGAAGCAGCTCGCGGTAGTTGCTGCGCAAGTTCCAACAGGTTTACTCCTTTGATCCATTCCAGATTTGATATATTTCAGTGCTTTCCGTCTGGACTCACTATCCTAAGTCATGTTCGCAACCGAGGAACATATTTGATATTTTCAATTAGACCCCATGTTGTTAACTTCTACTTCATTTCCCAACTTTTATATTTGTCATCTTTCTGTGGAATGGTGTCGATCATAGTAGTGAGTGATACCTTTTAAATTTATGGAGTGCCACTAGCATTACACAACGACAACAATGCTAGATCTTGTAGGTTGGAAATGGTTGAAGCAGTTTCAGAATTGGCGTTTTTGTTTTCTTACTATAGCTGATAGATAACACATCCAGTTATTTCTGAATCTTATTTTCTCTCGTACAGCCTTCACAGAAGCAGGAGGCTACCGAAATCGACTGCCAGCTCTCTGTTCGAAAATTGGCAGTCTGTTGGGTGCTTCTGTGTTTTTGGAATCTAGCAACTTCACTCGGCAGGAGGGTGCCGACTCCCTAGAGATGCTCGCAACGTCAATAATTGTCAGATCAACGGAGCTTAGAGAAGGCGAGAAGAAAATTGCTATTAAAAAGAAGGCGTTGATCGATCTGCTGAAGATCCTGCGCCAAATCGGAATGTCGCATCATAAATCCGCTGTACCTAAGGTAGATTGTCATTCAGCCTAGCGCTGCTACTGTTGAATACGTTCACAACTTGCTCATAAGCCCTTTGGAAAGCCATGTAGTTCATATGTCCACAAATAGTTGTGATGCATTAAGTAGCTGATATCTAAAGCCTATGAAACAATACCTCTGCGCTTCCTATCTTCTTTTGGCACGGTCTCCGTATGTTCTCAAACCTTCCGAGGTTTGTATGTTTTGCAGGAACAACGAAGCACCCAAAGTTGGTTGTTATTGCGTCGTGCTGAAGTCGGCAGTATGTCATATCACCATCGAAGTCCTCATGGAGTATCAGGAGAACTCATTGAAAGTTCTGAAACAAAATTGGAGGAGACTTGCATCATCGTCTGGGATAAAGCAAGCGACTACTACTTCAAGAACATGGCTCTTTTACAACATCTGCAGGCATCATCGCTAGAGTTCAATAAAGATCTTACTCTTCGAGAGGTATGTGAAATTATAAACGGACACCTTTCCGTTTTCGAACGACAACTCCTGCTATCCTGGAACCTTAGCAAGAACACTAGGATTTCTGGGCAGACAGGCTCTCTAGGGCTTCATAACGATTTGAAAGCCATATTCATCGAGGGGATACTTTTCGGATCCGCATGAGCAGATGCAGATGTGCATCTTGAGCTTCCAGTGGCATCCTGCGTCACCTTTGTTTTTGCTTTTGCAGATGTTTGCAATAAGTTTCTAACTATCGTTGTCTTTTAGATTTTAATTACTCTCACTAGTGTATGATCATACACTAGAGAAATATCTGGTTTGACATATCTTACTTAGGTGTTCGCGATTATGATTTCATGCCTAGACTCCTGTGAAGTTTCCCTTCTCAATGAGGCTATTGTCTTATTTTATAACCAAAAATATATAAGCAGGAATTTAATAAGGTCAGAAGATTGTCACATTGAGTATGGGAGGCAAACTTTATCTCTAAGGGGCTTTTGCCTCCACTGTTTAACTTCTGTGCCATCTGGTAAGTTAGTGCAAACCTGTAGAGATCATTCCTACATCATTCAAGCTCTAACTTCTCTTTTCTCCGTTGATTCCTCTTCAGGTTGATCTCTGCAAAAGGTACATGGAACATATTTTGTATATTCAACAATGTCAACGGGTCAAGGCGCATAATTTGAGCTTGAAACTTGGAGATCTTGGACAACTTACAGAGGTTCTATCAAGTTGTGGTAAATTCTTCGACCTATTCTTTTCTTTTTCCAGATCTCTTCTTTCTCTTATTGCAAATATTCCGTCTCTCAAGCACCGTTCAGGAACCCCACGAGGTCTGTCGTTGTCACTTTACGCCTGGCAGTTACTTGTGAGACAATCCTCAGATTTTTTAAGCCAGCTGCGTGAAAATGTTCTGTCCTGACTTCTTCCTTGTTTGCATCACAGGGTGTTCTGACACTGGGCTGCCAAAACAGAAAATCGTGCGGAAATGGTTATGGCAACAAAAGGTAGAACTTCCTGAATTGTAATATGTACTTTGAGCCCATTCATGATTCTCGATCGGTGCTGTACTTAATTCAACTGAGACGCGGATTTCGAGTGACCTGGTGTATGGAATCATGAACGAACAACTTATCTTTGTAGACAGTGGGCTCTGATCGCTAAAAGAAACATAATGTTTTATGAGTCACACTGCGAAGCTGACAGTCCATACTCGTTGAAGAATCGTTGTTCTGAGACGCTGGTGATCTTCTGAGATTGTTGCTTTTTCAGATTTCTCTGGCATTTTTTGCCAACGTGGTTAGAAATTCTTTGTTTTCACGTTGCAATTGGAAAAATCCGTCGTGGTTCTGTCACTGAATACATCTCGCGCATTGTTTTGCAGTTCTTCTTTGATTCGCTATGGCAGGTAGCCACAGAAACACTGCTTCTATTGAAGACATCAGAAAGGGTTCACACATGCCCTGAAAATCTTATGAGATTGGAAGTGTATGCAATGAAACTTTTTGTCGAAGAACTTCTAGAAGGACTAAAGCCATGCAAAGTGAGTTTTTAAAACATTATCGTCCGTCTTTCCATAAGCCAAAATGATTGACGTCTTTGTCTCCTGACTCATTTATCGGAGGTAGAGGCCAAGTGACACTTATCCATGCTTGTATATTTTCTCAGGATCGGTTGGACAATCATCTTCTGCCAAGAAGCGGTGTAGATATGGAGAGGAAGGAAAGTTTTCCTATATTTATTACTTCTGCAGTATATGAGGATCTTACAGGAAACTTCAACTTTGTTGCTGGGATTGAGGCCACCTTCAAGAAGGTCTTTCAGCAGCAGAAAACGCTTGGCATGAACCAATTGACTGGGCTTCAGCCTTTAAAGCAACTGCTTGATGAGGTCCAAAGCAAAATTCCCCCAACCTTTTTATTTTCTTTGCCAATTTATTGTTGGAACCTTAGTTGGACTGAGCCCTTCTAGAACAATGTGGATTTTTCTTCCCCTTCCTCTTTTGACATTTGGTTTACCCTCGTATCCAGGGCTATGCAATGGTTCAAGAATTTTCTCAGGAGGAGATTCAAACTAGCAGCACTGCACATGATAGCCCATCACCGTACGAATTGTTGACCGAACTTTCGAGTTCGGCTGAACATGCAATCTCGGAGATTTTATTAGCTGTACAGACACTCAGCAGGCCGGACACTGGAAGTTTTGACGAACAGTCAAACCTTGAGAATAATGAAGAATCTTTCAACGATGCAATCGGTGCTTTAGGAAGAATAGACGATTTTGAAACTGCAACTCTGGAACAGACTATCACGGCACGCCTGGATCGTGTTACTCAAGCACTTCTTCAAGTACTAGTTTTGTCTGTAAGTCCTAACTTAGATCGACCTCTATTTCTTTTTTTTGCTCACAATCACTTTCATATGCTAGGTTTTATATTTTTGTGATAATGAGGATCCTCGCTTTCTGTAGATTATGCATATATGGATACCGTTTTTCCTCAATGCTCCGTTTTCGTGAATGCTGTATATATTGATATGTTCTTTTGCTGGTCTTCACTGACGGTTAATTTCACTCAAATTACCTTCTTCTGATTTCACTGACGGTGGTTTACACTCAATTACAACTCTCTGTCGAATGACATTTTCTATTTCCTCCTTGCTCGTCCGCTCTCCTTATAGCACGTTTATGCTAGGCATTGTTTGATAGAGGTCTGGGCAACTACTATAGTGGGCTTGTTGGGCTTTGAGTTCTCCTCAGCCCCCGCGCTGTCCAGTGCAGAAATCTGTGCACTCCACTATCCATTAAGGAAAGCAGCCGAGTCTAAGTGACGGAAATGTGACGCTTCCCGTTCAAACATTGTCGATGTTCAATGTAGGACTTTTTTCCATCGGATGGATATTCGACAATAATGCATACTCAATAACCACCACTGTCAATTCGATAGGCGAGCTCCTGCATGTATTCCGCCGTGTTACTTCTTCTTGCCTCTCGTATGCATGCATCAGTTTGTCTTTCCTTCTGTTCATCTGTAACAGATTGAAAGATAAACCGATGATATGTCTCACTTTCATGATTGTCTACTACCTTCTTGCTACGTAGTACATTTGGTCGGCACCTTTTAGACATAACACCTAGATATGCGGTGCTTCAGTGTCTTAAATGTTTATCCCTTACAGCTAACCATATTCATATCTATCTGTTAGTCGACCGTAGTTCTCAGCTGATTTGAGGATCCTGGAATCGTGGAACGCGAGTTGTACTTGCTGTGCTGGAGTTAAATAGCACAATGTGTGAGAGGAAGATGGTGGGAAGGAGAACGGTCGGCATCCGCAATCTAGACGTGCCTAACCAAGGCCATATGTCCACAACTGTATGTTTTCCCAGGAAAAATTGGTCGACCACCCCAGTGCTGGGAAGGAGATATCCGCAAATGTCGGGAGGTTACTGAACTGCATACACGTGCCACTGGATATGCTCCATATAGCGGGGATGCACCTCCTGTTCAACTACATTTCTTTGCACAAATCTGTAAGTTGAATTTAGAACCTATCACCAACTACATTTCATCTGTGTTAGAACATTTTTTCTAAAGAGCGAAATTATCTCTCTGAACTCTTTGAATACTAACTCTATTCATATAAAATTCTCCTTCATACCTCTGAAGATCATGGACGATGAGCCCTTGCTGCGCTGCGCTAGTATGCTAAAGAAGTGATAGTTTGTGTTCTGACTGTTCATCTCTCTTAAGTGCCCTCAGTCAGTAGCTGGTTTTGCAAAAAGAAGCTGAAAATTGCACTCGTTTTGAATCATGGCATTACATACCTTTGTATGATTGGGTCTTGTGTACTGTGTGTGGCCTGCAGGTGACGAAGTTGGGGTATATCTTGGGGAATCTTTTCCTTTCTCTTTTCACGGAAGGGTTCTGTAGAACGAAAGACGGAGAGGGAGAAGATGGAGCAAATAACTTTGAGGATGACGCCAAGGGTACAGGAATGGGAGAAGGTGAAGGTAAAAAAGATGTGAGTGAGCAAATAGAAGACGAGGAGCAGTTAATGGGAGACTCCGATAAGGTACAGCATGACCCTTTGATCATGTCTTATCAATTGAAATGCGCATTTCATTTGCTCATGAAAGGAGACTTCGTATTGCGCAATCACTAGTCAAATGTTCCTTATTGTTGGTACCATGTTTGAACAGGACAAGGATGCTGAGAAGGAAGAAGGAGGTAAGAAGCCTGACAAAGGCGTTGAGATGGAGCAAGACTTCAACGGCGAAATGATGGATTTAAGCAGTGACGAGTCAGAGGACGACGACGACACTGAGAAAGATGAAAACGAACAGCTCGAATCCAAGATGGGGGAAGATGGAGAGGACAATGAAATAGTAGACGAGAAGCTTTGGAACGACGAGGATGAGAGTGGTGATAGACCGGAGGGTAAAGAAAAGTATGAGAAGGATAGTGGAGTTACAGGTGCCAAACCAGAAGACCTGGAAATGCGGGGTAAAGAAGGAACAGATGAAGATGACACGGGAAAAGGTGAAAACTCCGAACCCATTTCCGAGTCTGAGGTGAAGCCGGATGAAGATGAACCTGAGGTGGAGCCGGTTGAAGATGATGTACAAGGTGCCAACAAGGATGAGACTCTCGAAGATTCGAGTGGGGTTAAGCCTTCAATGGAAGAAACTCTTGAACTTCCAGATAATTTAGAACTAGATGGTGAAGAAGATGGAAAAGATGAAGAAGGGGAGCCAGACGATCCTAAGGGAGCAGATGGTGTAGAGAATGAGGTTACTGGAGACACGAGTTTACCTGAGGCAATGGATATCGACGATGATATACATGGAGAGCAGAACGAAGTTGAACCTGGTGATGATGAAGGAGCTGAAGAGGAAGGAGCCGAGGAGGAAAACTTACCTTCCAACGCAGAAGTCGAGAAGGACTCCGAGTTATTAGATGATCCAAAGGGTGAGGATAGCGATCGCACCCAGGAAGAAATGCATGTTGATAGAACTTCCCAGGATGAACCCAATGAACCTCAGGCACCTTCGGGCGAAGATCCTAGGGACCCACAGAACATGGATGCTAGGACATCCAACAACTTTTCTGAAACGAGCAATATCATCGCTGGCATGAAGGGCAACACCTCACAACTGCATGGTGAAGAGAATAACTTAGAGGAGACGGGCATGACTGAGGCGTCAAGGCAGGACAAGACAGAGGGCGGTGTGGAGAAGTCATCTCTGGAGACCGTGGATGGAGCAGATCGAACGGCCTCTAGGTCGGATCCATCTACAGCATCAGAAGGGCACAACCCGGAGAAGCCCGACATTAATCCCTATAGAAGCCTGGGTGACGCTTTAAAGCAGTGGAAGGAGCGCATCAAGGTAGCGGATAGTAATGAGCAATCCGGAGAACTGGAGAATAAATCAGTTGCTGTTGAGGAAGACGTCGCCGATGGAGATGATGCCGCCACCGAGTACGAATTTATTACTAAGGAAGATGATCCGAGCAAAGCTCAGGCCCTGGGATCTGCCACAAAGGAGCAGCTAGATGACAGCATTGCTCAATCAGGGCTAATGGAGGAAAATGCTTCCGATGATGTTATGCAGGAGCAAGAAGCAGTTGACACGAATCAACAAGTGGATGAAGAGTATGAGAACATTGATAAGAGTCAGATACTCGCTAATACCAAAAAGTCCAGACTAAACAATGTTAAGGAAGAAGGTAAAGAGCAGGGTGATACACATCTTCAAGATGATATCGAGAAAGATATAGGCCTGCTAGATCTGGAGGATGCACCAGTGCCAAATAGCAGTTTAGATGACAGTCTTGTCTCTCTTCAAGTTAACGGAAGTGAAGCGAGTAGAGTCATCCAGTTAGTCAACAAGGACGAATTCTGGAGTGAAGATGAGATTAGTCGTGTTAGGAAAGAGCTTGAGGTAGGACTCAAAGAGACAGCCGGTAATATCGAAGCTGCTCGGGAAATTTGGCAAAAGTATGAGCATTTGACCGCTAGACTCTCGCAGGAATTGGCTGAGCAATTAAGGTTGATACTGGAACCAACGTTGGCCACTAAATTACAAGGCGACTACAGATCAGGGAAGCGAATTAACATGAAGAAGGTATGCGCATGACCAATGGCTTTTCGAAACAACTAGCTGCCCATTTTGAATGTTGAGCATCTAGTTGTACCGTGTGATAGCTAATGCTGAACTGCGCCAATGAAGGTCTTGCCTCTAGTCTAACGTTTTATCTTTCCATCTGGCAGATTATTCCGTACATTGCTAGTCAGTTTCGGAAGGACAAAATATGGCTACGTCGCTCTAAAGCGAACAAGCGACAGTATCAAGTTGTCCTTGCAATCGATGACTCCCGAAGTATGTCTGAAAGTCATTGTGGACATATGGCGCTGGAGGCTCTTATAACAATATGCAGGGCTATGTCACAAGTGGAGATTGGACAGATGGCAGTGGCCAGTTTTGGAGAGAAAGGAAATGTCCATCTTCTGCACGACTTTGATCAGACTTTTTCCAGTGAAGCCGGTGTTAATGTGAGTATTTTACATTTTTCGAACTAATAATGATGAAGTGCCCGTAGATGTTCTGCCCCTCTTGCAAAACTGAATTCTCTTTCTATCTACTGGCAGATGGTGTCTCGCTTCTCATTCAGCCAGGACAACACTATTGCTGATGAACCTATGGTGGATCTTCTTCACTTTTTAACTCGCATGTTGGACATAGCTGCACGAAATGCAGCAACTCCATCTGGAAACCTAAACCTACAGCAGCTCGTGCTTATTATCGCGGACGGTCGTTTCCATGAAAAGGTTTATTTCGATGACATTGTTTAAATCTCGTTTCCCGCTTAGTCTAAAGAAATTCTGTACCCTTTGACACTTTTTGTCGTCAGTATACTCACTTCCGAAGTTACACTACAGGAGAGTCTGCGAAGATGCATAAGGGAGGCAACAAGCCGGAAGCAGCTCTTAGCTTTCATTGTTCTCGATAACCCACAGGAATCCATTCTGGACATGCAGGTTCGAACCTGTTTTTTGAGAGTCTCTTCCCTTACTACATGCACCTCAACCGTTTTGTTTACTTCTGCTTATTCTTCGACTGCTTCTTCAGACTAGTCCCTGTCTAAGCAACTCACCAGATTGTTGTTATTGGTTTCAGTCTGTATCTTTTGGAAACGGTGCTCCATCTTTCACCAAATATTTGGACTCCTTTCCATTTCCATATTACATATTGTTGAGAGATATCGAATCTCTTCCAAAGACTCTTGCTGATCTACTTCGCCAGGTATTTACAGTTTGACCTGCGTTTGTGGATTGTAAAATCAATTACGTAACTCTCCTTTTCCTTGCCATGGACATGAGTATATGAACGCAAAAGCATTCTGTCGCTGGAATATAACCCTGAATGTGAAATTCTGTCGAGGCTGAAATCATAGCACTGATCTTTGCTTGTTTCTTTGCAGTGGTTCGAGTTGACCCAGCGATTCGGTTGACAGTCTGAAATGTAAACTTCTTCTAATTAATATAAACGTCGTTCAAGAATCTATGAGTTCACAAAATATTTATTATGATAATGACTGTGTTACTCTCTTGCATATTTCAAATCGCGCTCATTGAGGTTGTGCTGTTGAGTGTATGTTTGCAGCAACTTTCTGTGTAGTGTGGAGTGTCATGTGGACAAGGATCTCTCCCGAAAGGCTTTTTTTTTCGATGCTCATGAGTTGTCATCATACACGTATACAAACAACAAATCATTCATGTCCAACACTGGTTAATAAACACACTTGGAGATATTTTTCAAACACATTTTGTATGGCATTGACGATTATTTCAATATTGAAATGTTTCTATTTTAATATTCAAAGCAGAGATGTCATTGAGATGGATCACTTTCAGATGATGTGAATCCCACGATCCTCATAAAAATCACCCATCCTACTGTATCCTTTCCTCCTTTCGTAGCCCCAGACTTGGATGCCGCCCCGAAGTTCACTTTCGAATGACACTACTGGTCGCCAGCTTTCAAATACCCGACTTTAAGAGAGTAGGTTAGAGACCATAGTTTACTGGATGAAAGTAGGTATAGATAGTCATAGATAGTCATGAATGTATGGAACTGCATTATTGAGTGCTCGCTGTATGTGCGTGCTGTGGTCGGAACTAATGCATTTCGCTGTAGGCATTACCCATCAGCTCAATTTCGACCATGTTTAATTGTCTGCAATTTGTAGATGTTTACAACTTGACGGCTGAATGTTTCGAAATGCACACACGTTGACCCACATCAGAGCTAGTCACTTCCTCTTCGTGAAAGCTATTCACTTTTTGATGGCCGTGATACTAAGGATATTATCAAATTCAGATCTCAAACTACAAGAATTTCTTTCGATGAGGAGGTGCAGATGCAAGATAAAGCCTTGCAGCGGATTATCTATGTGTGTTTAAATCGCGACTACCTGGCTACCTGTTACGTTGAAAGCTACCTAAGATGTGGAGGTAGGGTAAATGCTTTGAAGGCACGTCCACATGCTTGCTGGAAATGACGTTTAAGTTGAGAACTTCAGCAAACATGATTCCACAATAAACATGATTCCACACGATACATGCTCGACAAATACTTAGATTTCCAGTTTCAAGATCCAACTTCCAATCAGCGAGTTGGGCTGCGAGTACAATCACTCATCAGTGATGAGTCATCATCAAGGTTTTACTATCACTGAAATGATTAACAAAATCCTATCCTGCTACAAAAACTTCTTGTAATTTATAGGGTTTTTCTTTCTAAGTCTCCTAACAATTGGTTCCCTCGGAACCTCTTTCTTGCAAGCCCTGTCATTAGCCGTGGATATTTCTTCCAAATCCACCGACATTGCACGCTGGGCACCAGAATCTTTATCATTCACTTTTGTCACAGGAAGAGTCGTACATGTGTTTCCGTCCTCCACGATAGAATTTATAACCTCGCCAGCACACTCAGACACGCTGCTCAACTCATTTTCCGGTTGCGAAAATGGACGATGTGATGTGAGTCGCAATGATCGCCTTACTGGTCGAAGGACATTATGGGCTTCTCTCTTTGAGCATGAGTCCATACTTGACTCAGATCTTCGGGGATTGCCTCTAGGAGGTCTCTGCTCAGGAGAGGGAGTCGCCGGCTCGATATCATCATCTTTTCCTTGCTCTTCTCTGCTTGCACTCTTAAGAAAGAGTGGACGGTCACCTTTATCCTTGCAAAGGTAGTGAGCTACACTTTTGTAGCCTTGTTCAACTGCCTGAAACATGTCAGAGAATCATATGAGAAATTGCACCAAATTATAAGAGAAAATCAGGATTCAGTGTAGCTCACAACTTCCTACTTGACACATTCATTCATTCAAATCCAAGTACGAAGTGCAAAGTAGCGCATATCTTACTCGATGATAAATTTGGCCCGTAGGAGGAAGTCCTAGCTTGTGTCTGCAAATTGAACAATTGCAGATACCTCTGCACGCGGGACACTCCCAGTTCTTGTTGGATGTGGCTTCCGCCATATTCTCTCCGTACCTGCATGAGAAATCACAGTTAAAAGGGCGTCTATGATGAAGTCAAACATTTCTATCTCACAAACAACTTCTCCAAGATTTAAATCATCCATATAAGAGTGGATACAACGTGCACCGGGTCATATCAAAGGAAGACACAGACCTGCTTCGTAGACAATCTGTGCAGAACTGTCCGCATCCCGCTTTACATTTCACGCAGCTGGTTCGAGGACCCAGAGTCTTTTGCCTGTCGCAGGTTCAGTGTTAGAAGTTGTAGCGAACAGCTCAGCACATCAAGTATGCTTTCAGTCGACCACGTGACAACCTACCTGCATTGATGGCAGCTCCTCCCGAACTCAGGATCATGTATCCTTCTAACCCGGCCTTCAGCAGCTTTGCGCGTCTGATGATGCGAATTCTTGCATGAGGTTCGCGCTCTAGGAAGAACATAAAGTGGAATCACAACCCGTCCTGAGCGACGTAGCGGCAACTCTGATTCTGACTTGCGATTTGCAGCCCTTACGCGTGTGCGCTTTGGTGAACTTTCTGCTGGGAGCAAAAGCCCCAACATCTGCAATTTCGTCCTATTTTCCTCCATGATTCTTGCCCTTTCTTGTTCGTAGTCGTTTTCCTCCTCTACGGGCTCCTCCCAGTCATCGTCGACATCCATCAAATCCGGAACATTCTCCTCGCCGTCTGTCACAGAGGTGGAGATATCCGTCGTAGATTCAAATCCCTCGTGAATCGAAAAACTTCCTACTTCCACCTCCTCCTTCACTCGAACAGCGGGCTCCACTTTCATCTTCTTTCCCTTCTGACCATCGTCAGGGGGAACATCCTCCTCCTTCCGTTTGTAAGCCATGTCCGCGGCACAAAGAAACCAGAAACCCTGCAAAGATGGACGACCTCAAAGCCGTGGCAACGAACTCTGCCGAAAACGCTCGAAATTCGTCGCAAGAGCAAACAAGCGACCTCCAGTTCCAATGAATCCTGCAAAGATGGAAGATCTCAAAGCCGTGGCAACGAAACGCAAGAATTCAAGACACGATTCGACGGAGGCTCTCGAGAACAGCAAATGCTAGGGCGGAATCGAGCATTCGTTGCTCTCAGAACGCGAGGAGTAAAACTGGCGGGAACGCTCCCTTGTAAAGCCGAATGCCGAATGCTCTCGAGTCCGAGAAAAGCATGCCACCGCATGGCCTCTCCCTTTTTTAATTCGGACGCGCGTACGGTGGAAGAGACGTCGCATGACGTCATGCGGCGTTTCTTCCCGCGGACGCGCGTCCAACTAAAATTTCCCATCTGACATTGGGCTTTCAATCTCTTCAACGGCAACCTGCACTGCAACATTCTGAAAGAACCGTTGGATTTCTCGGAAGAAATCGACAAAAAATTTCAGAATTGAATAGATTATATTTGTCGTTACATAGAAGTTTATAGGAGAGGATGAGAGTTTCGCCGCGCGACCTGTTATGGCCCAGACGACCAGACGACCAGCATCCGGTTGAGCCCCACGGTGGCAAGCGCGAGCGCAGTAGCATCGTCCTCTAACCTCCCCCCACGCACTACGCTAGCACCCTCGGACTTGAGCTCGCTCGCGCTTGCCATCGTAGGCTTCTGCTGCTGCCCCTGCTCCCGCTCGTCACTAAGGGCTCCTCACGAAAGGGGGAACGCGAGCGCTGCCAGCCCGGGCCCGCATCCCGACCCCCTCCCCCCTCCATGGTTCGACCATGGAGGCCCTGCCGCTTTAGCTCGCCCACCCTCGTAACTAAGAGCTCTTCACAATCGGGGAAACGCGAGCTCTGCCGAGAGGCCTTTCTGCCCGCCCGGGCCCGCAGCCCGATCTCCCGTTTCTACCAGTGAGGCCCTCCCGCTTTATCTCGCCCCACTCCCGCTCGACCATCGGGCTCTTTCCCTCGCGGCCTCCCTTCGCAGGGAGCTTGTACTCTGTATTTTTTTCTTCTCCCCTCGCAAAGGGTAGGAGATATGGAGGAGCATGTTTGGGGTTTCCATTCTTCTCCCCAAAAAACATTCTTCTCCCCAAAAAAACTACTAGGTCCTTTTTTTCCATAGTCTTCTTATTTCTCTTCAATTTTTACATTTAAGTAAAGCTATTCATGTATTAACATGATGGAGAATCACAATAGAACTCATATGAAAGATTACACAAACGTAAAATTACAAAGTGATAACAAAATCAATGAAAAACTCAAATCATAAATTTTATTTCACAAAAATCTCATGGTGACATTTTTTCAGAAAATGCATTTTTTCCTTCTATCAGTATTTTTTAAACACTTTGTCACAAGTGACTTTGGGAAGGTTACGAAAATTCATACTTTTTTCTTGGATTGTGAAAGAAGCACATGTGAAGAGCTCATCAAAGGAGGGTGTAGAGCACTTGTAATGTAATGTACACTCACGAAGAGCGCTCCAAAGGGGCGGCGTGGAGCACTTGTAATGTAATGGACACTCACAAAGGTGTAATGTGTACCTCACGGATTAAACAGATTAATATAGGGCTCTCGGATCCCTAAACCAGGGAGCGGGGCGGCCCTCATTGGTCGAAGCAGGAGGTCGGGCTGCGGGCCGGGCAGGCAGAGCTCGCGTTCCCCCGATTGTGAGGAGCCGTTAGTGACAAGGCTCGCCCACTCCCTCCGCAGCCCGACCTCCCGCTTCCACCATGAAGGCCCACCCGCTTTAGCTCGCCCCACTCCCGTTCGATCATCGAGCTCTTTCCCTCGCGGCCTCCCTTCCCCGTAGGAAACTTGTACTTTGTAATTTTTTTTCTCCTCCCCTCGCAAAAGGGAGGAGAAATGGAGTAGCATGGTTGGGGCTTCGCCATTCTTCTTCCACCAAAAAAAACTAGGTACTTTTTTTTCTAAAGCTTTTTTTTCTTCTTCTTTCTTTTCAATTTTTCAATTTTTATATTTAAGTAAATCTATTCATGTATTAACATGATGGAGAATCACAAGGGAACTCACAATGAAAGATTACAATACGCAAAATTACAAAGTGATAACAAAATCAATGAAAAAATTCAAATCATAAACTTTATTTCACAAAAATCTCACGGTCACAATTTTTGCAAAAATAGAAATTGCTACTTCTTTTATCAATGTTTTTGTAGCACAAATGTCACAAGTGACTTTGGTAAGCTTAAAAAAATTCATCCTTTTTTGCTTGGATTGTGAAAGAAGCACATGTGAAGAGCGCTTCAAAGTGGAGTGTGGAGCACTTGTTTCATCTACTTGTGAAATCTTACGTTTCTTCCCATGTCCCATTCTTGTTTGCTTCACGTTCTCTTGGATGGAAGCAATAGAACCTCGGAGGGGAAGAGTAATTGGTTCGGACCTTTCAAAATTTGAAGCCTCCAATAATGTGCCAAAACAAGCTTGAAGTGCTTGAAATTTTTGCTTCATCTCTTCTTCATTGTAATCATAAAGAGTTGCTTGAAATAGTGATTCGATCTCACGTACCATGTTGAACATCTTCTCACGCATGACATCAATTAAAAGAGAATACTTCCTTGGTACATCCGGTTGAGTTGAAGTCATAAGCTCCATGTCTTCCATGTTGATTTCTGGAGTCAATGGTTCCTCAACCACTTCATTTTCTTTGAATCCTTCAAAAAATACCGTGACAATCGATTGCACACGAAGTATGTGCTTGCAAGTGGAGATCCTATCGGGACAATCACAATAATGTGATTTCAATGAAACACTATACTATAGGTCAGGAGAAGTCTCACTCTTGACATGAAAGAGGAGATGTTCTTCATCGACAACCTTCAAGACATCCATAGTACAAGATTGAGAAGCCTTCAAAATTTGTTCTCCACCTTTCAATCGACGTCTATGAGCCTGATCTTTCCCTCTCCTTATGTATTGTTCCGAGTCACCTACAAGGTAAAAAAGGTTTGAACTTAGCATCATGTTCAAAAGATATTTTAAAAAAATATAAACTTGAATACAATAAAATAAACATAGAATACTGTACAAAAATGAGAAACTTACTTAAAAGTTGAATCATTTTGAATTGACTCAATAATGTGGGTAGTGCCACACGAGTGCCATCCTTAGCACTACTCAAAAATTGTCACAATAAAATTTTGGAGGGACCAGTTCACTTTTCCTAGTAAGAGTGTGTATTTAATCAACTCTCATTGTCTTTTAACATTGTTAGTTGTATTCATACTCCCATAAGCAAATAACCTCCCAAATCGAGGCCATAGCCTTCTCCAAGGACTAATAATTTCGGCCCATCCGGAAATCTTGTATTTGGCAAAGGTCGGTATGTGTTGAAACTCAACACAAAATTTTGTTAAATTCTCATCGAAATGGTGTTCACTAGGGCAAAGCATTAAAATATGTAATGCCCTCCACACCTGATCCTTGTACTCACTAAGTACCTCGGTTAACAAGTTCTCACTCCATGTTTTCATAACATGGAACTGACACAAGAGAACTTGTACACCAACTTGTGTTTTGGTACCCTCTTCATAAGTCCAACAATGAACATCATTGTTAACAACACTTTGAATAGCATTCAAATATGGCTTGTGTTTGTTAATGATGATTGCGGAGAGTCTTACCTCTTCTTGGATCTTTAGAAGATCCAAACACATGGGATAATGCTATCTCTATAGCAAAACAGTCATGTCACTCTTTAACCTCATTACTACAAAGCATGTATAAAACCAAAAATCCAATTCCATCTTGGTTTGGTACAATTGCTGCATAAAGAGTCAAACCGTATTGGTTTGTTTTGAATGTAGAATCCAAGATCCAAGAATTATCACTTGAAAATCGTAGGTACAATTTTTGCATGAAATCATCTTGTATAACTACCACAAATGATCTCTTCTTAGGGTCCTCATTCTTGGGTGCATACGGTTGATAATACAAAATCTTCCCTTGAGCTTGTAAATTCATGATTTCAATATGTGCCGCATTCCAATCGTCTTTTCAAAGTGCATCTACACACACCCAATCAAAAATTTGAATACGAATTAAAACATAAACATGAAATTTTTTTTTAAATGATAACATAAACATGAAGAATTAAAGTACAATTTAAATATTCAATGCATTTCATAACTTCACATAAAAAATGAAATATGGAAAAAAAATTAAATACTGTTGATTCTTAAAGAATATGCAAGTATTTGCACTTTTTTTATGACAAAAATCTATATGTAGCACGTTCCACCTCCAGTATACTTTGTGAAAATCTCTTTTGAGCTTCAACCGACGTTGCTTCAATGGCCCTTGGTGAAAGCATGAACTTCAAGTTCTTTATAACCCATGCGATAACATAAGGGTGCACCGGTAGGAAAAAAAGATCGGAATCAAAATCCGGAGTGTGACCACTATGTTTGTTATGAAGATAGATTGTAGCTTGAAGCTTACTATGATGCAAAGTGTTTGAGCACCTTGACACATTGGGCTCCTCAGCCTTCATTTGGAATTCACAACTACATAATCTAGTGATTCTATTCCATCTAGAGCCATTGTCATCCATAGGTTTCACATCAACCGTTCTCCTATGAGGACGGTTTTTGTTGTGTTCACGATGACAACGGTAATAAGTTATGGTTTTGGTTTTTCCTACACGGTATCTCAAACGCCTTCCTAATATAATGTACTTTGTGCAAAGTGCATCTATAGTTGCACTCAAATCCTCTAATGAAACCTTCACTACCTCATCGCACATTTTATTTTCTTGTCATACATCACAAGAGTTCATACAATTTTGTATGAATGAGGTTTGAATTCCTCTTACATAGCTATCTGTACTCCATTGAGTAAGAATGACATTTGTTGTCATGATGAATAACAAATGTTTCTCATTTTTGTCAATGTGTCCTCCATCCACAATGGAACGCCAAGACTTTATTAGCGAAATTTGTCTACCCTTTGTGTCATTCGAAGGAGATAAACAAATCCACTTAAAAGTTCTATAATATTTTAATCTTCCTTGAAGTTTTTGCCACCTTTCAATTGTAAGAGATTCTACATTTTTTTGGGTGGAAGGTCTATGAAGGTTTTGGAGGGACAAAAGGAATAATTTGCCTCATGAACTTATTGATATGAGGGAAAATATCTTGCTCTTATACAATCAATCATGAGTGCAAGAGATTGGAGATTGAAGTGCACATACTTGGAGAATGTTTCAATGGGAATGTCTTCAAAAATTGATGAAGATGTTGAACCTTCAATGTTGACATGCTCCACACCCTCCTCTAACATCTTCTTCCAAGGCTCCAAAATCTCCTCATCAACATCCTCCTCATACTCATCCGACTTTCCATTTGATGACAAGAAATGAGTTTCTTGAAACCCTAAATTTTGAATTTGCACCTTGAAGAAATTCTTCCACCCCCACCATCTCACTTCAATCGACTTCAAAGTCGGATGGATAGAAATAATCATCCTCTATGTAGTCTCCATCTTCTTCCATATCTCACGTCAATGCTTGACACAAAGTCTATAAGTACATCGTCTTCATTTAGCATACAAAACTCAAATGAAAATATGCTAAATCCTAAATTATTACAATTGCAAAACAATGAGTACAAACTTGCATGTACATAGCATTTTACAATTGAATGAAGAATAAAAAAATATAGAGAATTGTGCATACCTTAAGTAGAAAAGAAGTAGGGAGAAGATCAAATTGTTCAAAAATGACTTTGGTTAGCAATTTGACCCTCACGGAGTGTAATGTGTCACATTACACATAAAATAGGTTAATATAGTGGCTACTAAGGATTACTTGGATCCCTAAACCCTAAATCAGGGAGCGGAGCGGCCCTCCCTAGTCGTGCTGCGGCGGGAGTGAGTTGGGAGTTCGGGCTGCGAAAGGTGGTGGCTAAGAGGTCGGGTTGCAGAAAGAGGGGATCGGGCTACGGGCCCGAACGGGCAGAAAGCCCTCCCGGGTAGAGCTCGCGTTCCTCGTTTTGTGAGGAGCCCTTAGTGACAAGGCCTGCCCCCCCTGCCGCTCTTGATATACTAGACTTCGTTGTCTGTTAGGAGGGCGGTCAGCGCGCTTCTCTCTTGGCTTCTACGCAACGGGCGCTCGCTTCCTCAGCGCCCAAAATCTTATTTTACGGAGCTAGGGCTTGCTTTTGACCCCTTTCCAATTCTGGTTGCTTTTGTGGCAACTTACACCAATAACAAATGAAACACGATAATTTTTTACTTGTGCTAAAGTTATCGAGAGGTTGCATGATCTATGCGCGGTATTTTTTTGACTTGTGCGAAAGTTATCGAGAGGTTGCACGATCTAAGCGCGGTATTTTTTTGGCTTATGCGAAAGTTATCAAGAGGTTGCATGATCTAACATATTTCTCACTATCGTATTATGCTTCTTCCCGTAGTTTTCTTTTATACATCTGCATCCAACTTTCATCATCATTTTCATCATTTTATGTTAAATGATATTCTTTTCCATGTTCTTTGTATAGTTTATGCAAGATAATAAATATCAACAAACCAAAAGTTTGTAACTTATTACATATAATGTACAAATGATCCAGATTTTCTAAATTTTTTTACTTAGATTATTCAAGTTATATTTTTGACGTTTGCAAAGATACTTACTTTGTTCATGTCGGAAAACAAATAATATATGCAAGTGAATAATTATGAGTTATCATTTCGTTTTTATCTAAAAGAAATCTTCAATATAATGTTTAAAAAATGCAGGAAGTTTTTGAAATTTGGCTAACAAATGTATCATTGTATAATTATGCATATTGCAATATAAAAATACTATATTGAATTTACTATATTTGTACATTAGAAATGAAGGTTAAACTCTGTAAATCATAATGAATAGTCATTGTGACATGTATTGTGAATAGAATCTAAAACAGAAATATTTAGTTCAATTTAGCAATGTAATGTTAATTTAATATAGAGTTATTTACATAAAAAATATTCATTGATATTATGAAGAACTCTAGTGTCTCCTTTATTATTATTTGAACTAAATAAAATTAATCAAGATCTAATTAAATAATCTTGTCTTGGATAATTTCATCTTTGTAGATCTACTGCATTGTAGATCACCCGTCTACCGCATGTGAGTTACTTATCATGGTTGCCCTTCTTATAACAGTTTGTTCGACCGACCACAGTTGGTTTTATCTGACAACATTCATACTACAGACCACGATAGCTCTAGTCGATCACCTTTACCACGACAACTCTGTTGTCTTCGACCTACCGCCGTTGGGGGTGGATCTCCGTCTTGCTCTCGCTACTAAGCGAGCACTAGTGCCTGCCATTCGGCTCTCGGCTTGCACGGGCTCTGCCGTTCGGCGGCAGGCATGGGATCCGCCTCGCCACGCGATGTCATCCTTGCCGCACGGTAGTGGGAGGGACGCGGACGGGCCGCGTGCCTTTCTGTTCCGAGATCATGTATCGTTCCGGTTCTTGTCCATCATTTCCTTACAGATGGTTGCCGATACGCATTTCTAGTCCGATAAGAGAAATTGTAGGCGTAGTTCGATAAGCTCTTGCCTATAGGATCGTAACTCCGCATAAGACACCTTCAGCGGAACTAGTTTCCGCACCTTAGTCATTGTGGGTGACGTCATATCTCTAATCGCGTTTTTGCTACTATCAAGGTTCATCAATTTTGACTCTCTCTCGATATCGCAACCTTGGCGCGAGTGTTCTCGTCGTGCCTTTATTCTCAATGCCCTAACGTTCCTCACACGCTCGCGAGTTGGTACTTTCGGCGCATGCGGTCCTTGACTGGCCCTTCTCGAATTAAAATTGAACTTCGTCGTCTTCGCCGAAGGCCCGGCTATTACATGCTCTAAAACGGCTACGCCGATGGTCCGAAGATCCGAAGGTCTTCGGCCGAATGCAATTCCTACTTTCTTTCTCTAACTAGCTAGATTTTACATAATTCTCCTAACTCCTACGACTTAGGACTTGTATGCATACTTTCTTACCCGAATATGTTTAAGTTTTTGTTATTTATGCAAAAAAACGAAAAAACTAAGCACCACGACTTGTTAGTAAAATTATATAAGATAGAAATAACTATTATGAGTCACTTTCAACTTCAAAGTTTGTGTTTTATTTATGAATGTATTAGTTTCCTAATACCTAATATTACAAAAATTTAATTTTTTAGTTTATCAAATAAAAAAATCATCATATAGACTCAAGAAAACTAATTTTAAGAAATTCAAGATTTGACAAATATATGAAAGTACAAATATTTTCACAAAATGTGTATAATTCATGTGTCTACGTGAAGATGATGAATGATGACTTTGTTTATTTTTTTTACATGCATGACATGTTCATATCAATGAAAACAAAATCCAAAGTTAAGAGATGGCAAAATCAATCTAAGTTTGTATTCAAGATAAAAATCTCAATAAATGTAAGAATATATTATATATGAAAATTCACAAAAAAATTTAAAAATAGAAATTTAATGTCAAGTTGATCATATTAAACAAATTCTTGACATTTTTATTATAAAAAATTTAAGAAAATAAAATAAAATTCTGCAGCACACTTCAAGTTTTCTATAGCTCAATATCTAATCAATGTCATTAAGAACATAAAGGTATCATGAATTATGTATGACAAACTAATGAACAATTCCATGTATTTGTTGATATGCACAAAACTTGATATTGCTTTGGCTATACACAAGGTGAAAAATCGTGCATTAGAAATATGTGACATGAATTTTCATGTATTACTATTACTAAATATTATGATATTTTGTTTGATGATTTATTAAACAATGTTAAAACTCTACTAGATTTTTTTGGTGTTAATTATGACAAAATTCTAAACAAAAAGAATCCACAACTATGATTTGTTTACATTTGATTTCTAGTTTGCAGAATTGCATAGCTTAGTTCACAACAAAATTAAATATGTAGCTACATAGAAAATACCAAAGTAATCTATTTGATTCAATACTGAAATGATATTGAAAAAAAAGTTTCTTATTGTTAGTGGTGATAATAAAAATGTGTTATTTATTGCCGTAAATCACTTGATGAAGAGCAATTTTATCAGAGATTTATTTTGTGATTAGAAGTTTGAACTGGTTAAGTTGGACAAAAAACTCAATCTAATTGATGCATTGATCAAAATTACTTTTGAAAAATTGTAATTTTATTTTTGCTATAAAATCTAAATCTAATTTCAACTCGAGTTAGGTTGCTTAATATTAACCCAAAATTCAAACTGATATCACGATAATTCATTTTTATATATTCAAAAAAAATAAAACAAATATATTCTAATATAAGATACTTAAATAGATAAAAATTGGATTTTTCAAGATTTTAATAAATGTACATTTTCGAATATACATATATATTTTGAATTTTTTTTATATTTTTCTTATCACAATGTCAAAATAAATGCAATAAGTTCCATCTATGAACAAACTTGAGCGATGCAAATGATGTCCCTCGTGTGTATATTTATGGTTGGAATATATAATTGTCTTCTTTGTTACTGAACACAAATATATATCAGTATATCAAAGATTGTAAGATTTATTCTATCGTAATCAAAGCTTCATTAGAATAAAGGTCAATCAAGTAATATTTATAAGCAAAAAATAATGCCGATACCCTTGAAACATAAAAAGGTAAAAATATTGACAAGTTCGGTGTTAGTGTCTTCAATCGGATCGTCTTGGCTTGTGCTTTTGTCATCTTACATTAATCTTATTCCTGAAGCCCCGTTCTTGTTACTGTGGATATTCAAGTACTCTTCGTCACCATGGTTTTGCTGCGGTACAGAGTGGGGGCTGACCACGATTCCTGTCACTTACCTCGTACGCTTAATTTCTCCCTCGGGCGCTTTTGCCGCTCTACTAGCTCTGTTTTGCTCCTCAGCGTGAGTTTCAGGATCCAAGATGCAAAATATTTTCACGATATTACATTGATAATAGTGCGACTATCAAACATACGATAGATTTGTAGGCATTCTTCACTCAATTATTCCGAAGGCAGTACAATCTGCTGGAGTCGAGTGATCTTGCTTGCATTATGGGCTCCAAACGTCCCCCGCCAGGTAATTCTGGATCCTCAGTGGCATTTGATGATCTTCATGAAGTAATTTGCTGGGCTCACCCTTTATGAACCTTAACGCATCAAATGGCACAGTTCAAGGCATGCCAGTGAATATCGTTTGAAAATAAGATTAATCAAATTCACTGTTTATTCGAAAGTTTTATCATTTGATCTTTGTATTAGAAACTGCCGAAGTTATATCATATATGAATATACACGTATCAAATGTGACAGTTGAAAACCTTCGGATTTGATGAATTCAGAATCCGAAGCTTTAAACTGTCGCATTTCATGAGTTCAGCTTTCTGAATGCTAGGGTGTCTCAAGAATCTGAAATGGGGCGTGAAGCCTCTGTCACCTGAAGACTTATGTCCTGCATAATACCTGGACAAATGTTGCTAGCATCCTCCTATCTCTCAAGTGCTTTAGTAACTCCGTCAAAAAGTGTGGTTCATGTCCATAAAAGTCTATGGGTCTTTGAATAAACCAGAGACTGCAGCAAAATGTTACCTTGCGGAACCTACTTTACCTAAAAAAACGTGTATTTTATCAAGTCATCAGAATTCACATCATGAAGGTTTTAAGACAATATAATTGTTGTGTGGAGCAGATCTTCCTGGCATGTATTTTGACGTAGAACGAAACAGATACTTCCCTTTGAAATCACGCATGTCAACCAACGAAGATTCTCGAATGAAAAGCGCAGCTGAACAACTTCGTCAGGATGAGGAGTCTGCAAGAAGTGCAAGAGAGGTAAGTATCAGAGTACAGTTTCGTTGAAACAACTCATTTTGTGAACTGTGACTATCATTTCTTATAGTACTGGTGTATGTGTTTCTTTTCTTCATAAACCCTAGGATGCAATTCTCTACAAGCGCCGAATCCCCAAAACGGCCTTTTCAGCTATGGAGAAGTCTGAAGATGGAAATGCTATTTTACGACTCCTGTATCAACGAGAATTGTCTGGGCATAACTGGAGGAAAAGAGCAGGAGCCAATTGCTCTGTATTTGAACGGCAAATTTTGGAGAGTTATACTGGGCATATGAACTCCAGCCGTGTCCAGCCACCTAAGGTACATGTGCATGAAAACATATCTTCCTGGTTACCTTTGTGGCACCTGTTAACACTTCTCAATTTCTTTAGGTTTTCATCTTTTCTTCATCCTCATGTCCATCCGACTTACGTGTGTGCTCTTAACCACGTAAACACCATTGGACTGTTTTTTAAATTCAGGTGGCACTCAAGTAGGTTACTGTATGTTTATGTCGCATGAGAAACAGTTGTTTTACTTAGCTGCAGTACAATGGGTACTTTATGATACTGGCACACCTTTTCATCTCTGTCGTAGGCCCGCCGCAAATACATAGTTCTTGTACTTGTTCTTGCTAGTTAACTTTGCATAAAACAAATTGTGATATATATAATTTTCTACTTGAGTCACAGAAGTTTATTCATTTATGAATCTGAGTCACTCTCTTGATTCTTTCGCAGATCTGGACGTATCTATCTGTTCATTGCGACGGTGGAATTGAACAGTGTCGACTAGACATTCAAACTGCTTCGGGTCAGGTAGAAGTAGATGCTATGGTTGTCGGCGGCTTCAACGAGGTCCAGTAAGTAACTCATTCTTGGATCAACAACAACTTCTAGAACTTGTTATCTTACCTGTTCAAATCTTGCCTATGTCGATTTCCTGTTAACTTGGGTATTTCTATCGAAGCCGTTTTCTGCTCTGTGGCCACACATGTACATTATGCTTTCGTAGTTGCCAGTCTTTGTACGCTTACTTTCCTTGGTAGCCAACCGTATACACATCAAACAGACAAGACTCCGGAGCCCATTTCTGTATACTGTAATTACTGTAGTTTCTGTAGATTTTACTTCTGTTGCTGACCTTATCATTCTCCTGCCTCATTCACTGCCCTCGCTGACCCTGTAACTTACTTTGTATAGTTAATATCGTGTTACGATGAAAGTATCTCTATCTGATCCCTATCTGATTTGATGTTGTGAACAGGACTTTGCAAGTATGTGGTCCTGAAGACATTTCCATTTGGGGTGACGGGTCTTTTATGTCACAAAACAACCCACGTATCTTCGAAAGTTATTCAGTAAAAAAGTCAGCTATTTTAAGGCCAGTTTTCGTGAAGTTGCCATTCACTTCAATGATCACGTCCGTAAAGAAATTTATGGACTCAGAACATGGAAATGACGAAGATATCAGGCACTCAACGCAGAATGTTATGTATCCTCACGAAAATCCAAGCAACTATGCTGGTTGTATAATGTAGTGCGATTGAAAAGTACTTTTAAATATGTTGAAGTGGAAAAACGTGTAAAGTTTTCTGCATCGTTGCGTGACATTGCTTGTTGCATCGCTAACAGTACCAGTGATATCTCCAATTGTCCATGAAATTAGTCACAAAATTGTTGAGTTTTCTGATCAACAGGAAAGTTTTCTGATCTAAAGGGAGCAACTTTCCCTGTTGATCAGTCAGTTACTTCCTCATTTACCGGTGTGATCCGCACTCAGCTCTTTACATACTCATTGTGACTTGCTAAAATCTATGCTGTTCTTTCTTTGTGTCATTTGTCTCCTTGTTGCTTAAGGCAGGTTTCATTTCCTCCAGCATTTTGAATTAAACTTCAATACTTCCTAAGAGAATGCAGTTTACCTTGACAAAGGTTGAGACTGACTACTTTGGGCAATGGTGGAGAAGGAGGGAGTATATATCTGATGCGAGATGGACAGGATGTTCTTTCCGAACGATCCAGACCTTTCAGCGGGCCCCTCAGGGTACAAATCAATTCAGATATTTACACAGCAGAATGTAGTCCCCGTCGAAAACAAGTCAGTCTCGGTATTACATGTCATCTCCATTCTTCAAACTCAATTTTTTATTGGTGTTAACATCCTGTCCTGGGTTGACTAACATGACCATTTCTCGCTTGAGAAACCCACTTCTCTTCGTAGAATGCTCTAATTGTACCTCAGGACTCGTTGAAGTTTTTTGTCGAGCGATTCACAGAAAAACCCAGGAGATCAGGCCAAGAGCTGGGATTGATGTACAATCCAAACTGAAAGTAAGAAAGTTTGTTGAATGAATCTACAAAAACGTGAAATTCGGTCTTCGTCCTTTGAGCAGGGTTGAAGGCAGGGGCTGCGATCCTGGACATAGAGAGGAGTGAGGTTTACAGAACTTTTATAGCTAAGAGTTCTGTGTTAGCACAGCAGTTTGACAACTCTGTGAGTATCTCTTACTCTTCAGTTCAAAGTTCCCTGAATCTTGTCGAAGAGAATGAGTATGTTTTTTCACTAGGACAATTGTGCCATTTGACTGTCCTTTCAACTGCGATCACAGTATTATACTTTGTGTAGTCTCTTTTTGACCTGATTTGTTATCCATGTATAGCCCATGAGGGTTTCACCTTCTGCATATACAATCGCTGCTCTGGACCCTCTATCCTAAACCTTTCTTTGCACTGAGATGCAGTTTTTCTCGGTTTTGGTCGTACTAAAGAGACTTCCTTTATTCTCCATGTTCACAATAAGTTAATTCCACTTCTGCCCCATGTAGTAGGAACCATATAGTTGTTCTTATTGACACTTATGATAGTCATTTGTCATGCGTTTTGAACGCAATGCAGGGTAATCTTTTGCTCTGTGGTTATAGAAATGGCATGATCATACCTTACGACCTACGTTTACCTCCGCCAAGTACTTCGCAAACCCGCAAAAGGAATACAAGATCTAGACAGAGTCCCCACTATGAGGTAACGAGTGTACCCTCTCCTCGAATGACTGTGTTTTGTTGTCTCAGTGTCTTTGCCGCTTATTATCCAAGTACTATACTGCTCACTAATCCTGAAGGAGCTCACAACCTAATTAGTAAGAGCAATTGGGAATTGAGTTAAATGATTTTTACGTCATGTAATCCAGCGGGCATCATTTAAGCACTAAAGAATATATTTTTTGTCACTTCCATAATAAATTTATTACAGACCTGTACTATTTGACAGAAGTTTTCACATGTGAGTGATGATTGCTTGGGAGTGGGGAGCGTTGGTTCGATCGGTGCTTGAGTAAGTTAAGAGAGATGCCGTAGAGAAAAGTCTATCCTCTGTCTTGCAACTACCATTCTACCTGACCTGAGATTTTCGAGTGTGTTTTCGAGAGCATTGGCCAATGAAGGAGAGTCTATTACATTATCAGGTCAAAACAGAGGGTTACGAAGATGAGGACAAGAATCTTGCTTATTAAAATATATACTCTACTTATGACAAACAGTGACTATCAAACTATTACTCTTAGAAGATGCTGAAACAAGGATTTACGAATGAGATTTGCTTTAGATATGCTGACATCAATAATTTACTCGCATTCGTTATTTTCATGATCACAACTAGTGACGATTCTTTAAAGAATGATCTAATCTAAAACCTTCAACATTTTTTATTCCAGCTAGTTAAATATGAAAGACTGCCTTGAACTTGATTTTTATTTCACGCACGCATGTAAGAAGTGTTTCATGATATACATCCACTTTGGTTGCAGGGAATGCAAATGAGGTCAACAGTTTGCAGGCATGTCTCTTCTTTGCTATTGTTTTCATGGTTTGCACACTTTATGATCGTTTAAGAATTCGTCATGTTTTTTTATTGAGCGTTGCCTGAGAATTGTCTGCAGTGTAGAAGAAGACTGATCTGACGTATTGTCATATTAATGACTTAACAGCATGTCTCTTCTCCGAAGCAATGAGTTCTATCTGATAGCAAGCGCTATGGATGGACAGGTAAAGCTACGTAAATTACTGTTTCCTATATCTTGTTTAGTTATTGGTATGAAGTCTTATCCCCAAACCCGTCGACAAAAACCACAATTAACCATATGGTAGATGATGATGAATTACCAATTTATTGGACCTTTGCCTTTCAACAGATTTGGCAGTGGGATCGAAGAATATCAGGACGTGGACCTGTTCAAACATACGAAGGACACGTGAACACTCATTCTTTACTCCAAGTTCGATTAGATCCCAGTGAGAGACTTCTTGCATCTGGTAAGGGTTGTTGCATTTCTTTATCATCAACCTGACAAGTTTCTGTAGCCGAAGAGGGTCGAGTCTTCGATACGTGGACACCTCTATATAGCACTGCTATATACCAATGATCACCTCGGATTGTTACCGACTTAGCGTAAGATCACAGGGGACCTTGGTAATTCAGAGTTTTATGATGTTTCCGTCTTTATTTGACATTTTACGTTTGCTTCAAGTTGAATCATGATGTGATACGACGTTACGGTTTTGAAACACTGCAACCTTAGGTGGTACGGACGGTGCCTTACGAATATGGAGCGTAAAATCATCTCGGTTGCTGCATGTAGAAAGAAAACTCAGCTGCGTACCAAAGAGAATTTGCTGGAACACTTCTTTCTGTAAGTCATTATGGCCCGAAATGCGATGATGAAATTTTCTATTTGCAGAAAGATGGTACGTCCTTACTATATATGTTTGTTATTTATCATGGGTTTCATAGGTACGAGCAACGAAGGTGGGTGGGACTATTTTGAAGAGCCGTGCTTTAAGGATGATTCTCCTTGGGCTTTATGGACGGGCTCTACAAAATTGCTTCATATACGAGGAGGACATGGTGACTGATAGGGGCAATAAGAGCTATCGCCCCGCACGGTTGAAATAGCCATGGTTATTAGTTGTAAGAAAGAGTAGAAGCCTGAAATGTATACAAAGTGGTTCGTTTGCGGTTCTTTCCACTTTGGCGCAGTGAAGGCTAGCTGATATCAAGTTTCATAAAAAGAGAGGTATCGTATTTTGATATTCTGAACTCTGTTGCAGCAGTTCCAAATCGAAATTGTTCGGTCAGGGTTAGATCTAGCAGTGCAAGAAGGCGTGAACCCAACCTTGGAGTTAGAAAGGTTTAGATCATTCTTTTCAAATGTTAAGTTTTCTGTTGATGTACGTCCTAGACATGGAACGTTCGTTCATATTCGCCTTTTCCTGTTGCTAGATATGGCTCGTTGATGGGAGAACAGCAGGAGAGGACACGCAAGGATAGAAGTGTCGTTCGCTCTATCTCTCCAAGTAAGAATATATCTGACTGCGTAACATTGTATGATGTAGTTATATTGTTTTGCCGATTATGCGACACGAGCAGCAAAATCAATAAGTACATCATACAATGATGTACTTATATTGATTTTGTAAACAATATACGGTCATGTAGATTATGCCTGCTGAACGGAAGGTGTGTTTTTTGATACATGTGCCAGTATTAGTCATATAATTATATTTCTTCGTACACCTTAAGGCAGTTCTCTATCTCTACCATATCTTTATCTCTATCATATCTCTACGCTCTCTCCCCAGTTTTCACGTATGAGTAGTAATTAAAAAGAAGATTTTTGTTTACATTATAGCTCCACTCAACAGTCCGGAGAGTTGCCTTATTTATGTCTGACTTATTTTTTTGTGAAATGTTCCATCGTTAAGCATCTGTGCACAGTTCTTTCGTGATAGCAATCCCCAACCTTTTAATTGGTGTTTTCTTCCCTTGCTGGTCTGTGACATTAATGATAAATCTGCATGTCGTTGGGTCGAAACAAGTATTGAGTTTAATGTTCCAGTCTTCATTAATATCGTCGGAAGCTTCTTTCTCCATCGTTAACCTCGTCTTGACTATCTCCATCTTGAACTAGCACTGGCACTTCCTCACTTCGTGCATCAATCCGTACACAACGAGAGTCACAGCTGTAAATCAAACCACATTCACTCTTCATGCAGTCATTTGCATTCTTAAGTGACTGATTAGCATGAGACCACGACACGCAAGCTTTTTTGTCTACTATGGCGATCCTCTCCACTTCGTGTAGTAGTTAAGACAACCAAAATTTATCTTGTATGAAAATGAAAGTCAGGACTTGAACAATTCTCATACCTGTTGTTACGAACCTATCCACCTTGATTTACTTTGTATAACTGAATGCACTTTTACATATATAGATATGGGGTGTGCAAGCGAGGAGTTTAGAGTGGTGATGTCTTTGAACCCTAGTCGTGAGGGTGATGAGTAGATATGGAGTGTGTTAATCTTAGGATATGGTTGTGTGTTCTTTGTTGTAGGATGGGCCTGCAGGTTTCGAAGTACGGACTGGAACATAAGCACCTACGCCTATGGTGTTCAACTGGTGAAAATCACCATAAGGCAAGGTAGATCTTAAGCTATGATCTTTTTTCCATTACCACATCTGGATGATCAGGTCCACATGTTGTGTAAAAAATAAAATTTGAACTTTTTTGTAATGTCTTGTTTTATGGTTTTTATCATATTATTCTAGATAGAACCATAGTCAATTAGTGTCACAGGTCTCTTCATGATTATCCTTGGACACCAGTCAAATTTAAAATCTCAGAGCTTCAGGTTTTTCAGTGTCTATTCTCCCATCGCATAGTGTTCCAGGTATATATCAGATCTTCGAGGATGATTAGATTCGGATCTGGCTTTTCTGAATTAGCTCCATAGTTGGAAAAGATTATAATGGCAGTGATTGGGGTTTCGCATTGTGCTAATTTGGTACCGATATAAATTACAAGACATCACAACACGGTTTTTATTCTAACTACATTCATTATTCTTAAAGTCACAACTGTTCATATTTGGCCACAAAGGTTACCTTTTGAAAATCTGCAAATGACGATAATTTTAATCCATATTTTTCAAGCAATCATTACCATACTGCAAGAGGTATACAAGGAGAAAAGGATTATATATAAACAATATATCAACTCGAGTTTCCGCATCACTTTAGTTTGTTATTGTATTTTTTTTTATTGAAACTTTTTAATCAGGCTTACAAGGTATAAACTAACATCATTGTAAGCTTGTATGATTTTTGATAATTAGTTTTTTCATTGTATTTTTTGCAATTTTCATTTTGATTTCCTGTACTAAAAGAGGAGTACACATACAAAATATATCGATTATTAATTCGTGTTTTATAGACTCGACTTTTATAAAAATATATATCAACAATGTATGGTATAATTTTAAATACAAAAACCACATTTTTATATTTGAGTATAAAATACAAGATTCAAATCCATCAATGTCTAAACAATTATTTTACTCTCAGAAATCATAATCGCATGTGAAATTCTTATTTTAGAAACAATAACATCTCATATAACTTCGAATTTCAAAATAAATTGAACACAAATATCCTAAAAGTAAAATTAATTGTTTTTAGAAAAGTATTAAGAGCTAAAAAGTATTAATTAGATACTGAAATATATTACTAATAACACACTATCAGTGCAGTTTTAACAACTAATAAATCTAAATTAGAAAATAAAACTTTGTTGTAAATTATTATTTAATAATTAAGATTAAATTTATTAAAAAATAACTTGTAATATCATCCAATTGGTTCGACGTAGTCATATCGTTATCTGATACTTTAAAATTAATGTGTTATGTTTTATTCTCACAAAAAATACAACAACTATATATAGATATGTGAAATTTTTTGTTTAATTTTTCTTGAAATTATATAAATATTAGAAGATTTTTATTTTTGATATATTAATTTTTAGATTAATCCTTATATCTGTTTAATGTGAGATGAATGTCATTACTATTTTCATTAAAATTATATAGATATTTCCAGAGTGTAAAAGACAAGATGACACATATTATAAAAAAAATATAAATACATAGATGTTCTAATATTATGTCTCATGTATTCTTGTTCAGATCAACAACATTACCATGCATGTTTTTTCGGTAAATAATTTGTAACAATTTTTTTAAACATATTTTTATGTTAAGATTAGTTTGATTGATTATTTTTCTAAACTTTCAAATTGCCCTGAAGTTAAGGTTTAGGGATTTATGACACTTGGACATTTCCACCAAAATTTCTTAACATCGCGAATCATCTCAATTTCAATCATGCTCAGCAAAGGAAGTACTCGGTGAGTACATCTGCACGACGGATCCAACGTAATCCTATTCTTGATCTTGTGACTCAGATCCTCGGGGAATGACAGAGAAAGCGAATCCGGAAATTGCAGTCAACAAGCAACCAAGCAGAGAAGTCTGAATTACACATGACAATCAAGTATGGCAGGAATCCTCGAAGACAAGAGGCGAGATCTAAACTGGAAATCCAGCAGAAGAGTTGAATGGTGAACGTTGCGCAGTTCCATACATCTGATATCATTCCAACAGAAGGAATCCGCCAGAGCCTTCAGGGAAGTCCGGGCTCGCTACTTATGCAATGAAGCACCCCGCAGGACCTGGTTCATTTACAGCCACCAATTCTAATCCTAACTCCTGGTTTCAGCACGGCAACACAGGTATGCTATGTACAGTAAGTAAACACATCGATTTGGCTGGTCATGAACTGATTCTTGTCCTGAGCTTGTAGCTCGGAAAATGTCAGATTAGAGCATAGAGATGTGCCAGTTTTGTCATATTTTTACAACAGTAGGAGAAATATTCACAGGCTCAAACAATCTGGGGGCATCAGGAGCTCAAGAACCTTTCCTCAAATCGGGAGTCTGAGAGTCTACAGGCGATCGTTCTACCGAAGACGGAGTAGCGATTGTCAGCTACTTGATCGTACACGACGTCTCGGAGAAACAGAGGGACGATGCTCGCAGCCATGGCCACAGGAGGGAATGGAAACTGCAGATAGCGGAGAGTATTGAGAATGGCATCGGACTTGATGTACGCCCTCTCCTGGTCGACCAGCACAACGCTCGAGATGTCGTCCGGTGAGCGACCCGATCTTGCCAGCAGTGCCCTGCCTGCCTCGCTCTGCAGAGCTGCAAACCTCACTTTGCCTTCGGCGTCGTTGTCGAGCATGAAATTGACAGCTCCGTTGCACATGTTGCAAACGCCGTCGAACAGAATGATCGGGCGAGTGTCTGTTGCGAAATATGCATCCCCTTTTGCCTTCAAATCCTCCAGCGGCGATGATGATGATGATGAACCTGTGCTTGTTCTCACTCCGCGTACAGCTGACCCCCGTATGGGAAGTTTTAGCACAGCGAAGTCGTGACCCTGGAAATTGCGCATCTGTAACCGAGACAAATCTCGTCCCCGAACCAACGAAGCTGTCGGGCCAATGACCACACTCTTCGACGACGACATAGCTGGTATACCACGGACAGATGCCACTGTCATAGCCATTGCCACGGCCAAATTCGAAGCCTAATTACCAGACCTCTCTCTCGTCACGGATCGTACTTTTCGCCACTCCTCGCAATTATCAATTTCGTCTAATGATCGATGATGCCGCGTCTACTTCCACGAAAGCCACCCTTTGAAAGTTCCACAATCTCTCTGCTCACACTCAGACTGGTGCCTGAGACCCTACCCTAGATGTGTGTCCGAATATCGTTGTGTTGAGCTTACCTGAGTCTCGGGTAACGAGGACAGGAAGTGGCACCCAAGCCAATCATCTTCTGGGAATTCAGCCTTCGCAACTTTTATATCGAAGACCTTTTGCAGCATCTCTGTTTACATCCCTATCCTCTGTGAAGATGATAGTGTACACAATTGGATAATCGGAAGTCTCCCCACTCTTGTGGTGCACGTTTCGGCACGAGGATTCGTACTGTCCGCTGACGCTGCTTACGGTAATTTAATGTAAACGCCGCAAGAAGACAGAATTGATCCCGTCTTCAAAGCATCTGATGTTATATCCAAAGTGCGACGAGACCATGCGGTGCATGCGAAACTTCAAAAGCCCAGAACGCGAGGGAGAGCGCATTTTGAAGAAACGAAGGCGAGTGGCGACTTTGAACCGAGTGGACTTCGTCAAGGCTGTATCCTGGACTGTTTTATGTTTCTACTGCGGAAGCGATCGACGCACTAAGCTTCAGCAGTCTGATGCTCGGGGCCGTGCTTAGATAGCACTCTGTTTAGATCGACTTTCGTACTGCGTGGTTCAGCGTGGACGCCTTCCAGAGTACGACTGACTGATGGCCTCGTCGAGCCCGTTCGAACCGTTCAATCCTTGGATTGGAAGTTGCAGAGGGACAAAGCTGTGCACCTTGTTGTTTAAGAGCAAGTATTGATGTAGACTTGAAACGCAGTGCAGTACTTCCGGTCCTGGCAAGAGCGAACCATCTATGACACCCGAGTATTACAGGTAACGACATTGTATTTACGTCGTCGTATTGTTCGCATTAAGGATCATGAATGGATTGAGGATTGTATATGCAGGGAGCGAGGAAGTTGGAGTCATGATTCTTCCAATTCCTCTGTGCTTGCTGCTGCTCGTCCTGAGGTCTGAGGTCTGGCACCAGCATGAGTTTCCTAGAAAACATAGGCAGTACGCGGATGCCGGCTTGACATGCCCCGTGCGCAAGCTGACAAGTTGACTTGGAATGGAATTCGGTCCTATAGACTTGGATGGATTCGCATGTAAGTTTATGACACCATCGGGTACTGGATTCCTGGAGGTGCAACTTTCAAGGACAGCATTAATGATATGAAGATGGAATCATGGACGAGTCAATCGGCTGAATGTCACCGGCGGAAAGGTCAGGTAGCGAGCTCCAGAAAACTCCGCGTGCACAACTCTGAGAAACTCGGCGGGCGTTGAGAGGATTTGGATCGAACGGTCGGATTTTCATGTCATCCCGATGTCTGCATTGCAATTGTGTGTCAGTATTACACTTGAGCAAACCTCATGAACATCTCCGCCGATTCGGTCAACTGGCGATGGTAATTCGTTCAACTCTGCCCTTCCCGCAAACCTTCGGAGACCTTTTCCAACCAACCGAGGTCCTTTTCTTGGCATAAAGTCCGGAACCCAAAGCTCCATTTGTTTGCTTTTCCTTCCGTTTCTCTTCCTCCTCCTCCTCCTCCTCCACCTTACGGAGATGAATGATTTAAAACCATAGTCGGACTTTCTACATAACTTGGGTTTGTTTGGATCTTTGTAAAAGACTGAAAGTTGAGCCACCTACAAGTATTGGCTGCATTGGGGAGAGCCTAGAAATTGTGGTCTCACGGCGTAATTCAGAATAAAAGACCAAAATGATGACTCCTCCGAGCTCTTTATTCACCCGGAGTGATGTCACACTCCGGGCAATGAATCTTTCTTCTGTAGGCCTCGCAGCATATTCTCTTTCAGTTCTCACTTGTGAAGGGAACCACACAACCTTGAAAGAGACAAGGGCATATATCTGGGACTTTGTCCGATGGAAAGGAAAGCTGGAATCGGAAATCATAGCGAGGATAACTGTTCTTGATCGCACTTTTACTTCTAACGGATGCATCGACAGCTTCGAGTGGGAGAGCAAAGTGCCCGCAGTTGCCAGGAGCATCTTCAGCCCACAAGCTTATGATATTCGCACCTTGACTTCTCCAGAAAAGCACCAACCGGAGTCGTGAGAGGAAAAAGTCATTGCAGACAAAATGATATGTCAGACTCATAAGTGAGACCGAGTTCTCAACAAACAGTCCACAACCAAACCCGAAAGCGATCCTGACCAGCGGGAGAAAGTCCCGCTGCGGACTCTCTCGAGTCAATGGAACGAAAGCCTCACGAGCATCTCAACAACTTTTGGTTTCTTCTCTACCAAACAATGGCATCTCGAATGCTTCAGTAGCATTTCTGGAGTTTACATAATTATCTCCGAGCAAATGAAAGTGCCAGAAACAAAGACCTTTGGAGAGATTCGTGGCAACCTATGCTCCAGACCTGAGCCAGCAAATCCTGCCTCTGTGGACTGATCATGGCTATGGTTGTCATGCGTAGCTCAGAGGTATCCGCTGAACTTGTGCGTTGACTCGGCATTGCGTTAACTTCTACGCTGTCGTCATCATATGAGTTGAAGCTTATGTTATGCAAAGAACCTTTCAAAGCTCAAAGATCAGATCATGGGAATCAAACATGTCAGTTGAGAATGATTGTATTTTCGCTTTGGACTAAAGCATGGACTCACACTATAGCTACAAATATATTCCACTTGTTCCTCTAGAACAGACTTTATACAGTCTCACCTTCAGCACCATCTTCAAAGTCCTCCTGATGGTCAATGTAATGAAGAAGTTGACAATTCGGACACAACGAAGAGTTTCGAGCGTGATGTTCACTCAGATATCATTATATTCAGTTCTACGAGGAACTCAAATCTCACCTACAAACTGAAAAGAAATTGTCCGGTAGACATTTTCAGTGCCATTGACATCCACCGTTGCATGATTGAAAACATGTGCTTCTGAAGGCCTTTTACTGATCTTTAAAGAACACATGATTGTTTCATATTCAGAGGTTTTATGAATATATTCTACTTGTTTCGAGCCAGTGCCAATAAAGCAAAGGAACTATTAAATCCTCAATGCAGATACATTGAGTAACTCTACCAGCCAATAGCCATGTGGTATTCACGTGAACGTGAGATTCATAAACAAACTACTTCCACACCTTCCGCATTCTTTTGCAGATTATGAATTTGAACATCCAGAATTCCTATCTTTATATGACGCAGAAACTAAACCCAAGAAATGTATTGATTTTTTATAAGCACATTGCGCATTATTTCTATCCAGCTTTTCATATCCACATCACAATGAAAGTAACATATGACATGCAATCAACTGGGGATATATGCAATTAATACATGTGATGTAAACGTTTTTTGGTTTCATCGCAAACATCACGTCATCATGGATGGTTAAATGTTTTGAATGAGAGTCACATGATAAGCTTCTTTATCTAATATGATAAGAAATGACAGAACTAAGTAATGAAATGTAAATGGATGGACTTAGCTAAGTTGGAACCTCAACATTGTAGATTTATAGATATGCAGGTTGGAAAGCTTTCATGCATGCATGACTTTTACAAGTAATCTCGTAATCTCGACCAAAAATCAAGAATCGAAGGATTTTTTGGAAAAGACTTCAGAGCTTATTGATAATATCGGACAAACAAAGAGAAAAATGACGGAAATTCATGTCACAATTTATAGTTTGTAAATGCAGATGCAAAATAAATAATCTCACATCCACACAATTAGATATATATGTCTACAATCAATTGAGAATAACAAGATAATCAAGGTGCAAAGAATTGTCAACTAATCACAATGTTATTTTGAATTCAATATACTCATTTTTTATTATTTGCTACCATGTGAATTATACATGTGTGAGTTTGTACATACATGTGCAAAGATATAAATCTCAGTATCACATCTATGCTTACATATTTGAATTACTCAATATTTGATCCTATCAATTACGTTGATAATCTTTCATTAAGGGTTGTCAAATGTGTTATGAATGCAAGTGAAGGAGAAATCATGAAAATAAGATTTAACACGTGGACAATACGTGTGGACAACGAAGAGATCAAAAATTACACCAAATGTCACATGAGTATATCCTATGAGAGCAAGATTTTTTGTATAAGCAAATCATTTTCCAAAAAATGTAGTTTATTGAACTCCTAGAATGAATAAGCTGTTTGTTTTGTGAAGATGTTATACATGCCTCTAAATTTTGATTACAAATAGATCATGATGTAAATTTTTGAGTGTAGAACTAAATTTTTGTAGCCAAGTAAACAAAAGTTTATTTGCATTCTCCAGAATGTAATTGTCATCCAACCAAGCACGACGAAAATATGTAGAGGTGACAACTCTCTAATGAAGTCTACTCTCGAAAATTCTTTCTACCAAATTATCAGTACGATGTTAGAACACGGTGTATCTTACACGTGTAAAATCATAACGGCAAAATAAGAAATTTAAAAATTATCAAAATAAAAGTATTACACTAGATGAATAATGTTGAACAACAGTCGACCGACCTCTGTAATATAATAAAAAAACCATGACACATTATTCTTAATCTATTCTTATTATACATTTGGATAACAAATTCATTTATATGAACATCAATATCATTTCACTTCATCTTGCTGTGCATACCTCAAACCTGATGTGACAAAGATGTTCCGTGTAATGTTATGAATTTTAACTGTTACCGATACCACAATACGAAATAAGACATTCTTGATATATGAACCCATTGTTTCGTAGAAACAATGGAGTCATATATCAAGATTATCGACGGAAAAAGGGTTTTATGGAAAACGCACTTGCGCCTTTCGATTGTTTCGTTGCTGACAAAGTCTCCAGGACCAGACTTATACCTTGCAGCCGTATGTAAATTTAAAGACCTCTTTACGCTTACTTAGGTTGACTCAGCAACTGCGCGGAGTTGTGACTTTAATCTAAGCTATCATCACATTTGGTCACATTAACAAAAACCGCCAGGCTGATCCGTTTTCGTGATGAGATAGAATTGCAGCATAAATTCGTATATGAAATAATTCAACACTACGAAGTTCTGTTGTTTCTCTTCCTTGCTGCATTCGGCGATACTACTGATGTTTCCGGCCATTCCTGCTAGCACAATTCCTATCACATCTATAACATCTCATCCATACGACCTCAAGTACTGAAGAATCGAATACTTACAATGCAGGCCTTGCATCGAAATGACAAGAAAAACAATTGCAAATACTTGTCAGTCAAGAGCATGGGCACCTCGCCCACTTAATCTGTTTGCAAATTTGTTGACCCATCTTCGCAAATGCGGAAACAATCATCGATACGTACCATTCAGTCGTGTGGCGCGACACAATGTCGGTAGATGGATGAACTGGCTTCCCACACATAACTTGATGCTCTTGTGATACCGATATGTATTTTATGATTGGACTTTATCAATGAAGACTTGAGAATGGGCCAGATGTATGAATAAGACTCTTACTCTGATACAAAGCATATTGAGTATTATACGTTGTGGTTTAAATTTTGAAAGATATTGGAAAATCCACAATTCCAGCAGAGACGTTGCTGAACTGAACCACTGAACTTGATTCTGTAGACGGCATCGATTAAAACCCTGAATCTAACGAACATGACTTTCCCGCCATACACTCAATAACACACCGAAATAAGCAGATGAAATTGAATAGGCCTTTCACCCATCTTCACTAAAACTAGCACATTTCGAAGGTTCTTTTAATGGATCCCACATAAGGGAACGCCTAACTTCCTTTACAGGACTCCCGCTCAGATCTATCGAATCACCGCACACATATGTGTAATGAGGAACGACTTAGGAGTGCAGTCGTGTAAGACTCTTTGGGTGAAGATGGCTGGTGAGTTGCAAAGAAGTGAGTGACAGATCTCCTGAAATGACAACTCTCTCTCTCTCTATCTCTCTGTGTCAAGGCCTTTGTGTATGTTTCCCCATCCTCCGACGGGGAAAAGGATGGCCGCAAGTGTTTGATATATGAGCTGGGAGTAATCTAACTGAGCGGCACATTGATTATTGTGCTAACAAAAAAACGCTTGATCACACTGTCTACCTTTGTACCTGTTAAACCAGAGCATGATACAAGCTGCGGCCAATTATTGCACAACCGGATGCTTGTCCAAGATCATCAACTGCAAGACCAATCAAACCATCAGTGTCCGCAGCTTGAAGATGTGATGGACGACGTGCTTGCAGAAGCGCCAGAAACATCATCCAGTCACAATTCTATTTTTCTAAATTGTGGTGGAGGGTGCACCTAACAGAATCCACCTGAGCAATATACTCCCACGATCTACGTAACCTGGGCTTTTGTAGCCTCCATTTTTTTCAGAAGCTCACGAATGTCACTAACCATGCTCATCTTCATAGCACTATATTCTCGCTGTGACTTCTCCATAGCTTGAACTTCCTCGTACCACTTGCGTCGTTTGTCCTCAAGCTCAGACAGGCGGAGTTTGTTAAGCTTGATCTGGTACTCTTCCTCAATCTTTTCGTTTTTTAACTGCACAATCTGCGTCAGCGCCTCGGCCTCTCGGCGGCATTCCTCCGCTTTCTGTTGAAAATGATTAGCCTCGTTCTCCTTCATAAGCACTATATTTTCTAACTCTTCCACACGTGTCTTAGCGCAGTATCTCTCGTACTGTATTTCCGAAGCCACCTGTCTTTTCTCCTCAACTTCGGTATCAAGAACTTGAAGAGCATGTCGGGCATTCTCCAATTCAGTATAATCGGCGTTTGGAGCTTTCATTACATTCATCGCATCTCTAACGACATCTGCGAGTTTGCTGTTGAGTTCACGAGGCGGTGGAACGACGGCCTCAGATCCCTGCATTGTTGGTCTCGTCGACGCAACTTTAGAAGTCGACAAGTCGCGATCTACAGTAGTGAACCGGGAGGAAATTATCAGAAACAAAGCAATCAACCACGGAACCATAAGTTTCTCCTGAGGTTTGGAGGTCACACAAGCTAACCATCAAAGTAACACCGAGAGCATGTCTTCTGCTATGCTCAGAATCAAGACAAACTACAAAGGGCTCCACGTTAAATTTGAGCAAAACCTAAAATACAGGTTCTGATCTCAGTTAGAGGATCTACTCCATCATGTCGGAGCAGACCCTACATATGTCGCAACTCACATTCACATCATGATGATAAACAGCTATTTTAGACCAAGGTAGTCACTTAAGCTTGTTACTCCTTATATTGTCTATTGGTTTCCAAAGGGAAACATCCATCCATGCTATCCATGCTATCCGAAACAACTACAACCATTGGTATTTTAAAACACCTCGTACACAGATTTCAGGCTTAAGAACTAGCTTACATTTTCAGGCAACATCGTAAACACTGAAAAGCTATGGCAGAAAAACAGTACGGGTTTGATGGCAAACACCAATGAAAGATCATCAACAGCTTCACAGGTGCAATAGCATACAAAGTTGGGGGAAGTGTAAAAAAAACCTTACCATTGAAAAACTTCATCATGCTCGCACATACCGCCTCGCAATCTTTTGAGCTGCGAAGCTTTACTAGCGATTGCTCGGCCTTCGAGAAAAGCTGTTTCCCAGGCAAATCCTCAGTCCTGTGGAATATTCTTCTCACACATTCCAGCTCCCCTGCAAGTTTCTCTATAGACCACTCCTTGCAACAAGATGCAAAGACTTCTTTGACAAAGCCGTAAAGCTCTGACGTCTGTCCGCATCCTATACAACGAAAGAGCATAACTGGATTGTCACTGGTCCCTTGGGAGCTGATACCGGACGAGATGTAACCCATTTGAATTCCACATTCGGAGTGGCACCAGTGAAGACAATAATCACATCCGATCCACCTACAGGTATTTGAATCGAAGTCGAATTTGGAGCAAACGATACACATACAGGCGTTGCAGAACCCCAATTTCCCTGAACAGACTTTGCACTCACAATCATCTGCTGGAAGCTGACTCTTGCAAGCTACGTTCCGACATTTCGTTCCGAGGAAGATCTCTGTCAACTCTCCAGTCGTGAGCGGGACGTCAGGGTGCAGGAATGCTGGTATTCCCGTCTTCAAAGCAACCAAAATTTCCAGCTGAGTCCGATTGGACTGATGCAGAGTGTCGATAGACAGATCATTTCTCTTTTGAAGAATTTTTTGAAGGGTGACAAAGTCATCCTTTCTCCTCTTGCTCGTGAGCATATCCTGAGTGCATTTCCTCAAACTCTCCAAAAAAGGCTCGTTAACTCGATGCAACTTGTGCGCCATAGTGGCAATTGAATCCGACACAATCTCGTGAAGCCAGATGCGCACTGTTTGCTGCAAACCCTGAGGGTTTTCTTCGACCCCGCCACCGCTTCTGTCAGGCCCCGTAGATTCGTCGTCCCTTTCATGATACCCTCTGCTGCCGGACAGGTTCAATTCTCGCCCGGCGTCAGGGTCTCGTCTCTCCCGATCTGCAAGAAGCGCCTGCACACTGGACGCCTTCGTGGGCGACGGCCATCCTTCGGGCTGTAACCTTTCATTCTTATCTCTGTGTATGCCCCAATGTCTGTCATGACCAGTTCTGCTCCTCTCCATCTCGGTCGTTAGGCTCGCCTCCTCTTTCCATCGGTAGTGATGATCCTGAGGTCTGTGACCTCCGCCGTGAGAACCCTCATTCCCAAGGAGGGAACCTCCTCTCTCATCCATGAAAGAGCGAGAACTGTCTCTCGTGCCCTCGCCGGCTTGAAACTGTGCGCTACCATTCTGCAGAATTCTGTGGTACAAGGGGAGTTCGCGTCGATGTTTGCTCCGGTCATGTGAACCTTCAGAAAGGGCGCCATGGAAATATGGCTCTCGTCCGTAAGAAATCTGGCAACTGGCGTGGGACCCTTGAGTGCCCTCCAGTCTCTCATTCTTCAACGATACTTGCCGGCTCGAACAAGTAGTGCCTTCCTTATCATCAAAAGAATTTTGAGTCAATGAGCAGCTGGCGTTGTGAAAGAATGGGTGGGAGAGAGAAAGGGAGAGGCTGTTTGTGTAACCATTCGATTGAGACTGCGTGGGGGCCAAGGACCTGAAACTTCTCTCGTTCTCGGACGAGGATGGAACCAGGCCCTTGGATTTCACCGCGTGACCATGACTACTGCGTCCACCATGGCCATCAGGGGACGCCAGATGCAGAGAAGTGTCCGGAAGAGACAGAGAGAGAAGAGGCTCAAGCCTTTGTTTTTTTAGGCGAGATTTCTCCTTACTCGGCTCACCATCGTCCTCTCTTGATCTGATTCTCTCCTTGAACCCTCCCTCACTTTGCACCTCCCGGAACGCTCCAATTTCCCTCTCGGCCATCTCCTCTCTGCCACTCTTGCTTGTCACCTTGAAGGGTAACGATCGAATACCACCATCTATGTCCCTTTCCCTTTCTCTTTCTCCCCTATCGCCCAAAGGAGCCCATGAGCTTGACATGGTCAAAGCCAAGTCCTTCTCTGCATCCTTCCTCTCTTCCTCCTCTCTGGTTTTCTCCTCATCCTCCTCTCCAATTCTGTCTGGAGTTTCTGTGTCTTCGTCATCATCGTCGCCTTCATCACTGTTCTGAACATCCTGTGCTTCCGAGCGCTCCCCTGTTTCGGCCTCGTTGGCACCATCTTCCTCCTCGCTGTCATTTCCGCCGACGTTCTCGTCGTGCTCTGCACCATCCTCCGGACCGTCTCGGCTTTCTTTTTTCTCGCTCATGGTCCAGGCGGCCCCTCCCTTCGAACCCACCACCACCACCACCTCCTGCTCTGCTCGATGATTTGAGTCCGCGTCTCTATCCTTGCTGCCTTCCTTGCGCCTCTCCTTGTTCCCGGATTCTCCCACCCCTTCTCGCTCGCCATCGTCAACGCCCTCCATCTTCACTTTCACGCCGCCACTCTTCTCCGCCACGACGACATTCTCGTCGTCCGTCATGGGCTCTACCTCCCCGTCCTCCATCTCGCTCTTCACCGACTCGTTGTTGCCCTTGTCGTTCCCCATCCCAGGGGAAATACCAGAGAAAAAACGACGGCCACTTCTTCAGCTTGGATCACTAGCCTACAAGCACCCTCGCGGCCGCTCAAACTCCATCGGCTGGATCCATCACTCAAACAAGAAAACCCGGACACTCTGACCACATTCGAACATCGGGATCCAAACTTCCCGAGTCAACTCCGACCGCCCTTCGCCCTTCTACTTCGAACGATGCTGTCTGCTTCTTCTTCTTTTATGCTGCGACTCTCGGCCAACTCCCAGAAGCCAAGCGCACACAAACACACACTTCTCTCTCTCTGCTCGAATCCTCGGCACTTACGGAAAAGAACGTTAATGCGACCAAAACCACCGGGCGGCAAACAGCAGAGCAGGAAGGCAGCAATCTAATACTCTCTCTCTCTCTCTCTCTCTCTCTCTCTCCAGTAGAGCAACGCTCAATCGCCCGATCTTTCCCTCCTCCTCCTCCGTCTCTTTCCTTGTCTGCGTCAAAGACCAATGCGTTGACAAACACTCACCCCACTGTCGATAGATCTAGTCACTGCACCCGCCCGATCTAAGTGCTCTGCTCTACCCTTCCTTCGTCCCTTTCCTTTCCCTTCCCTTCCTTTCCTTTCCTTCCTCTCATCCTTGCTCAACGTTCGTGCGCTACTCTTCACCTCCCTCTGCTCCTCCTATGACTGCAGCAGAAATTGAATTGGACGAGTACACCGACTACACCCTGAGAAAAGACCAGACAAGACGGACAACACCCTGAGAAAAGACCAGACAAGACGGACAGTACACAAACATACAGAGACAAACAGAACAACAGCGAACGCCCCGAACCTCTTTCTCTCCCTACCAGTCGCTAAATCTCCTCTAAGGCATCGTTAGCTCGCGGAGAAATGCCCTTGCTGGGGCTCGTCGCCCTTTCGCCCTTATTTTCCGTCCAGGAACGGAAGTCAAGGAATGTCACGTCCGATGACCTACCGGTGGCCGACAGAGAGAAGCCAGACTGCGGAGGAGGGCCTACCCGTTGTCCAGCATCGGATCGGTGGATTATCCACGCATGAACTTTCCGAGAGAAAGGCAAATTCGCTCATGGTCGGGAAGGCGGACGTCCGGCATGGAATATTCTAGTCGAGATGCTATGATGTTCATTCAGCGACGTAGTTATTACGATCAGTACAGTGGTATCTGCCGGATCGGTAATCATTGCGTGAATCGGCCTTCTGCGCAGCCGCACCCGTGTCCCGGTGGAAAGACCTCCCAACGATATTGTGGCCGTGGCGCGCCGGACGCAAAGTTTAATGCTAGTACGGACTGCCCAGACGGGTGAGATTCAGAAAGATTGTGACTGGCGGGCAGGTCGCAATCACCTTCACCGTCACCCGACCCGACCCGACCCAGCCCTCAACATCCGAGGCCACCGGCCCCGTCCAGAGGTCCAGAGGTCCGTCCGAGTAGAAACAGGCCTGGTTGCTCACGAGTCACGAGGTCTCCGTGGACGAGCAGCATCTGCTCCTCCATATCTCCCGTCAGCTCACAGAGTATTCCCAAATTCTCCTTTCTCTCTCACTCCGCACCGTAACACCGCCACGGTACTGACTTTAGTACCAGTTCACGACTGCCGATGTCCGTACGTGCCGACGAGGAGCGGGCCCAGTAAGTCCGTCACGACCGTAAACTATAGAGTCAACATCACACCGCGACTATCTTCTGGTTGGGCTCGCGGTCGCAGCCTCGAATTCATAGCGCTAGAGTCAAACCACTGTACTCATCCCTTGAATAAGATAAGATGGAGGGAAACGTTCAGACGCCGTCCGGACGGAAAAGCGTATTTCTTTGTTGGGGTCAAAGCGGGTTCTGCAGACCGTTGACGGGGTAGGTTGTTGACAAGTCACGCCTTCATTAAATCCTTGATCATTCTGGCAGCTAGTCCTAGCTCGGATAATAGCAAATGATTCCGCTCTTAGAGGCCGCTGCCCTATGAGCTCGGAAGGAAGCTCACCGACTTTAGCCGAGGTTAAGGTGGAAGAACGACCGGTATTCCTTTGCCCTCCGCTGGAAATCCTCCAGCAGCATTCGTCGAGACGCCACAAATAATCAATGCGTAGGCTTGGGCTCGCTAACTTAGCAACTTCTTACCCTACCTTCCGGGTAAAAAGCCGAAAGCGGCATTCTACCTTTCATGTTGACTTACTCGCCAGGAGGTTGCCGTAATCTCACCCATTTTATCCCTTTCTCTTAATTTGGTGTGCCGGCTTCCAGACCAATAACCGTGCGCATCTGTCATCTCTCCTCCTCTTTAATTAAGTCGTTCAGGATAGGCGGACGAGGGAAGGAATCAAAGACGGATGTGATGAGTCTTTCATTCTTACGGATGTGATTCCATCTGAACCTGGCCATGTGGTTGTGCGCTCTTCTTGGGGAAGTCAAAAGAATGTAATGCAAGTGCGCAAATTTGGGGATAGTATTTTTTCGAAATCCATATCTGTAGCCATCTCGTCACAAATTGCAGGCAAACCGTGTGATTTGGGTAAGGTACGAGTGTACTTTTGGCCTTAAGTGAGTGGCGAAGCTTGTGGTTCTTCTTGACTGTTATTGTGGCTTGCAACTGCGTCAACTGAGCTGTCTAAGTTACTCCACAGATACAAGATCTCATGCACTGACGCAAAAAAGCGTTCGCTTTGCATGAGTTTTCTTTGAACTCTTGTGGTGCAGAAACATTTTTTTAGCGTCCGCCCTGCGGAGGCTTGTAGAACGGACTGTCAGACAGACCAACACCCCACTCGAGATATCAAGATTTATGAAGGGAGAGACAAGCTCCCCTTCGGAGATCTTTGGTGCTAGGATTGGTATGCTCTGGCATCCGCTTTGTATGACATCCATTTTCCTTATTATAACTACTTTTTCCGTCCATGACTTTTTCCTTTCAAATGTAGAATCTCAAAATGTAAATCCATCCATATTAATAACCTTCTATTTAAAATATGCAGTTAGGTTATTATAGATGCAATTGTACACATTTTTCATCGAGAATGCTCTTCCCGCCAAGAAACATGTTACCCACTTGGTATGATCTACTTGAAAAGGGTTTACCCACCCTTTTTGCTAAATCACTAGCTGCCCGTTTATTTGGTTCTTTTAGTAACTGGAACCTTTTTCGCCCTTTTCTATGAGATCTTCTTAAGACACTTTCGTGGAAAGAAGGAAAATCTTTAATGTGCTCAACAAGACATTTGTCTGTCTCCGCAAATGATGCTCATATATTTGCCACACAAAATGGTGGTGGAATAATCAGATATTAAAATAACAAGAAACAACTTTTGTAACTGAGTTGGTATTGTACAACACGTTCAAAAATTTATTTAATATACTAAAACGTTGAGAGGAGAAAACAAAGGAAATCATGTATTTCCAACACTTTAACCTATAATGCTTCAAACAGTGCAACAATCAGTTTACGAAGACTTCTCAATGTTATCAAATATATTTAAACAAATTGTTACATTAACAGAATTTCAATGAGATAAATAATTATAATATTGATGTTTATGTATACCATTGAAATATTGATAGATTTAGATCCTACACTTGAAAATACGTATAGTAGAATATAAATCTCTATATTAGTTATATGTAAATTAAAATTTCCATACAAAGACTGCTAATTTGTAAAATAGTCATCTTTGTAAATAATATATTTCTAGCTAGATTAATAGGGAAAAAAATCTCTCCATCCAAATATTGATATCATATTTGCTTGTATTCAACAAACATTTTGTTCAAATAGAACACATGTTTATAGATGTTGAAGCATTCATTTTCACTAAAAATTATGACTATATAAGTCTATTAAAAACTCATGTTTAAACATTTGAATCCCTATCATTCATTTCATTATCGACTTGAAGAAGCATAAAAACTATTTGTAAAGACATGAGAGAAGTAGAGAATATCTTGGAACGTTAATGCGTCATTTGAAAACTATGGAAAAAAATATTGCATAAAAGAACAAAAATTCAATCAAATTTAGAACTGCAACTGATATTTGATAAATAACAGGGAACTATTTGCAAATTTATATTATTTTCTATAAATAATAATAATAATATATATCAAATATTGCAAAGTAGTATACTTAGTTTCATAAGATTGCTAACTTCTAAAAGAAATAAGTATAGGAGATATAACCATCCAGTTTTAAACAAATGTTTTGCATTAGAAGATTCTATAAATTTGAAATAAAAAATTAGCTAGAATATGAAATAAAAAGTTATCACTTTTATTATATTTCTAAGTATGGAATCCAGTAAATATGTTATATGATAATTTCACAGATTTAATTTTGTCATGAAACCAATTGTAGTTTAAGTAAGCAATATCATTTTATTTTAAAGTCTAAAATATTAAAATTAAAATCCGTATAGGTCAAAATATAATCTAAATTGCATGTCAATTAGCACATTAACTTAACAAATAAAATTTTGACCTCTATAAGACAACTATCAATTTAATGCCTTCAAGTCATGTTAGTTTGTATAAAAATACTATTCATCAGTGTAAAAATTATACCAACAATACATGAATTTCAGTTATGTCATATTGAAATATATTATAAATATCTAGTAATATGCATTTTGATGTATATGGAAATATGCAACTATAAATTTTTTCTGAGCAGGCTCCTTATACATACAAACATATATATATATATATATAAATGGGAATAAAAAAATTTATATTTTTGTTAATATTTTTTTACATGTTGATTTTCAAATGAAGATGTTTTACGTCTGCAAATTATAAACTGAAGTGATTCATGTCAAATCACGTTATAAAATGTGTATATTGAAAAATAAAATTCAAGCTCAAAAAATAAAAATTGCAATATTTTTTTAAATTTATGAGTTATAAATTATTATTTTCATAGTATATTTAAATTTATGTGAAATGGACATTAATTAAAGTTATTTGTTAATAATATCAAAATATAAATTTAAATATGACAATAAAGATAAAGAAATACAATCATTTAATATTTGTAAGTATTCAATTAGTAATGAGAAAATTATTTCATGACAATACTCTTAGTCGCAAAACATTTGCGGTATCCCAACACGATTCATTTTATTCCATAGTATCTCTTTCCACTGCACTACAGTGATTGTCAACCATGTTCCAATATGAGTTCTTGTAACTTGGTTACAAAATCAGATGTAATTCATCTGGTTCATAAAAATTCGTCATAAACATTGTTGGAAACAAAATTTTCACCATTATTTATTGTGTTAAAATCATCATTTTCATGTCTAATCACTCGTAACGATCATGTGATGAGAAAAAATAATTGATGTGCAGATTGATCTCTTTTCCACCCACAAATCAATTTATGTTTAATCTTTTAGAATTTTTGTGAAGAGATAAAGTTTTGTGAATACTTGCTTACCAAGTTTAGGTATATGTGTTGATAAATCACTCATGAGTGAAGTAACTGCTCTTGAAGCATTTTTGAACATGTCAAAAAGATGATGCACTTGAGGATACAAGGCCAAGTTTTTGAATAGAATATTATCTTTAACGTGTTGTAAGTTATTACTGAGCTTCTAAATTACAAAAACTTGTAGTAAAACATGAATGACGGTAAAATGATCATTTTATCCGATAAAATTAATTGTGTTGAATTTCAACAAGTATTTTGTATTTTGCAAGAATTCCATCAAGTAATTTTATTTGTAAATTTTCTTATTAATTTTTTTGTTAGAA